GTCTTGCGCTGGAGGCAGTGTGCACGTTGCTGGGCCACAGAGTGGACAGCTGGAAAACTATTCAGGGTATCGTGCGAAAGGATGATTTCATTGCCAGCATTGTCAATTACGACAACGAGAAACAGATGACAAGAGCCCATCGGAACAAGATGCAGAACGAATTCATCTCGAAGGAGGACTTCACCTATGAGCGAGTTAACAGAGCAAGCAAAGCCTGCGGTCCTTTGGTTCAATGGGTTGAGGCTCAGGTGAACTATTCGGCGATCCTGGACCGTGTTGGACCTCTACGTGAGGAAGTTGAGGAGCTCGAGGACCGTGCACAGCAGACTAAGGCCGAAGGGCAAGCCATCTTGAACACTATCCAGGACCTCGAGAGCAGCATTGCTACCTACAAAGAAGAATATGCCGCCCTTATCAGTGAAACCCAAGCCATCAAGACGGAAATGTCGCGGGTCCAGTTCAAGGTTGACCGAAGTCTGCGTTTGCTTGACAGTCTGTCGTCTGAGCGTACCAGATGGGAAGAGGGTAGCAAATCTTTCGAGACACAAATCAGCACCCTTGTTGGCGACGTTCTGATTGCAGCGGCGTTCCTCGCCTACGCCGGTCTTTACGACCAACAATTCCGCAAGGCCATGATTGACGACTGGGCCAATCATTTGGTGCAGTCTGGCATCACATTCAAGCCGCATAACCCCATCACCGAATACTTGTCGAATGCCGATGAACGCTTGACTTGGCAAGACCACTCCCTTCCGGTTGATGACCTCTGCACGGAGAATGCCATCATCCTCAAGAGATACAACAGATATCCGCTGATCATTGATCCCTCTGGTCGGGTCACGGAATTCTTGCAGAAGGAAAGCACGGACAGGAAGCTCACTGTCACTAGCTTCTTGGACGACTCATTCGTCAAGCAACTGGAGAGTGCTCTCCGATTCGGAAACCCAATTCTGATTCAAGACGCCGAGCACCTGGACCCCATTCTCAGCCACGTCCTTAACAAGGAGTACCAGAAAACCGGAGGCCGTGTTCTTATCCAATTGGGCAAGCAAGAGATTGACTTCTCGCCATCATTCAGACTTTTCTTGTCAACCCGAGATCCGTCCGCAGCTTTCCCGCCGGACGTCTGCAGTAGAACAACATTTGTCAACTTTACTGTTACCCAGAGCAGTTTGCAAACGCAGTCGCTCAACGAGGTCCTGAAATTTGAGCGACCCGATGTGGACGCCCGGCGCAACGACTTGGTGAAACTGCAAGGAGAATTCAAGGTTCACCTTCGTCAACTGGAGAAGAGGCTTCTCCAAGCCTTGAATGAGTCTCGTGGTAACATTCTCGATGACGATAACGTCATTGAGACTCTCGAGACCCTGAAGAAGGAAGCCGCCGAGATCTCCAAGAAGATGGTTGAAACCGAGGGAGTTATGACAGAGGTGGAGAGCATCACTCTCAACTACAACATTATTGCCCGTTCTTGCAGTGCCGTATTCGCCGTACTGGAACAGCTTCATCACATCAATCACTTCTATCAATTCTCCCTTCAGTACTTCACCGACATTTTCAGCTCGGTCCTCTACCAGAACAAGCGCCTTGCCCAGGAGAAGGATCATAACGCTCGAGTGCAGATCATCCTCCGTGATCTGTTCGTTACAACTTACCAGCGGACTTCCTTGGGCTTGGTCCAAAAGGACCGCATCACGTTCGCTATGCTCCTGGCGCAAGCCTCTCCTTTCCCTATGGACAAAGACATCCTCGACACCATCCTGGATGAGTCAACGGAGAGCGTGGACCTCTCGACGTCACCTGAACTGAAGGAGCAAGTGACGAATAGGGTTTCCAATATGTCCATGTTCAAGTCTTACTTCCCTGCAGTGACCCCGGAGCAATGGGAGCAGTTCTTCACAGAAGAGCTTGCCGAAAATTCGGTCCCCCCACTATGGGAAGAAAGCACAGAGCCAGTCAACAGACTGCTCCGATCATTGCTGCTCGTCAAATTGTGCAGAATGGACAGATTTGTGCCAACGGCAGAACGCTTCATCGAGGCTGTGTTTGGTCGCGAACTGTTCGAAGGCAGCTCCGATCTCAAGGACATTGTTGACCAAGTCACCGCAACCACTCCTATCGCCCTTAGCTCCAGTCCTGGCTTCGATGCCAGTTACAAGGTGGATGCTCTTGTTGAACGGGTGCAAGCCACCTGCTCCAACCTTGCCATGGGTTCCAACGAAGGTATCGAGACTGCCGACAAAGCCATCAGCAGCGCTGCAACTGCAGGCACTTGGGTCCTGGTCAAGAACGTGCATTTGGCACCATCTTGGCTGCAAAGTCTAGAGAAGAGGTTGGAATCTCTCAAGCCTCACGAGGACTTCCGTCTCTTCCTTGCCATGGAATCCAGCCCTAAGATTCCCGTCAATCTGATCCGTGCCTCTCGTGTACTCATGTATGAGCAACCTGCCGGTGTGCGCGCCAACATGAAGGACTCTCTGTCTTCGCTCTCGACGCGGGCTGGCAAACCACCCGTGGAGAAGGCGCGTGTGTACCTGCTCCTCTGCTTCTTGCATGCCGTTCTCCAGGAACGACTTCGTTACGCACCCAGTCTTGGCTGGAAGGGATTCTGGGAGTTCAATGACAGCGACGTAAGTTATCCGCATCCCTGTTCCAGCCCTTCTACGACGACCAAGAGAGCTAACTTGATTCTAATCTTATAGTACGAGTGCTGTGCCTTCATCATTGATCATTGGGTTGATGTGGTCGCCCAGGGCCGATCCAACGTGGCGCCTCAGAAGCTTCCCTGGGACATGATCCGTACTCTCGTTACCGAGACATACGGTGGTAAAGTCGACGACTACGGTGATTTCAAGCAGCTCGAGAACCTGGTCCATAGCTTCCTCACCCCCGCAGCTTTCGAGGATGACTACAAACTGGTCTCCGGCGTTGAAAACGACGAATGCCTGACTTTGCCCGGACAGACCGGTATCCGCGACTTCGGGGAATGGGTCAACCGACTGCCTGAGAGAGAACCGCCGACGTACCTGGGTCTACCGGCCAACGCAGAGAAACTGTTACTGGTTGGGCATGGAAACAAAATGGTGTCGGATCTGGCTAGGGTCACGGAGCTGTTGGACGAGGGAGAACAGTTGATGATTGATGCTTAGTTTGTGGGAGCTTACTTTTCTACACTTGTGTTTTGTATTTATTTTTCCATCTTTCTATTGCACTTATTTGTTTGTCGAAATCTTTGTTAGAGCAGGACATACATACATGTGTATACTTATTGAAGCCGCTGGCGGATTTGCTTTACGTCAATATCTTTGTATGAATGTATGATTTCGTTGATCTAGATTTCTAGTACAATGCTTCCTTCCTTTCGGGTTCCGTATCTCAGTTCTTGCTCGCTCTTTCATATCTCTACATATCATAGAACCGGAAGAGGGGCAATATGTTGATCAAATAGATAGATCTGAACATTCAGTCGCGGATATTTCAACTCCCTCACAACACCAAGGTAGAATCCAACCTTTATCTCTGTTCCTGCATACATACTTGGTTTTCTCGCCAGCTCGAAGGCTTTCCGTTTTAATGCTCATTCCTCGGCACTTTTTGCTCACTGAATAGATCTAAACACACTTTAAATACGCTCTAAGCAACCTGAGACAATCATTAAACACAAAATAAACAAAAGACTAAATATTTTGAATAAATAATCGTTATAGCTAAATATAAATTAATATAAAAAATCTGCCTTTCTGCTGAAAATGCCTGACCGGTGTTGACCACCCACTGCCGAAAGGGTGGTCCGCAGGATCCCGGAGGCCACGGATATAACTATATCTCGTTCTACTTTATTAGAGATATATATCTCTATTCAATTTTCTTCATTCTTTATATCATTCATTTTTCTTACAATAGATCTAATACCATTCTATATTTTTGTTTGCGCCAAGCATTTCCAGAGAAAACTATTAAAGACTTATAATTATAATTTATGTTATGCGTTGTTTCTCGCGCTTTAAGTAGCTAAGATGCTTGCTTATATGGGTTATATTGAACAAGCCATCAAGGTGCGGGCTGGTGCGAGTGGTAAAGCTGATGGTGGTGGTGGGCAGACAGGTAGATAATTCACTACAGGGAGACGAGATATAAAGGGAGTACTCCGTAGTTTTGTTGGGGTTGCCTCACGTGATGACCACACCTATCTCACTAAGGCGCATCTGCCTCATGGGAGTCCACTACTTACCTCTGGTGGTAGCTCATCATCTCTCACGCAATCAAGATTCCATTTCTTTTTCCCACCTTCCCTCTGTACATAGAAACTACTGCAATATACAGACACATTGCCTCTCTATTAGAGAGCGCGGATGGGGCCTTATCTGACGTTACAGTCAAAGACCGCAATGACAGGTGACCCATTACGGCCAAACCACAGTCTCCTCTCTCCCTCTCGACTGCGCGAGGTCACCAATAAAGGGATAATAATGAAACTTTGTGGATTAACTTGATTAGGTAAATTGCAGGTATTGTCTCATAGACTGACTTGATTGGGTGGAACGCAGATATTGTCTTCTTATACAGTCACTTGCTAGGATGCACACCACCAAAAGGGGATCAGGAGTAATACCCAACACCTCGGAGTTGGGAATTATGTTGGTCGCACTGTTTCCGTCCTACAGAGTCAGATTGTGTGTGATCTTCACCCTTGCTTATGGAGTAACTTGGTCAGGTCTTGTTAGAGCGCCGCACTCACGCACGCCGCCAAAAGGGGACCAATACTTTACATCATAGCAAAGCTTGACAGCGTAAGGTCGAGAATAGACTCCCCCGCTCCAAGCAACGGAATCATCAGTCCTCACTTAATAATTCACTACGCAGACCATCGTGGTTTAATTATACTCCCGCGTATCCTCAACCCTCAGTTTCCCTAGTGCATAACAGAGCTTAACCTCGAGCACTCTGACTGTCCTCTCCATCGTGGAAGCTTTCAGATAGTAAAAGGTTCAAAATTTAACATGCTCTGGAAAGAAATCATCCTGGAACTTAAGGCCACCGGCGTCGGAGTGGAAGGACCTGAGCGCCGTATTTCCAACTCTTGGCTTGCTATTGCGCAGCAACAGGCTCGCACCAACGCCGAAGACACTGAAAAAGAGCCACCCCAAATCCATCGTTTCCCCCACAAATTACATCCAGGTGAGTCGCGAGACCCCACCCTCCATCCAGTCATTGACCTCTTGTGCAGATGATCTTCCTGTTCTCGACGTGCCAGCTGATGTTCAATCCGTTGCCGGCCGACTACTTGGGGAGGCTGACTACGGGCTTCCCAGGTATCTCGTGGTTCCTCCAACAAACCAGAAGAGTGGGTCTGCGAAGTATTACGAGGGTACCTTGCTGGGCATTGGGCCCCCTGTATGCTCCGGCCGGGCCGAAGACTTCAACTCCTTAAACAGCTGTTCCAGTCTAGTATACTGGGCAGTGATGGGTGGAAGGCCTTTGGCAAACCCATCCACGCTTGAGAAGACTGCGCTCGGACTCGGAGTAAGTGGCTGGCCGGACTTCGAGGAGAGTTCGCCCCATTTACATGTAGCTGGGGTCAAACGTTGGCTGGCGCAGAAAGCCGGACCAGTTCTGGAGACCTTCCGCGCTTGTCCTCGATCCCTTAAGTTCAATGCTGGCTGGCACCGGTTCCTCCCACTCGGCCGCGAAGCTGCTGAGAGGGTTGTCAGCCAATGCTTGGTTAATCTCACTTGTAATTACGCCGCTTTTACGGCTCCACCTGCAGCACAGGCGGACGTGCGACACCTTGTCTCTCTGAATTTTATAGCTGCCGAGTTCGCTCTCGCTTCCGATCCCGGGATGCTCCCTGTCCCCGCTTTCTTCGAAAACGCATGCATTAGGTCTCTGGTAACACTGTTTCACTCGAAGGCCCCCTTAATAGAGCTGCTGCTGGCTCACCAAGCTTATATCTGCATACCCGAGTCTGCTGGCCCACTATTGACTACCCCTCCTACCTGGGAAGACGCCATTGCGTGCAGGCAGCTGGATGGGGGGCATTTGATGTCCGGTGACCTACTTTTCCAGGTCCTGCACCCTTCGTTGGGAGATTCTTCCTACGGCGTGGTGTCTGCAGCATGCCAGGTAGCGACGTATTTGAACGACGTCCACGGCCTTGGGGGGGATGCCGCTTGTCAGGAAAGCGTAAATTTGCTCATCTCCGCGCGTGTTCTTGGGCAACATCTGTGCGCTTCGGGATTGGTAAGCGGATGCCTTGGAGACCTCTCTTATCTCCTGGGTGCACTAGGGCAACTGGACCCTGCCTTGCGGAACCATGTCCTGGCAATCTGGGCGTACGGGTATGCGCTCAATATCTGCTGCGTCAGGTACGGCACCGTTGAGCTAGCCCTCAGGGTGCCCGAGGCACCGAGACTCGAACCTGTGCGCCTCAATGCACGTTTGGGACCTACGGATGGTTTTGTACTCTCTAGAAGTGCTCTCCTCGGCCGGATTGGCGAGCTCGCTGGCGATGCACCTCTACCCGAGGTGGCGGACCTGGTTAATGGTGCGCAGGCGCAGATGGTGCTCACGGACGCGCTTGCAAGAGCGTATCGTGGAGACTACACTTCGCTCTGGGCTATTGTATTCTGTACCCTGGAAGGTGGTGTTTTTGACCGTATAGCCCTGGCGATAGATTCTGCGTGCCCCAGCAATGTCGATCCAATCTGCCCCTGCTGCCAGGTTGCGTGTGCGGATATGTCCCCAGAACAAGTCTGATCATTGGTCATAACGTCTCTTAACTGCAGGAAATATTTGTTTCGCACTTCAGGGCATCAAGACTAAGCCATACAAACGGTGACGCAAGGGGTTACAGTCCATTAAAGCCCTTTGACTTTGGCGGTATTTAATGGGAATCAATGTGTCCAGCTTTGATCTTCTTAGGATTGGGGGAAGGGCAGGGGGTTCCCAGATAAAAATAGTAAAAAAAGAAAATTATCTACAAAATGGGCACCCGCAAGACGGTTACAAACATGATATCTGTGTATATTCCATCCAATGAAGGCTTTGAAGACTGCGGAACTATTTGCCGCACCAAAAAGTGAAGTTCGTGTCATCGGCTGTCTTGGGCTATCGAAGTGTTTACATTACTTGCATTTTCTACCCTCCTCCGGGATTAAGATGGCCACCCCTTTTATGACTCTTTTTTGTTGGGAGATGCACTCACGGCATACAGCTCGAGACTGTCTAAACGAGATCTCCAAATACCTTCTCAGTACAGAAGCACTCAAAACGCGTCTCCTGTGTTACCATAGCCGGGAATATATGTCTGCTTGGCCGTATTCGATAGGATTGTGTTAACAGGCATGTATTGCCATATCAGGGAATAATAAGAAAGATTGGTACTTCTTTGACTTTCTTCTGACATACAAAACCCAACAAGAATGAGAGTTCATAGACATGCTCACTACCAAGTCCAAATCTCATACTTGAACGACACTCCTCTGGCAATCCCACCAAGAGCAAACCCACAAATTCTGAAAAGATTCAAATCACAATCAAGACATCGTCACACATGTCCGAAACCATACAGTGTGTATCCCATCTACATATACCGTGTTAGCTATAGCTACATATCAGATCGAAATGTCATGAGCCTGCCGCGCAGATCCACGTGAAAAGAACTTGACAAGGACCGAGACAAGGGATGAACATACTCGATTGAGCGCCCAGACGACCTGATAGGAGTACCCTTGAGTGTCAGATCTCTTCTGTGCATCCATATTCCGGGAGATGAGTGGATGGACTCACGTCTCTCGTATTCACGACCTTTCGAGGGTTCCTTTTCGAGCCGGACTCCACCACGAGAACTACATGCTTCAGGATCTGGCGCTCTTAGTACAACTCATCACGGTCACGCTTGCACAAGTGTCCCATATAAGATAGAGAGGGTCTGAGATATATGTCAAACTCACCTCATGCAAGCGATCTCGTACCGCAATCCGGATTTCATTGTAGACGTCCTTCTTGATGCGAACGATTCCTCCACGACGGGCAAGACGACTATCCGGATGGAAGCGGAAAAAGGACTCGACGTTAGAATTGTATCGTGAGATGATCTCGGATGCGTGGAGTGTTTGAAGTACCGAATTGCAGGGCGTGCTGGATGTCGTTAGAGCTTGTTTTCTCCTTGATCAAGGCGACGATGCGAGAGTGTAGAGGAAGGACTCACTGATACCCATGATGTTGTCACGTAGTTTCCTGCGTAGATGTTAGTACTAGGATGTCCGGGGATAGAGGAGCATTTGAGGAGCGGGTTACTTCTGCGGTCGGCGCCTGGGAACAAACAGGGAACGTGCTGAACACATTTTGGGGAGGAGCTTGGGGTCCATTGGTTCAGTGGTGGGGAGTATCCAAAGAGAGTTAGAAAGACTGTTGGGGAAAGAATGGTTTTATTCTTTTGTGTCTCGGAAGTTGAAGGTGGACGAGGAGGAGACTGAAAGACTGCTGGCATGGTTTTATTTGAGGACTGTAGAGTGGCTGGCGTTGGTAGGTAGAGTAGTGATGACTGCTGAAAGTGAATGAAATAACACCAGAGTGACCAGCCACAGGTGAAACAACACTAACACAAGGCTGGTGTGTGTAAGTGAAGGGAGAGAAAAGCGAAAGTGTAGGTAGTATATTCAATAAGTGACATTATTTCTTATATTTGTAATTATTAAAGGTCAAGGTCTGCGTTGCATATCAATGATGTGAGGAAAGGAAATATATCGAAGATCTCAAAAGAAAAAGAAAACGCCATGGACAAGTCCCCGAAAATCGTGGTCTATGTACGTCGAATCATTCAGGAGATGAAGGTGGCCTCGGCGAACAGGGTTCCCTCCTCGGCAACTTCGTTATCGCCAATCTTCACCTTGAGGGTGAGTTTCTCTTGCGGCGCATACTGTTTGCTCATTAGTACGGATGACTTGGTGAAGATGCGGTGAGAGTGAAGCCTTACCTGGAAGATATACGGCCGCGTTCCAGCGACACTTCCTGCAATGGACTTGATGAAACCGGGAACCTCGGCCATCACGTCGATACGGTCCAGTCTCTTACCGACCGGGCCCTCCAGATGGGCGGAAACCTCCTTTCCATCCTTGGACTTGCCGTCCCACACCCACTTGATGGATTTGGGCTCAGGCCACTCGCTTTCGGGGTCCTGAGTGATCTCGGTGTGGGTCGCTGAGTTGTCGACGCCGGCGTAGACGATCTCTCCATCCTTGACAATGGCACCAACATTGACCACGGTCGATCCGTACGACGGCGGCGTGGTGTATTCCATCATGACGGCGGTGTACGAAGGAGTCTGGAAGTTGACAAAGTTCCAGCGGGCAGCTGTTACATGGGTCAGGATCATCCGGCTCCGACAGATAGTGATTTTGTTTTGATATGGGAGGGCTGCTTACCAGCATGGTGAGGCTTCATGCCCTGAAGACCTTGAATGAACATGCCCCGGCCTTTCATGTCGTAGGTTTGCTCCTTGGTAGTAATGCTTCCCTCGACGGTGCAGCGAGGCCAGAAAGCGTGGCGCATAGAACCCCAAGGGTTCGCGGGGTCCGTGCCGAAGTAGGAAGTACCGTCCTTGCCGATCACGAAGCCCGGGGTGTTGCGGGTGAACGTAATGTTAACCAAGCAATCTTCGTTCACGGCAGACTTGAGGATGTAAGCATCTCCTTCCTCGCTGAGGGTTAGAGAAATGTTGTCGCCCCAGAAGGCAAGCATGCTCTCGTCGAACATGAAGTTGGACAAGGGATCGGAGTACCAGCCGTGAGGGCCATCTCCCTTGACGTTAAAGATTTTGCAGTTGAACTGCGCGGTCGTATGGATGCCTCTGCAACGAGCGAATCCATGTTAGACAAATCGAATTCCCGGAACGATGATGATAGGGCTTCCAAGCGGAAGGCACTCACACGATGTTGCTGTAAATTATCTGGACGAAGACCAGGGCGCCGTTGTCGGCCATGATGTAGAAAGTCTGAGTTTCGACATTGGTGTACTGGTAGGCCCGCCAGCGCAGATCGTTCTTGGTGAGCTCGGTATAGGGGACCTCTTGCGCCTGCTTGGCGACAGACTGGATGGCCTCCGGGCCATAGATCGGTTCTTGCGTACCGGCGACGCTTGCGAGACTAGATGCGTGAGGGCAGTAGTTAGCACAATCGAATTTACGGGCATCAACTCAACAGCAGACATGGGATAAGCGTACGTCGACTTGAGCCAATTCATGACGGGCAAATAAGATAGGTTGTGGTGGGAGAAGGAAACAGGAGAGAAGAGAAAGTCGTAAAGGGAAAGGGAAAGGAAATCGATAGCGCGTGGGGTCACGGGGGGATCGCTCGGAAGTACTAGAGAAGGAAGAGGACGAGAGAAGGACGAAGCAAGCTTGATGTCGGACAACCAACCACAACAAGACCGTCTAAAACAAGGACCGTGGTGATCGGGCGATATCGATGAGCTCAGCAATGGCGGTCGAGAGAGCAGCAGCAGCAACAGCAGCGAGGGTGAAGCCGCCGGAATGAAAGAATGACGTCCGCCAACAGCTCGATTCGCTTGCCTGACACGGCAAGTAACTCCGGCCCCGCGCGCCTTTCCCGATCCAGCTCGGCCCGTGCAAAAACACCTTTCCGCTGCTCTCTTCTCCCGTGACTACATTGCTATATTGTATCCCTCTCTTATAATCAATCCCCCCTCCGCATCTCACCATGGCGAAGAAAGCGTTGGCCAAGGATCAGATCGTCAAGCTCATCGTGGGCGCTGGCCAGGCCAGCCCCAGTCCCCCGGTCGGTCCGGCCCTGGGTAGTAAAGGTGTGAAGAGTATGGACTTTTGCAAGGTGAGTTGATCGAAACGCATGGGAAGAAGAGGACATCCTTGCTCATTGCGCATTGGAATAGGAATTCAATGCTCGTACTGCCCACATCAACCCCGGCGTCCCGGTTCCTGCGCGCGTCACCGTCCGCCCCGATCGCTCTTTTACTTTCGACCTCCGCACGCCGACAACCACCTGGCTGTTGCTACAAGCTGCCAATGTGGAACCTCGAAAGAACCGCATCCGCGGCGCCATGAACCCCGGCCACGAGACCGTGGGCAAAATCTCACTGAAACATGTGTATGAGATCGCCACCATCAAGCAATCCGAGACGCGACTGTCGGGACTGAGCCTGGAGGGACTGTGTAAGAGCATTCTTGCCCAGGCCAAGTCCATTGGCATCCAGGTTGTGCCATAGAGCAGTACAGCCGAGGGCGAATTGTGATACCGAATCCGAGTGTAATATGTATATGAGTCCGACTACTCTTGCACGGCTGCAGCAGCCTACAGTCCTGGAGTCACGACAATGGCGTTTAGGGATGGTTCTGTCACCAATTGTATTATAGGGAATTGCATGTGATATAGAAAGCGTTTACAAAATACCCGCAGCTTCTGCTTGACGTGGATCACTGCTTTCTTGTCTGCCATTGGGATTGAGCCTTTTCAGTAGATGAAACTAAGTATTGAGTACGCCGCACTGTGTAAGTGCAGCTCCGTACGCAAATATCATCTCGATCCCTGATTACGGGGCGTTCAGGGTCTAGAATGATTAGTCACGAAGAAGAAAGGGGCCATGACGGGGACGGGGCTGAATATCATTCAGGGACCAAGGCAGGGGGGAATTGATGACGAGGCAGAAGCATAATTATAACCGGAAGGGGGGAATTAAAACTGGATCCAATATTGAGCCGCTCGGGATCATCCGTCCCCAGTCCAAGGGGCATTTTTCAGGGAAACTTATCGATGGCAGGTCTGTTCCATGCCGGGGACCATCTTTGGCAGGGAGGAAACAGTTGACGCAGTCATGGCATGCACATGTACTACGTAACCTTTGTCTTGAACACCGTAGAATGCCTAGGAGGTGAAGGCCTGGATGGACGCTTTGTGCACCTCTGAGACCCGAGGGCCCCGGCTGCTTGTCGACGAGGTCGACGATGAGACCCATTTACTTGGCGAGTATGAGGGCTATGCATCTCCACGCAATCCTTCAATAATTGCAAGCTTGGCGGCAGAGTGTCTCACGGGCGTGGTGCCCACATTCTCGAAGGGCTGAGTCCGAAGGATTTGAGGATCTGAGAGCAGGCCGGAGCGAGGTGTAAATGCCGGAGTGGTCATCCAGAGAGTCTTGCATGAAGCCGTGAACAGACTACTGCTGTAGTTAACGGGAGACAGCTCTTCGTAAGAAGGAATGGAAGATCTCCAGACTAGCCGAATGCGGCCTAGCGAACTCGATCACGGGCGATTCCCAAAGCGGCAGGCCATTCGGGGGAGGTTCCACTCCCCACCCCCGAAATGTCATCATGACATTGAGGTTTTTCCCTCTGTTTCTGCATCTTCATTGTCTTTATCATCATCACGGTAAAAATTAGGTAAAGTGGGCGGTAGTGTTGACTTGGCGAGCAAGGTCTTGTCTTGTCCATGTCTGAAGTATGACTCCGAATTGCCGGAGATCGCGCCCAATGACGAACGAATCAGGCGGGTGGGCGCCGATGACCATCCCCTCTGCATCATGATGCATGCGCCAAAGGAAATCCAGAAGAATCTAGCGGCCCTGCTGGTCGGGAAGCCATCGATCCGAGAATCTGGAGGGTCGTCTGCCAATTCTGTTCGCGGACGGACGGACTCGACGGTACCGGTAGCCTTTTCCCGGCTGATAAACCGCACTCGTGCTGAGTAGTCATAGTCATGGCCACGTCCCCTCTGGATAGTCCTCTTCTTCCATCGGCCATTCCGTCGCATGCATGGAACAACCCGGTTCGAAGGCGCCAAGCATGGAGAGAGAGAAGTTTAGTCACGCAGTCTCCGGCATCCATCCCCGTACCCTACAGGATACTTTATAGGAAAACCGGAAGTACATGCTAGTACTACGGAGTACCTACTCCGCACTATCGAGAAGGGAACGATGGAGACAAGTGTAGGGACTTTCTCCGACGGGTTCCGAGCACACCGATCGGCTCCAATCTCAGTCTTTCCCTCGAGCACAAGGAAGTTTAACTGGTGACGGAGTTGGTAAAGTAGTTATTGCTTAAGGAGGGGGACATTCTTCCGAACTGGTCAAAGACGTTATTAATAATTATTCAATAATAATGAAAACTAACTAATGATAATGGGGTTCCTCCTTTCTTGGCCGCCCGTGAAATTTCCCTTTGGGGATCAAAGAGGAGAAACAAAAAGGCTCTGTCTGAATGATTCAGTCTTGCCGTCTGTGCAGTTATTGTTCTGGAAGTTCAAAGACACGGCCAGCAATGCATGGGTTCATACTGTATAGTTCATACTTTCATAGTCTCCCCTTTAGACCCTTCCCCCCTCCCTTCTCCATGTCCCCCGTATAGTAATAGTATTAGTATTAGTATCTAGTTAGCACTTAGCAAGATGCAGCAGTAATTCTAGCCCTATCAGAATGACGACGGTCCAGCCCAAGCCCACCGTGGAACCGCTGGAGTGAACTAGTCTTAATCCTCCTCCGTGGCCGCCCGTTTCCCTTCTCCAACCATCCCGCCGCTCTTGCTTTCTCTTTCTCTCTCTCCTCTCTTCCTTTCTCTCTCTAAACTACTCCGTACTAACTACGTAGTAGGTTGTTTTGCCTACTGCCTTAGTCGAGTGGACCTCTCTCCCCTCTCTCTTCTTATCTTACTCTGCTTCTTTCTTTCCCCTCTCCCCTCCCCCCCCCCAGAGTTCTCTTCAACTTTCCGTAATCTATTTTTTTTTGTTCTTCTCTGCTTTCTCTTCTTCTTCCTCGTTCTCTTCATTCCATACTTCCGTTACTCTTTTGATAGTATTTTTGGATGGCCCCCAATCCCGACCGTCTCTTAACATACTACCTGCCGGTGGAAGCTCCGTGAGTAACGACGACCGACGCCTCCCCCGTCTTGCATACGAAATTCCTCCGCGCATTTCCATTTCGTCCCACGAGGTTGTTCCCGGCTGCAGCTTCCAAGCAACAGCCACCCTTTCGACGTCACCAATCTTCCAAAACTCAGTCACCTCCGGCCATTTGGCAATCCTCACCCTGACCATTCTCTTTGGAATACGTTTCGATCTTTCTTCTCGTTTCTCGTTTTTGTTGTCGGTCTCGCCAACCAGGTTGTGGAGGGGTATGCGTCCCGCAACGTGGTTTTGATGATTATGACGTCTGAAACGACCGGTTCTGCCCACGCAAAGATGGATTCTGGTGTGCCACGCTCTGCCGCCTCGGAACGTATTCATGCTCTAACGCACTTCTCTTCCTCAGGATCTAACCCTACCTACAACCCCGCCCAAGTTCCTACCCAGCCGGGCACGGATATCTCCGACCAGGACAACAAGTCCAAGATGCAGCCGAGTCAGGTTCGGTTCTCGTCGGTAACCGAAGAAATCGAGCCTTCGGATCCATCGGCATCTGCCCAGTCCGCTGGGAACCAGCCCCAGCCCGCCGACAGTCAGAAACAGCAGGATGAGGAATTACGGTCGCTAGCTGCCAGTCTCCAGCGGTCTCAACTGCAAGAATCGCGGCTGGGGAAATTCTCATTTGACCCGGTTTCTCTCCCGTCCTCAAGAGTATGCTTTCGCCCACGCCGCGGAATGACCATCCACTCATTCCGCCCCCGCACTTGTCAGATATTATGAAAAGCTAATCCCCTTGTCTGTTACTTCCCTCATAGGTTGCATCCCGAGAATCGAGCGATCGCAGCGCGAGAGAACCCAATGGATCCGGTTTGCCGTCTCCCCATGCCTCTCCACCGGTGTCAACGATGCAGTCTCCGCCTCTTACCCCCGCGGCCACCCATTCTCGTGAACCCAAAACTAATGACACTGCTTCGACGTCGAACGCGACAGACCGAGGACCTACCCCGCACTCTACGGCGATGACTCCAGAGACTTCCCCGCCTACGAGCGCGTCTGCGAAAAGCAAGGCTCCTCAGAGCGCGCCGACATCGCGGCCCGGTTCCACCGAGCAACTGTCGAAACAAGGCAATGTATCGCAGACGTCATCCCACCCTTTGAATGCCTCCAAGCATCGTGCGCAGTTTTTCATCGGCCCCGAAGGTGGCTCCCAGGAAGAAAGTCCCCCGGTCACCCCGCGAGATTCTGAAAACTTCACGCCGCCGGGTGCCATCACGCCCGTCGGGGAGCCGAATGATCCCTATGCCCGCAGCAAGCGACCGCCGCAATCCAAGAATCTCGGCCAACTCGACCAGAGATTCATCTTCGGAGGCCGGGATCTGAGACGTCGGGGACAAAATTCGGCAACGTTCCCTCTCCCTCGCCCCGGGACGCCGCGATCGGCCAGCGCCAGCGACCTCAAGGCCAGCGAGAAGCGCAGTGGCTTCTTCGGCAGCAAGAAGGACGCGCGCCAGCAGGAGCCGGAAGGCAAGCACCATGGCCACATGGCGGAGCTGAAGCGGTTCTTCAAAATGGGTCACAAACACAAGCGGAACGATTCTCCCTCCTCGCTCCCCAAGAGGTCGAGTCGCGGCTCCGGAAAGAACACCCCGTACCAGATGGCCCCGGACAACGTGCCCTTTGCTGATGATCATGGCCTCAACTCCAAATACGGTAAACTGGGGAAGGTCCTTGGGTCCGGGGCGGGCGGCTCCGTGCGGCTGCTCAAACGTAACAGTGACGGCGTGACTTTTGCCGTGAAGCAATTTAGAGAACGCCACTCGTGGGAGACGTTGAAGGAATACTCGAAAAAGGTGACCGCGGAATTTTGCATCGGGTCAACTCTCCATCACGGCAACATCATCGAGACGCTTGATATTATACAGGAAGGAAGTCATTGGTATGAGGTCATGGAGTACGCTCCGTTTGACTTGTTTGCTATTGTCATGACCGGGAAAATGGTGAAGGACGAAGTGGCATGCGCCTTCAAGCAGATCCTGAGCGGAGTGGCCTATCTACACGGCATGGGCCTGGCCCACCGCGACTTGAAATTAGATAATGTGGTTGTCAACGAACACGGTATCATGAAGCTCATCGATTTTGGAAGCGCCGTTGTCTTTCGGTATCCCTTCGAGAACGATATCGTTTCTGCATCCGGTAAGTACCCCATCCATGTCTTTCGGAGAATTAGGGGGACCCTGAGCTTACGCAAACTTCAGGTATCGTCGGATCCGATCCATATCTCGCCCCCGAAGTATACGATGAGAAGAAATATGACCCTCGCCCCACGGATATTTGGTCCCTGGCTATCATCTTCTGCTGCATGACTCTGCGTCGATTCCCCTGGAAGCAACCTCGCGTTAGTGACAATTCCTACCGGCTCTTTGTCTCCACGCCAACTCCGGGCACTCCGGTCCCGGATGCGGATCCAAGGCGCCATCGGATTTCACGATCGACCCCCGATCTCCCCTCGTCCGCTCGCGATAACCAACAATCTCAATCCGCCGAGAACAAAAACGCCGAGAAGAAGCCCGCAGCGCCTGACCAACAGAACGGGCAGCAGGAGTCGTCTAAAGATCAGGCCAAGACAAGCTCCCACGAAGATAACAACTGCCCTGAGAGTCCGCAGGACGACAAGAGCACAAAGACCACTTCGAATCAGAAACATAATAAACCGACGCGCACAACAAGCAAAGAGGCCCCTCCGCTTCCTGCGTCGGCCCAGTCCTCGGGCCAACGTCAGGAAGTCATCAAGGGTCCTTGGCGTCTTTTGCGACTTCTACCGCGTGAGAGCCGGTACATCATTGGTCGCATGCTCAAGGTGAGCGTGAAGGATCGTGCAAGCCTCGATGATGTCTTGACAGATGAGTGGGTTCGAAACATCAAGGCGTGCCAGCAAGAAGTATCCGGCGAAGTGATCAAAGCTCCCGGCCACACCCACATTCTCGAACCTCCTTCTTCAAGCGTCCCCGTGGCCAGCAAGGCCAAATAATCGGGCCATTCGCGGTCCTGTCTATAATTCTACGTGCGATGTCCAGACTCTGAGATATTTGTATTGTCGTCAGCCCTTCTTTTTGGGAGTGTCTTGGGCTGTTAATATAATCATTGCTCCTTTCCCCTTTGATTCCCTTTGGATGCAAGAGCTTCTCTCCTTACTAGCTCTCTGTTCAGCATCATGAACATTCTACTTATCCTTATCTTTCTGCTCGTTTCACTATCTTTTTGCTTCCAGTGAACCTCGACCATCAAACTCGAGTACCCTTTTTCTTTCTTTCCTTCGTGTGTGCTACTTACTTTTATAGTACGGTGGAAGAAGTAGCGACACTTGTCTAACAACACTTCTTTACCTTCTTTTTTATGCCCCTCTTTGTTCTTAATATGGGCGTTGTGGTCACTGTTTCATGGGAAGGGGCTGCGCAGACGGATCCACCCTTTTCCCTCGCGATTAGAGGGTTGGCTACTAGATTTCTATCGATTATTGGGCCCTCATATTTCCCTTACATCTTCTGCTTCAATCAACGTGTGGGGTCTATTCTTTTCCTTTTTGTGTTTCAAGGCCAGCTTTGTACGGTGTGGCCATTTTCTCCATTTGCTTCTGATCGTATTCACCCTTAGTAGGTAGCTTGGTAGATATTATAAACCCATGGACAAATGAACAAGCATATGTTGTACTCCGTAGCTCGCAGAGTTCCTCTGACGTAAGGTGTCGATGCGGAGATAGCGGAGTTTGGGGGCCGCAGCGGTAATCGGAATCCATCAAAAAAAAGCTGCCCCGGCGACCTCAGCGCATTTTGTCATTCCATCCCCACTTCCTCCTTCAGCCCTCCTCCACTTCCTGTCATATCAATTCTGGGCTGGCCCTCCCCTGGTACATTCCTGTATACATACAGGCACACATCCGAGAGATTGACCACCTGCTGGGATCTTAATTAGGTAGATACGTCATTGTCACGACTCCCTACAACCTCGCCTACCCTACCTACGATGGCCCAGCCCTCCGACTCGGAGCCATTGGTCTCCCTGTGGACCAGATCCCTACTTGTTAGCTGGAATTCCCCCCCCCCCCCCCCCTGGCATACGCCTAGCTATGCACATAAGGATTCTTGACTGACGCTGTTGGGGGCCATGATTTAGTCGGGCGCAGTAGCCGGTCTCACCGTTGACTGCTCTTTGTACCCCTTGGATACCATCAAAACGCGCCTTCAGAAAGCCCGACTCCATGCGCCGTCGGCCCCAGCTCCTAGCCTGTCCCTGAAGCAAACCATCCGCGGAATCTACGCCGGCCTTCCCTCCGTCCTCTTCGGCTCCGCCCCCTCCGCGGCCTCCTTCTTCATCGTCTACGATGGCGTTAAACGCTCGCTCCTGACCTCCTCGACTTCGGAAGCTCCGTCCCGCACCCATGTTATCCTCACACATTCACTCGCCTCCTCGATGGGAGAAGTCGCCGCCTGCGCCGTCCGCGTGCCCACGGAGGTGGTGAAGCAGCGCGCCCAGGCAGGTCTCTTCGGCGGCTCCAGTCTGCTCGCGCTGAAGGACATTCTCGCTCTGCGACATCCGGACCCGACCGGCGGTGCCAAGCGCGGCTACGGACAAGTCCTTCGGGAGCTGTACCGCGGCGCGGGGATCACCATCGCGCGCGAGATCCCCTTCACCGTCCTGCAGTTCACCATGTGGGAGTCGATGAAGGAGGCGTACGCCAAGCGCTCGCAGGGGCAGTCCGGAGGCCAGATCCCGGCCGCCACGAGCGCTATGTTCGGTAGCGTTGCCGGTGCCATCTCGGCAGGGCTGACGACGCCGTTGGACGTCATCAAGACGCGAGTCATGCTGGCTCGCCGGGGTGATGGTGCGGCTGGGGAGGAAGGTGCTCGCGTGCGCATCAAGGACGTGGTGCAGGATATCTCCAAGGAAGGGATGGGGGCTTTCTGGAGAGGTATTGGCCCACGCGTGGCTTGGATTGGTATCGGGGGTGCGGTGTTCCTGGGCAGCTACCAATGGGCTTGGAATACCCTGGAAAGAAAGGATCAATCGGAGCAGTAGATTTCTGTCAATTAATTCGCTGGTATTGCTATAGAGGTATATATAGGCTAGACAAATTTGTACATTATGCCGTGAGATGATCATAAATCGTGCAATTTGGCTGCGTCCGACTACAAAAAACAAACTAAACAATCCCATACTTCATTCCTTCCGACGCATCCATTTCAGCTCCCGCACCTGTTCCGGAGTCAACAACTCCTCCATCATTTCCGCCGTCAAGAAATCGTGGTCTGCAAATTCGAAACCCGGAACAACGGTCTGTGATGCATGCACGAGTGGGTCAGTCAAACGTCGACTATGCATGATTAGCACCTAACAATCATAAGTATAACGAACCTCACTAATCAACAAACCCTCAGTCTCGCCCGCGTCGGAATCCGGCAACAAATAGCTCGACTTGAACTTGCCCCCTTCCACGATCCACTGCAGTCGCTCACCCTCCTCGAGGCGATGACCCACCACGAACGACTCGACGGGCGCCTTTCCTCCGTGACGAGCGGCCTGATCGGCGTGGATGATGACGTAGCGACCCCGTCCGCGATGGAGTGTATGCACGGTGCGACTGGCATTGCGATGGAATGCCCCCAGCGGAGAGGACGGCGTTAGCATGTAGTAGATGGTGGTGCTGGCTGCTCGCGTCGCATCGTCGTCCGTCTCGACGGTAGGGTTCAGGTTGGCATGGCGATGGGGGTTGGGGATTCGGAGCTGGCTGCGATCTGTTTCCACGAAGTAGCCGCCTTCCGGGTGGATTTGGAGGTTCAGCGTTTGGATGGTCTTCTGGATAGTGGGAGAGTCGGCGATGTTGTTGGGTGATGTTTGTGATGATGGGGGTTTGTAGTATGGCTTGATGTCACTGATGGGAATGTCCATCTCTGGGGAATCTGGGTCCTTGTTTACTGTTTCCAAGTGATCGAAATGACAGTCTCTGTTGATTTGAAAACATTCGATTTCTTCTCGACAAGAGGAACCGTTCGTAAGCACGCTTGTGGTGTCTGAAGGATGAGATGGATAGGAAGCCGGCATGGTGTAACCAGGTTCCTGTCAGCCTTTTAAATCGGTCACAGGCGCAAATGATATCAGTCATTTGCCCGGTTTTTCAGGAACATGGAGGGTGGAGTATCACCCAGGGCAATTTTTGGTTTCTTTGGGGTATTGGAGAACCAGTCTTTGCAATGGCTTGCGGCGCACATCGAGAAGCCTGGCGGAACTATGATGGGTCGGTAGAAACTAGAGAGGTCGTATTTCGGGGATGGTGCATACTCTTATAAACATTACATAGATGAAATGGAAGAAAAGCAATCTCCGAGAAATGAACACAACGGATGCAGGTAACCAAGAGGCGTGCCTGGCGTGGCGTTGGGCCAAGTCTCTCGCTCCTCCAGCTAGCATCGGAAGCGTCCATCCTCCAATCCTCCTTTTAGTTGCTCGCTTTTCCCCTCTTCCTCCTTCCTCCTCCTCTTCCACTTCCTCCCCGCTTCTCCTTGTACTTCCTACTGCTATTTCTACGTCTACTTTCTGATACCTTCGTGTTTTATTTCTTCACTTTCCTGCTGGAATCGCATCCGTCGGCCGTATATATAAGTCGTGTGCTCGGTCTGGCCGAGGAATGTCTCCGTGAGCGATCGCCGCCCACTTGGTAGCCTCCGCATTATCCTCCGCACTGGCGCCTCGTTCACTTTCCTCGGGGTAGAAACCACGCGGCATGGCTCGAAAACCAAGTCACCAGAGGGTCACCTACGGTAGGCTTTTTATCTTCTGCGCGTGCAGCTGCCTTGTCGCAGACACTTGGCTGACAGTCTGTCTGCTTCACTTTCCCCAGTTCTTCCTCTGCCCGACGCTCCGGGCGGCCATCGACTAGGAGTGAATGGCCTGACCATTGACCCTGATAACTCTATCCTGTGAGCCTCCTCCGTCCCCCTTTTTCTCGGTGCGTGGCGCCAGTCTAGAGAGCATGCACCCTTCGGCTGTAGGCGACGAGCGTAGCGCATCTCCGTTCCCCTCCGCGTCGCCCTCGTTGCAGTTTCTGACCACCGTCGCCCCCAACTCAGGTACTCCGCTGGTCGCGACGGTGTTGTGTGCTCGTGGGATCTCAATTTACCTCTTTCGAACTCTTCGGTATCATCGGTCTCGAACGCGAAGCCTCCGCCGACGGCGTTTCGGAACCAAGTCCAGGCACACAGTCACTGGATCAACGACATCGTCCTCACCCAGAATAATTCCGCACTGGTCTCCGCTTCCTCTGACACGACCGTGAGATTGTGGCGACCGCACTCCGACTCGACTGAGGTGCCCGACCCTATTGGGAAACATGCGGATTACGTCAAGGCCCTGGCCACCCCGGATAGCCGTTCGAATTGGGTCGCATCGGGCGGTCTCGATCATAAGCTCAAACTGTGGGATCTGAACGGCGGCGGCGAGATACTGAATATCGATGTTTGCGGCGACGATCGTACAGCCAAGGGCTCGGTCTATGCCTTAGGGGCTGTGTCTTCTGTCCTCGCCAGCGGCGGGCCCGAGAGCGTGGTCAGAATCTGGGATCCGAAGTCTGGCAAATTGATCACCAAATTCGTCGGCCATACCGACAACATTCGCGACATCTTGATCAACCAGGATGGTGATACGGTTATGACGGCGTCGTCCGACCAAACGATTAAGATCTGGTCCCTCACGGCAGGAAGGTGTATGCACACCTTAACGATGCACAACGACAGTGTCTGGTCCTTATACTCTAATCACCCGCAGTTGTCCGTCTTCTACTCGAGTGACCGATCCGGCTTGGTCGCCAAAACAGACACCCGGCATTCTTCGGATATTGAGCAGGGAATTTCCATCGCGGCCTTGCAGGAACACGAGGGCGTGGTCAACGTCGTGGCCGCTGGCGACTACATCTGGACTGCGACCCCGAAGTCAAGTATCAACCGGTGGAACGACATCGATACCACAGCCGAAATCGACTCTCCGAGAGAGCGGGAGGCTGCGCCTGCGAAAGATGAAAAGGAGTCTGCGGCGAGGGAACGGGTAAAGAAGATTCCGTACGAGTCGGTTCTACAGCTTTCCAACACCTCAATGTTTCCCAAATCTCGGGTCCCGGAGGGAGTGGTGCCTCGGTCAATGGCGAATGGGCAACCGCCTTCGCCAGGTTCCGACATGGAAGATGAACTGGAGCTTACTATTCCCGTGTACTCTCTGCCCGACGACACAATAGAGGGCCAGCATGGCTTAATCAAGCACTTCTTCTTGAATGACCGGAAGCGAACATTAACCCAGGACTCCGCTGGGGAAGTGGTCCTCTGGGATCTTCTCAAGGTAAACTCCCGAGTCGGTCATTATGTTATCGCATGTCAATCTAATTTTGTTTCCAGTGCGTGCCGATCCAGTCATTCGGCAAGCGTCACATGGACGATGTCGCGTCTGAGATCAACACAAACGAGAGTATTGCTCACTGGTGCACAATCGATATCCGGACCGGTCGACTTTCCGTGATACTGGAACCTGGCCGGTGTTTTGATGCTGAGGTCTACGCGGATGAAGCCGATTTATCGGATTATTCACAGATCCGCGAGGACCAAAGAAGTACGATTGCCGACCCTTCCCTCTTCCGTTTGGAAATTGTCGTAAAGGCTTTGCTAACCACCATATAGTCAATCTGGGTAAATGGATTCTCCGGTGGCTTTTTGCGCCTTTGGTTGAGGAAGAGATACAGCGAGATGCCCAGTATCGCGCCACTGCGATGGCAAAGGCCGAAGAACTGGCTAAACAGAACATGAATGCCACGGCACCCATGGACATTCCGACCATAGATGGGTCAAGAAGCTTTGGCACATCTCTGGATCCTTCAATGTCCTCCCTGCGCCAGGGATACGACACCCTAGGCAGTCCCACAACGCCTGGGTTTGGCATCGGGTTTGCCAATAGCCCTGGCTCATTCGCCGCGACTCCGATGTTCAATCAGAGTAGCTCTCAGAACAATAGCAATCATTTCGGCACGTCTCCTGGCGAGCTGTCCGATTATACGACGTCTCAGCAAGCTGCTGATCCTACAAGAAGCTCAATGTCCGATAAGTCTAGTGACTACTTCTCTTCGCCCCGATTGCAAGGTCTACCGCCCTTGGATGTTGACCGGGCGCTGTCGACAACGCCCGGGGAGCCAACGCCAACAGCCCTTCCTCAGTCACCAGCGGAGCCTGACAAGGAGGAACGCAAGAGAGGTGGCTCGCTGTTCGGAAAGAAGTTCCGCATGGATTTCCCCAAGAAGCTTGGCCGAACTTCGTCGGAAGTCAAGCCGCAGATCCAAGAGGAAAAGGTAGAAGAGTCGGATAAGTCTTCCGTCAAGGAGGAGAAGGTGTTTGAGAACAACCTCAGTGGCTTCATTGACCGCATCCGTCATGAATATGAAGAGTCATTGTCTGCCAATTCTACACAGGATCTAGCCTCGGCTTTCTCGCCAAGCCACGAGAGCGAAACCCCGGCATTGGCTATTCCTTCGCGCACTGCGGTATTCATCCAGGAGGAATCGGGTGATACAGCCGTGGCTTCAGATCTTTATCGCGGAAGTGTCGGTCGAATCAGCCAGGAGGTCGACAAACTTGAGAAGTCGATACCTCTGTGGCTTGCCGACCTGCTACTCAAGGTCTGTATCATCATGTCTTACCGTTTAAAGACTGCGCCTAACAGCTGCCACAGAACCAAGTTCCTTTCAAGGAACCTATTAAGATTGCCTTCACGTTGAAGCCATACGATGATTTGTTGCCGCCCGTGGTCAAGCCCGATGTGTACGTATAAGGTCGATTCTATCTTTTGATGCCTGGCGACTGACAGCCTCCGTTTTCTCATCAGGAACACCGCCAACGGTAATACGACAAACAATTCTCGCCTGAACGCCAACCGAATGCTCCGGGCCAAAAAGATCCTTGCTTATATAGCGGAACGAATTGATCCGCCCAATCCCGACGAGCCGGAGGATAACCCACTGAAGCCGGAAGAGTATCTGGAGCTGTACTGTCAAAAGACGGTTAGTTCCTTCAGACCTCGCTATTTCACTCAAGCCGCTTGCTGACCTGCCATCGTCTAGCTTCTACCCCCGAATATGACTCTTGCGACCATGCGTGCCCACATCTGGCGATCATCGGGTGACATGATCCTTTACTACAAGGCCAACGGAAAGAAGGAAATCCGAAACCCTGAGGCTGGAAGAGACAACGACCAAAACCGGCAGGCTTCTGAGGGCGGGTTGACTCCCCAACGACTCGGTGAACCGGGCAGTTTGACCAACGGAGAGGGCAAGATTGCGCCCCCAGGAAGTATTCATTCTCTGACCGCGTCTGGTTCTGCATCGGCTTCTATTAGTAACTCCTGAGTTGTATCTTCCCAGGAGGATTTCATTCTTTGTGACATTATTTTTATTTCTTGTGGCGATATGGCCGGCGGCCAGTTGTGTGATATATCAGTCTAGTCTAGTACAGTACATACATTTGAAAATGGTGAGTTGACCAGATGGCAAAATTTGGGCAAGTCTGCCGAGAGGCAAGAATTGTGACGTATGAAATAAAGACGTAGATGAGGACCTAGAAGATGGTTGTTGATCTTCTGGTTGTTGCATGATAACTGTTGTACGGGCAAAAGCTTGGCAGATTGCCACCTCAGGCATTCACGCTTCCCATAAAGTCAGCTCCCACCGGGTCCACCTCCCCATCTCCCCTCGTCCTTTTCCTCCGACAATTAACCCCCCAATCAATGGCAGGACCATGTTGCCTGCGCGAGCGATCACTACCCCTCAATTTCTCGAAAGTTTTCAGCGAGCATGGCTCGAGTCGCGAGCTCCACGGGCAGAGCGGAGACGCAAGACCCGTCTACCTCGTCGGATAGGTATGCATCCTATGCCCCAGTAGTTCGGATATCCTCATCTAATCAATCAATAGGTCTGGCAATTAGCGGCGGGGCCGACTCTATGGCTCTAGCATATCTTTGTCGGCAATGGGAAAAGACTCATCGCAGCGACGATGTAGCCGTCACGGCGTTCGTGGTTGACCATAAAGCGCGAGCTGAAAGCACGCGGGAAGCTGCTACGGTGACTGGCTGGCTTAATGAGCTGGGTATGTATGATGCATTCTGCGTCTGATAAATCTATAGGCAATAACCTGATGGTTTGGGAATCGTCACTGACTGGAATTCAAGGTATCAGAACCCAAGTTCTGGAACTCTCATGGGGCCAGGGCACGCTGTCTCAACCCCCCGCCCAGGTATCTGCTTTTGAGACGCATGCTCGACGACTGCGGTTTCAAGCGCTTGGAACGGCGTGTAGAGACCATGGAATTGAGGCTCTGCTGATGGGTCATCATCAAGACGATAATGTCGAGACCGTGCTCTGGAGACTCTGTTCCGGGGCTAGGGGTGCAGGGCTTGCTGGCATACCGTCGGTGAATCCTATCCCAGAATGCCACGGTCTTTTCGGAGTAGCTGAAAGTGGAGCATCGGTTACTCTGCAAGGTCTACTCTCTCCATCTCAACCAGGGACAAGCGAACAGTCCGAATCAGCAGACGACAAGAGCTTTGCGTCTCGGCGTGTGCCTATGTCCACAGGCGGGATCTTCATCTGCCGTCCACTTCTGTCTTTTCCCAAAGCCAGTCTCCTGACAACTTGTCATGACAATCACGTTCCATATGTCTCTGATCCGACCAATTTCGACCCCACTCTCACCCCTCGGAACGCCATCCGGAGTCTCCTTTCTTCGAATAGACTCCCGCGCGCCCTTCAGACGCCGTCGGTTCTGTCTCTGATACAGAAAAGCCAAGATCTCGTACGAGATACTGCAGACCTCTCAAAAAAGCTTCTCCAGAAGTGCCAGATACTAAATATGAACCTCGCGACTGGCACGACGACGGTTCAATTCCCGTTGTCCTTAGGAGCTCTCAACCGCAAGCTAGACCAAAGCAAAATCCATCAACTCCAATCCACGACCCTTCGACGCATCACGGATCTCCTCGCTCCATTTCCCGATAATCACTTCCCTCTACGCAGCTACGAAGGCTTTACGTCCCTTGTCTTTCCTCCATATGCTGTCTCCACTCCAAAGAGACAGACATTCACACTTGGGGGTGTGATGTTCTCACCTGTCGATCGCTCTAAGCATGCACTAGCTGACAACAAGTCCCATACTCCCGGATCCTCATCAACAGCTACTACTAACCAAACCGATACCCACACCTGCAATCCTAATTCTACTAATTTTAAGGACATCCAAAACAACAACATCTGGTTTCTTTCCCGCCAACCATTCATAAAAAACCGTCTGCCTACACACCATCTCTGCCTTCCACTTCCACTTCCACTTCCAGTCTCATCTCTATCTCAATCTCAATCCTCACCCGCCATCCGCGATCAGACTCCCCTAAACACCAACAAAGACTCCCGTGAACCAGAAGACGGGGAAGAAACAAACCACACAAACCCCACCCCCTGGATCCTCTGGGACAACCGCTACTGGATACGCGTGTCCGTGTCAGCAATACCACCCCAGACCGAAACCATCGACACCCCTATGCCAGAAACCCGGTCCAAAGCCACGGAATACAACTACCAAGGGGGAGAGAACGTCAACCTCCCGCTCATGATTCGACCCTTACTTAAATCCGATATTGAGTTTATTCGTCAAATTTCTTCTTCTCCCTCTCCTCCTTCTTCTAATCCCTCCACGTCCCCAAACTCTAATATCAAGGACATCAAGGAAAACAAACCGCTAGACCAGTTTCTCAAACGACTCGCAAAGGAAGCACCAGGACAGAGCCGATTTACATTACCGGTGGTAGTGATCTCGAAGGAGTTTTTTGAAGGCCTGGAGAAGGATATACCGGTGGCGTTGCCGACGATGGACCAGTGGGTTCCTGGGATAGAGGAGATGATGAGGACTCGATGTGCCATGGAGGGGTTGAAGGTACAGTGGGAGTGGATGTATAAGAAGGTGGATATTGAGCCTCTGGAATTGATGGGTGGGTTGGTGGAGTTGGAGAAAGAAGACTCCGACTCCTTGAGCTAGCTAGGTGGTTCTTGTTATTATTTTACACACAAAGAAAATAATAAAAAGGAATAAAGAAGTGAATGTGTAAGTGACATGAAGGAAATGCGATAAAGAGGCACGCTACTCCAGTGCTAAGTGGATGCGATCAAAATCTGCCCAATTGAACCCCATTGAATGCATTCAAGAAAACCAAAGGGAAAAAAGAGAGAAAGAAAAAGGGCTACACAGTATGTTGCAATGTGATACAAGAATGAAGAGAAAAAGGTAGGAAGGAAGGAATGGCCCTATCAACACCAGTAACCAGAATGTTATGATATGACAGGACGGAATTCTCCAAGAGAAATGATCACCCTTCATCAAGGGTTGCATAGACGCCAAAATGAGCGGTAAAAGAACACCATCAATAGAGGCCAGAAAAGAAATAAGTCAAGGAAAATAAAGGAAGGTCCTCATGTTTCAGTGATATGCGTATACTCATGTCCAATCCAGAAATTGCCGAAGGAACGGAGTTCGAGATTTCATTCACTCGCCTTCAGCAGAGCCACGGCGGCTTGTTGGGCCCGTAGGCCGGCGACCTCTCGCTTGAGCCGGAAGTTCTCCTTCTTTAATCTCCCGATATCGTCTAATGCCGACGACAGCTGGGATTTAATGGCATCTTCGGCATTGCCGGTCCGCACCTCTTTCGAGATTTTGCTCAGCTCCGAGTTGAATCGATCATACAGGGCCTCGTTCTCGGCGCTGGCCTCCCGATACAGCTCGTCAAGCTTTTTGGCGCGCTTCTCGCTGACCACTAGGGAGGACTCCAAGTCCTTCTCGATGGATGTCGTACGGCCATTGAACTCTCCAGAGAGCGATTCGAATTTCCTCTCGAGATCCTGAACTCGTGAGAGAAGGGCTGCGCTTGCATCGGGTGCAAACGGGTCACCTAGCAATCGACTGCTTTCCTCTGCCCGGGGGCCAAGCCTTAACGCTCGTAATTCGTCGCCGATAAGATCCAACTCATCTTTCAACCCAAGCTGCGCAGTAGCCTGGCTCCTCTTTTCGTTTTGCAGGCGATCTCGGAGCTGTTCAAGAAAGGAATTAGAAACGCACTTCATGAGAGACCACTGTACATACGAGAAAGGGGAACGATTACCTTCTGTGGGCTTTGCATCCGCAGCTTTTGCGGTTTCTGGGGAGATGATGAACTCGTCGGGCGCTTCGTGTCAGATCCGTTCACAGGAACTGCTCGCTCTTTCAAGCCGGGGTGCCTTGAGGATGGTATGCTGGTAGCTCGTGATCGTCTTTTGAGTTCTCCCGTCGGCGACATTTTCCGGGGAGACCGTTCCGTCTGCGACAGCTTGGGGTCGATGTTTTCTTTTCGACTAGGGGTAACGGGGCGTGTCGGAGATCGCCGACTGGGTGAGGTCAATCGGACAGGGGAGCTACTCTTTGCAGGCGACGTGCTCCGAACCGTAGATCCGGAACCGTGGCTGGTTGGCGGCCGGTCTTGCTTTGTTGGAGTCATGCTTTCGGCTTGGGCGAGATTGCTAGATGATGCTGGAGTCGTCGGCCTCTGTGCCTGACCTGGAGACACACCGGAAGCATCACTTGAGGCTGTCCCCGGTCTCAAATCTGACAAAGAGCTCCGTCTCTTCCGGCGCACTTTCACCACTCCGTTTGTTGATATACCCCGAATCGACGACAAGGATGCTGTCTCTTCCTGGGAACTACCTGGTCGTCGGATGTTTTCTTGAGAGAGGGAGGCTCCCGTTCGATCACGAGAGCCGGGACGTAGCAAATGAGCCAAGCTAGTGTCAACATCGATCGATTTTGAACGCAGCAATGAGTTTCTTGGGGTGCTGGCCTCGGAGTCATTAGAGCCTTTGCTTTTACTGAGTGTTCGCAAGATCGACGAGACCTTGCTCTCTCCTTCAATCTTGGAATTTTCTCGATGCAGGCCAAAGCCGAATCGCTTGCGAAAGGAGGACGCGTTGGAGTTCATAGACCCGGCGGTTTGCGAAACGGACTGCGTCTGATCGCAGCTCAAAGCCCCCTCCACCGAGGCACCACCGGGGATGAACTCGTCAAAAAGATTGTCGAAGTCATCAACCAATCGGTCCAGCAAAGAAATATGTTGCATCGGGTCCCCCTCAACCGTCAGGACCTCGGCAAAGGCCGCAGTTAAAGCTCCTCGGTCACCGTCGTTCCCAGAGGCATCAAGCAGTTCGGCCAGTAATCGCACCAAGGAGGCCAATGCACGACGATTTTGTGGACTCATGTCCGCTAGGAACTTTCGGAAGTTTTCATCAAAATCCCGAGGAAACATGGTGTCGAATTGACTCTGGAGGAGTTTCATCGAGGATGGCTCCAGGACTGGTCCCATCTGCTCCCGCCAGGCGTTTCCCATGAAAGTCTCAAAGGCCACGAAGAGGGTGTCTACAGGCACCTCGGCCGCCATCTGGATCCTCCCAGGATCTTCTAGCAACACATTGTAGAGCTCATTGACCGCGGAACGATCGACATTGTCCCTCGCCCGAAGGGTACGGCCCACGATGTTGCCACTGCGAGACTGGAGAGCAAGAACGTAGGCGGCGAATGCTTGCTCGAGCACGCTGAATGGGCTTTCCGTCTCTTTCGAGGGAGATGCGCTAACCATGGAAATCTTGCTCGGTGTTTCCTCTCTCTTGTCCTCCTTTGCCGGGAAAACAGAAGGCAAGGTATTGGAGCGCGACATATTACCGCGGGGTGGCGGCATCTTGGGAAATTCGCCCAGCAACGTTGCAGAGGTGGGTGTTTTGGAGTTTGACGTGTGCGTCTCCTTTGATTGACTCCCGCCCAGAAGACTCGAAAGCAATTTGGTCGGGGACGGAGGTCTAAACCCACGGGGCGTCTTCAGCTGCGGCATGATATAGCCGGCCAGATAGCGAAGGATCTCAAAGTTGGAGTGGACGATGGATTCGGTCATGGTCCGATTTTGAGGGCCATGTAAAGGCAAAAGGACGTTGAGGACTACAAACGGTCAGCAAACAACTGGACGCACATCGAGAGCTGGTGCTCTAGATACTTACGACGTTTGGAGAGCACGGGCACGAAACTATCCGCCGTGACGATATCTGAGGATGCGGTGCCGACTATGGTGTCTATGTCCACTCGAAATTGGTCTTCACCCGACACGGATATCCCGACAATCACCTCTAGATCCGACGAATCCAATATTTGCCTGCTCGTGGCCCTCGAGGTGTCAAACACAACCCTGATTTTGGACATGCCGACCCGGTTTGTCAGCGACCCAGCTCCATCTTCCTTGCTTTCTTCCTCGAATACACACGCCAAGATGCCGAGATTCCCAACAGTACCCGTAGGGCTGCGCAGGGACCATTTGCCGTTCTCCCTTTCGGACTCGGTAAACCGACCGGCAATCTTCGCCTTGACAATGTCTTCGATGACGCGAACGGCGCGGCCCTCGTGAGTCGAAGTCAGCTCCAGGGCCAGAAGATCCACCGTCGTATTCTGGGTGGGTTTCGATTTGGCGGCTGTAGGAGCGAGAAACAAGATGCGCCCACAGCTAGATTGAGTGCAACGCACGGTGTGAAGATCGTACACTTGCACAACGCGGATTTCATTGGGAGGCAGCGATCCCGAAGGGCCACTGGTGGCAGATGCAGCGTTATCCAACTCGGCCAGCAAGCCTCGCGCCATGATTTTGCTACCCGCAGCCTTCGCCAACAACACCAGGCAATTCTTGTATACCAGCATGATTCCAGGATTTGGATCCAATGACGGAGGATCCACATGGTAAGGGGGGGACAGCTCATTAAAATCGACCGCTGTAATCAATCGACTCGAGGGCAATATCGTGGACGGCCAACCGTCCACCAACTCCTTCAGTCGGCGAAAACTGAGGTCGTGGTTTGTTGACGAAGAGTCATCCAGGGCGCAGATGTCGTTGATGACGTCTCGGGCTTTCAAAAACGGACGGATGGCCGGGTGAACCAAGGGGAGACTTTTCATCATGGTGTCTATTAACAGACTGTACCGGGGCAGGCGCTGCACGGGCTCCATGAGTAAGGATCGAAGCATCTGCTCTCCGGTGTCATGCACGCGCTTGGAGAAACTGGACTGCTTATCCTTCATGAAAGAATTCAGCACCTGGGTGAAGCTGTTATGAGCATTCATGTAATCTGCGTAGGGCTCCGAGAACCGAGGAAACCAGTCCAGCAGCGCATTGGCCAATACCACCGCCCCAACCGGATCATCTCGGTCCTCTTTTGACGGGGTGCGTTGTGACATGGACGAAGACAGCTCGGTATCCCTGGTCATATCCTCGATCGCTTCCCTCTCTGTCTCCTCGAGGACCTGGCGGATCACCTCCAGGAATCCCATGTTGACTTCGAGAATCGCGTTTAGACAAGGTGGGAAGAGTTTGGCCAGGTCTGATTCGGTCGGACTTGTGCTGGATGACCCTCTTCCTTGAGCCTTTATGCGAAATTCCTCCGCTACATTGCGTACCAGAGTAAAGAGCTTGTTCACATATCTTTCCTCTGTATCCACAAACTCGCACATAGTTAAACGGAATGCCTGTTTCTGGCTTGTCGAGAAGACGCGGGATCGATTCACCTTCGTAGGCTGGGACGGGGCTCGCTTTAGTCGCGATGTCGGCAAGAACACGGGTTTCCCCAGCGATTGAACGAGTGATGAATACTGGCCGTACAGAGTGTCGGGAGGGTCCTCCATGTCAGCTAGATCGTCCAGTTCGTCCTCGCCCGGTCGCTGCGGCGGTTGAATGATTCCCGGGGGAAACACGACGTCGAGATCCACCCAAGGGACCTTGCGCTCCTGGAATGCACCGCGGATGTCGCGCACGATATCGGCCGTATATTCCACCTTTGTCATGCGGTTTGCCAGGTCGGCGGCATGCATCTCGTCGAAGAGTTTGGGAATCTGCCCCCCCGGTCTGCCAGCACGCGCGAAGGCATGCAGGCAGTCCTTGGCGGGCTCAGACAAGTCGGCGAAATATTTCAACATCCCGACAGCTAGACCACGACATACTACGTCGCCTTGTTTCTCGCGGGGGAGGTGATTGACGGCGGCGTACAACGGGGCGGCGGGGGAGACGGTGATGCGCGGATAGCTCTGAAAGCCGGCGGGGGTCAGGACATGCGCCTGAATGCGCGAGCTGCTGACGGTGGCATTTGCGGTCGCGACGGGGCCATAGAAAACGAAGACGGAGGACAGATAGGGATCGGAGGCCTGGTAGAGAGCGAGTTGTTCCAACGGCAGGTCCGACGGGGCGCTTGTCACGGTCGCCATCGTGGCGGAAGCAGCGAGGCTGGCGCGCAACCGGGGGAAATCAATATGGAGATACCGACGGAGGAAACCAAGAAGCTAACCAATCAATGCTGCACCAAACTGAAACAAAGACAAAGGGGTGGAGAATAAGATAAGAAAGGTATGAAAAGAACAATCGGTGGATTACACAAAAGAAAGGAAAAGAACGACGAGCGAGCGATGGGAAAGTTGCACACGCAAAGGCCACTGATACTCTAGAAAGAGACACGAGGGAGCGACTGCGCCGAAGGCATAATACTCATCGGGAACAAGGATAAGAAAACAGGCGAATAGCGAAAGACGGTCCTCATGCAGTCGACGGAGGAAGGATAGGAAACCCCTCCATGGGAAGAGTCCAGAGAGATGACTGATGGCGGAGAGAGCGAGAGCGAGAGACGCGTTGAGGTTCCCTGGGGACAACCCGGGAGGGCGAATCACTGGAGCATGAATGAGTTGTTTCGGAGGGGGGGAAAGATGAAGAGGGCGAGTGGGGACTGCAGCCGGGATTAATGATGATTGTTGTGGTGGTTGATCGGTGGTTGTTGTGGTGAAAGAAGGATGGGGATGACTGCAGATGATTTGCGCGGCGCATCCAGTCGACGAGACCAATGCTGCATGTGGACGAGGGGGCAACCAAGTGGGGGGGATGAACAACTCGGGTTGACGTCCTTGCGGGAGGATTTCTTTATCTTCGTATTTTCTTACGTCTACTTATCATGGCTCCATTATAGTCGGAGATCAGATCGCTTCTATAAAACCCGATGCGACTTCTGTTCGATGGGTACTTCCTCCGATGTACCTGACCGCAGAACTGGCGATGCACAAGTACCCCGGGCTCATGTACACCTGAACAACTACATTCAAAACGTCGGAACCATGGATGCGATCTGGAGATCCCGATCCCGACCCAGATCCCTGGCAGGGGCTGTGAATACGGAGTCATGGACTCGTGCACCGATATCCCGACTGATGGGTCCATGAAACTCCTGGTCATGACTCCAGTCCACGAGGAGGTGCGTTGTTGGACTTCGTTGTCCCCGTGCAAAAGTACGTGACGGCGTAAGGCATGAGGTGATGTTTCTGTTTCCCCTGCAGATTTCAAACCTCCGAGCTGCCGGCAGACAAATAGGATGGTAGTTCTTGGTAGAAACTATTACGCAGCAGTAGGGCTCTGGTCAATCCGACATGCCGAGATGGAATAACTACTGGAAGTCCCTTGCTCCGGACTGGACTGTATACAAAGTACTGTACTACGATAGCGCGAGGGAAGGTCCAAGTCACTCGCAAGTACCTCTGCCAGCCAAATGGCCGCGTGGAGGTACCGCCGAGTGACTTGGCACGGATGAGTCAGCCATCCCGGGAGCAAACAGGCCAAACTGGCAGCAGAACAGCTGTTGTTCTTCCGCTCGCCGTTCGTCTTCCTTCCTTCGCTGCGTCGCCTCGTCTCTCTTTGCTTATTCCTCCTCTCTCTTTCTTCGTGGTTTCCTCAATCCAGGGCCATGTTCTAATCTTGCTCTGTTGTCGGGCAGTCTTACATCCCCTCACCCCCCTCCCTCTCTCTAATCCCTAGTCTCTCTCCGTCATGTCGTCCGCCTCCCTTCCTATCGCCGTCGACCCCGTCGCTTTGGTGACTACAGAATGTATCACTGTCACGTCGGCTATGCGCAAACATGCCCGCTGGGCTCATTCTTCCGTTTCCGCCATTCTAGGCCAAGCTACCGGCTCCCGCGTCTACGACCGTGATACCTCCGCCCCTCCGAGTCCCCGCAATGGCACGTCGACGTCTCGTTCCGCATCCCGGGCCCCCGCCCTCGATGATGATCATACTCTGGCCAATCGATGGGGCTTGAGAGGCAAGAAAGGCAAGAGCATGCAGGACAACCCCCTCATCTCGGCCTTCACTCGATTACGGAGTGATCTGAAGGGTTGCAAAGACATCCGCACCTTCGATGCTCCCTCTCTACTACATCCGTTCCTCCAGGTCGTCCGCTCCTCGTCCACCTCCGCCGCAATCACCTCGCTCGCCTTGGTGGCCCTGACCAAGATCTTCTCCTATAACATCATTGGTCGGGACTCCCCTCGGCTCTCCATGGCCATGCAACTCTTATCCGCCGCAATCACCCACTGTCGATTCGAAGCCAGTGACTCCGCCGCCGATGAAATCGTCCTGTTGAGGATTCTGAAATTGATGGAAGGCGTTTTGTCTCGCCCGGAGGGTGAACTGCTTGGCGACGAGAGTGTGTGTGAAATGATGGAAACCGGGTTAAGCATGTGCTGTCAGGTCCGCCTGTCGGAGGTCTTGAGGAGGTCCGCGGAAATGGCCATGGTCAATATGTGTCAAGTGATATTCATGCGACTGTCCCACCTCGAGATTGCGGAATCCTCCGAGGAGATTCCCGCGCTTTCCATTGCGGGAGGCGACCAGCCGACCAATTTCAAGATGGACCCTTCTGTCGACGGAGATACCGTGACCTCGCAGCATCCGTCCGCCATGGGCTCGGATACCGCCGTTCCGGAGCGCGAACGCGGTAGCAGGGAGGAGACTCCGGAACAAACCCCCAACGGCAGTGCCGTCGCCGCTCCCCCCAACCCGCAGGACGACGTTGGGGACGACGTCGCGCCTTACTCCCTGGCCTCTATTCGGGAACTTTTCCGGGTACTGATTGACCTGTTGGACCCCCACAACCACCAACACACCGACCCCATGAGGGTCATGGCACTGAGGATCATTGACGTTGCGTTGGAAGTTGCGGGTCCGGATATTAGCAGGCACCCTAGTTTGGCGTCTTTGGCTCAAAACGACCTCTGCCGCCACTTGTTCCAATTGGTGCGATCAGAGAATCTGTCGATTCTGAGTGAGTCGCTGAGAGTGGCGGGCACCCTGCTTCTAACTTGTCGCTCCGTGCTCAAGCTCCAGCAGGAGCTGTATCTGTCTTATCTGGTCGCTTGCCTCCATCCTCGGGTAGAAATACCCAAGGAGCCCGGTATTAACCCGGCCCTTTACGACGGGGTGCCACAAGCGCCCAAATTAGTGAAACCTCCTCCGTCTCAGTCCAACAGTGGCAGATCCACGCCTGTTCCCGTGAAAGATCGGCAGAAATTGGGCTTGGAAGGGGGCTCCCGGAAGCCGGAGACGCGAGAAGCCATGGTCGAAAGCATCGCCGTGCTGGCGCGGATTCCAAGCTTCATGATAGAGCTGTTTATCAACTACGATTGCGAGGTGGACCGTGCCGACCTATGCGAGGACTTAATCGGACTTCTCTCTCGTAGCGCGTTCCCCGACTCCGCCACGTGGAGCACGACCAATGTGCCCCCGCTATGTCTGGACGCACTGCTGGGCTACATTCAATTTGTGTACGATCGAATGGACGACGAGCCTGTGCAGGCCGGCTTTCCTGCACGGGAGGATTTGAAGACCCAGCGCAAAACCAAGAAAATCATCATCGCCGGCGCACAAAAGTTCAACGAAGATCCGAAAGCCGGTATTGCCTACTTGGCTGCTCACGGTATTATTGATAACCCTGACGATCCTGTTCTGGTGGCCAGATTCCTCAAAGGAACCACCCGACTGTCTAAGAAGGTTCTAGGCGAGTTTATTTCCAAGCGATCCAACGAAGCGCTCCTGGAAGCATTTGTCGATCTTTTCGATTTTTCGGGGAAGACTGTGGTCAACGCTCTTCGCGACCTCCTCGGTGCCTTCCGCTTGCCTGGCGAATCCCCGCTCATTGAGCGCATCATCACGACATTCACGGATAAATTCATCGAGAAAGCGCATCCCCCAGGTGTCGCTGATAAAGATTCCCTGTTTGTCCTGACATACGGCATCATCATGCTTAATACAGACCTGTACAACTCTAATATTAAAGCCCAAAACCGCATGTCTTACAATGACTTCGCGCGAAACCTGCGCGGTGTAAACGCTGGGCAAGATTTCGCGCCTGAGTTTTTGCAGGACATCTACGATTCTATCAAGCAGAACGAGATCATTCTGCCGGATGAGCACGACAACAAGCATGCGTTCGACTTCGCCTGGCGAGAGCTCTTGTTGAAGTCCTCCTCAGCTGGCGAGCTTGTTGTAGGCGAGACCAACATCTACGATGCGGAGATGTTCGAAGCCACTTGGAGACCTGTGATCGCTACCCTTTCGTATGTCTTCATGTCCGCCTCGGATGATGCTGTTTACTCCCGAGTGGTCCAGGGATTCGACCAGTGCGCTCAAATCGCTGCCCGGTACATGCTGACAGAGGCTTTTGACCGAATCCTCTTCTCTCTTTCGTCCATCAGCACACTTGCCACTCAAAATCCCCCAAGCACTGCCCTCAATACGGAGGTGCAAGCTGGAAAGAAGAGTGTTATGGTCAGTGAGCTTGCTGTGAAATTCGGAAGAGACTTCAGAGCCCAGCTGGCCACGGTGGTTCTTTTCCGAGTTTTGGCAGGTAACGAATCCGCTGTTCAAAAGAGCTGGACATATATTGTCCGCATCCTCAACAATCTCTTCATCAATTCCCTCACTCCTCCGTTCGATACCAGCCTGAATTCCGAACTTGAGATACCCCCTATTCCACTGCAGCTGCCGTCGCAGGTTGTGGACCGTGAAGGACGTGGAAACGAGACTGGATTGCTGTCTGCCTTCACGTCCTATCTGTCCAGCTATGCCGCCGATGATCCTCCGGAGCCATCTGATGAAGAACTTGACAACACTTTGTGCACCGTGGACTGCGTTACCGCATGTTCCATCAACGATATATTGACCAATATCAAGTTAGTTAACTCATCGCTCTCTCTTAACCGAATTCTAAGTAACATTTCTAGGTCTCTTCCCTTGGAATCCGTGTCGCTTGTGGTAGAGTCTCTATTGTCACAGTTGCCCGAGGAGTCCGCACCGGCAGTTATTGTCGTGAAGCCCGAGAGACCGTCTCCCGCGTCGAGGGCAAATGGCAAAGCTGATGCCAGCCAGTCGAAATATGACCCTGGAATGATGTATCTTTTGGAGCTGGCGACCATCATCACCCTCCGAGACGATGAAACATTAGAGGCCTTGGGCGAGCGACTTTTGACTTCGCTGCAAGCGTTTATTCGGGATGCTCGGAACCTCCATTCGCTGGCCTTGTCGCGCATCATTTATTATTTGTTGAATCTGTTGCGACTCAGCCATGTATGTGAATCTTTCCCCAGTCGTAAACAGCCTTTGAAACTTGCTAACTTTCTGCTAGGATCATTCATTCATGCGTGTGCCTGTTGTTCTGCATGGCATCTCCGGATTTGATCAAGACATATTGGAAAACGTTGCCATACCCACTGTCAAGGGACTCACCCGATGCATTTCGCACGGGGGCCTTTTGCGTAATGAGGTCACTGTTTCCCCTGATTTCTGGTCAATCTTGCAAAGACTCCATCAACATAAGGAAGCAGGGCCATTGGTGTTTGACCTCCTCCAACATGTTATTGACTCCTCGCCGCCTATCATTACCGCAGACAATTACGAGTCAGCAGTCGCCCTTGCGAATGACTTTGTTAGCGCTGGTAGCGTGGGGTCCATTGACGAACGTCAAAAGGACGCGGTCTCACGGCGCTCCAAGGGCGTTAAACAGCCCAGATCAAGGTCCGTTCTGCATTCAGTATCCCTCGTTCCTGTCATCATGTATTAACACATTAGCCGGATAGTGAGAACGAGGTTGTTTCCCGAGCCTTGAAGGCGATTAGTCTCATCTACCAACTCACCGGACGAGTTCCAAGTCTGATCAAGCAGTCTCACCTTGAAGACAATGAAGGTCTGTACAAGCTGTCTTTTCGCCCTAAAGCGCCGACTGTCTGACTAATGTGGCTTACAACAAACAGCTTGGTCAGCCTACTGGTCTCCTATCTTCCTTTCATTGACCGCCCAATGCATTAATCCCTGCCGAGATATCCGGCACAATGCCATTTCAACCCTGCAGCGGTCGCTTCTCTCTGTCGAGATGAATTCCACCGACAGCAAGGAGTGGACCGCCATCTTCGATCAAGTGCTGTTCCCGCTCGTTTTCCGACTGTTGAAGCCGGAAGTCTACCATTCAGACCCTGTTGGAATGAGCGAGACCCGCGTACAGGCGGCCATTTTGGTCTGTAAGATCTTCTTGCGTTATCTGGATCAGCTTCCGAATCATGATGGCATGCTGGAACTTTGGCTCAAGATTCTGGACATCCTGGACCGGATGGTCAACAGTGGCCAAGGCGATAGTTTGGTATGTGTTTACTCAACCCTCATTATCCCATCAGCCAAACCATGTGCAAAGACTTGCAATGCTAACTATACCTACAGGAGGAGGCAATCCCTGAGAGTCTCAAGAACATTCTATTGGTCATGGCCGACGGAGGATATTTGGTGCCACCATCTCAAGACGCCACCAAAGAGACGATCTGGACTGAAACCAAGAAGCGCTTGGACAGATTCCTCCCAGACTTGTTCAAAGAGATCTTCCCGGATGTCTCAAACGAAAAGCCGCCAGTTTCTACCGTCACGTCTCCCGACCCATCATCAGCCGCTGAATCAGCAACTGAACCTCCCTATGACGAGAAGGTCAAGGAAGAACAGACTCTTCCCGATCCCCCAGCTCCGGAAGCAGACGCTGGAGATGAGAAGACCGAAGAGCAGCCAAATGAATCCTAAACCCAAAGAAACATCCTCTAGAGCGCCTTTTCTTGTTTCTATCTACCTCTTGAGCATTTATCCCGTTGGGAATCTGATGTCTTTTTGCGACCAACTATACATAACATGTAAATATCATGATGCTTTTGTTTCTTGTTGCCCCTGTTGGAACACCACTAGCGCGCACTGTGTCTTTTTTTTGTACTTTCCACCTTTGTTACGGTTAGATTCCTGCTTGATCCGGTGCTAGCCAACCAGCCCACCTTTATGCATTTTCTCTTTTTGGGCAGCATTTTCCCTTATTCACGATACACAAACATCAACCGTTCAACGCTTGGGAGTTTTCTGCATACCATATCCGTTCGTGTAATTGTAGAGTATAATGGTTTAGCGAAGCGAGACCCTTTCTCCAACGTATTCGCCATCCATTACAGATCATGTTTGTTTGCTTGCTATACCTATTTACAGATAACTGCGCAAGCAGTGTATGGCACAGTACATCACACGGAGTATAGTTAGTTAATTAACTATGTTCATTTATACAGATATGTCGAATTGGAAATTGGAAGGTATCACGATAGATAGAAATCACATTGCCATTGCCATTGCCATCCCGACTGGCCTGGATTGGATTTGGATTGTAGGTAGAGGAAAGAAAACCAAGTTGCATAGTGAAAAAAAAAAAAAAAAAAAAAAAGGAAAAGTAAACAAAGGAAAGATGACAAGATGCGAATGTAGTACATTAAAAGATAAAAGACGACGACAGAGTCTCCAACCAGTCTTGAATAGGAATGGATGACATCGAAAACAAGATCACGGCACGGGCAGGTCAAGCAGATAGATCGATATTTGTTACAGAGTGGAAGAATGGGAATAAACAAAAGGAGTGACATTTCATGCGTAATTGGTGAGGAGCGGTGGAACTTATCAAATGATAAGAATGAGAAAATGAGATGGAGAGGAGGGAAAACGCTGGGGTGAGTTTTGACTGATGAGAGGAAAGATAAGGCAGATGAAAAGAGAAAACTATAATCGATTGAACGCGTTGTCCATTTTTTTTTCTTCTCTTCTATCTCTCTCTTTTGTATTTTCTTATTCAGCATCCATATCATCATCAAGGTCAATAGCGTCCGGGTTGACCGGAGCAGCAGGCGGTTCTTGACCAGCGGGAGGAGGCCGGTTGCCACCTTCGGGCCCAGTGCTGGCAGCAACGAAGCCCACAGGGGCACGAGCTTGTCGTTCCAGGGCTGCCATGGCGTCAGCGCGCTCGGCGGCACCTGCGTCGCCATCCTGTCCATCTTCGTTTGCTTTGTCGCCGTCTTGCGGCTGTTGCTGGCCGCGAGCAATCGCTTGCGAGGCGATGAAGTTGACATCCGTGCTGTTGTTGGATAGTGGTTAGCCATTGATGCTGCTTTAGTCTTGGGGAAAGAATGATTAACATACTTGTACTGTGCTTGAACGCTTCGCTTGATGCGGAGCATCTCCTTGAAAGTATCTTCGTTTCCGTGTTGCACTTCGAACGCTTCCCATTTCTGCCAGAAACCGGCGTTGGTGCGAGGATCGCAAAATTGGGAGGCGTGGCCGTAGATAGCACGGGCCCGGTCGATTTCGCCGAGTCTCCGTTCCATCTCGGCAAACTTGAGGCACATCTCCTTGGCTTCCTGGTCCGGCAGAGCCGCGATGGCACGCTCGTAGATAGGTCTCGTGGAGGTCAAGCCGAAGTTCGAGGCCGACTTCGTGATGTAGAACTCGAACATCTCAAATCTATCTTCGTCGGATACCGCGCGCGTAGCACGCTCGTAGATTCTCATGGCATGTCGGGCCAATCCACGTTCCTCTTCCAGGTTGCCGTACATCAGGTAGAGAGGCTTGGCGAACTTGGGGGGGCATCCATCCAGGGCCTGTTCGAAAAGATCCCTTAGTCTCTCGATTCCGATCTTGCGGTCGACTGCCTTGGTCAAATAAAGGTTCCACAATTCGAACGCAACGGGATAGCTGAACAGGTCCAAGCCCCGTTCGTAGACCTTGAAGGAATCCTCGAAGTACTTGTTTTCCTCCAGGAGGTTGGCGTAGTTGACAACGGTCTGAGGGGTGGCGATACGCAGCTCGAAAATCCTCTCGTACACCTGCTTCGTCTCTTCCAGCGAAGCAACACTTTCCACGAGATCGACGTAAAAGCTCCATAGTTTCCAACTCTTGTGAACTCGTTGCTGAGGCGATAGCGTTTCGTCAAAGTAGTCGACGGTGGATTTCTTCGGTGCTTGCGTTGCCTTGGCCATCACCTCAACAGCCTTGTCGAAGTTCTCGCCCCGAAGTTCCATTTCCGCCCACTCACACCACAACTCCGCGAGCTCAGCCACGGATTTGAAGGGAACCTTGACGGCCTTTTCAAGAATGATTCTGGCCGTATCAAAATCGCCGCCAGACTCGTAAAACTTGGCGTAGTTGACCCACAATTCCGAGAATTTGCCATGGGCCTTTTTAGGGTTAATGGCCGCGATAGCTGCCGTGTAGGTCTGAACGATTTCGTGTTTATTGTCGCCCCACAATGCAACCCTCTTTTCCCATTCAATGACGTTGTTGGGATTCTGTCTGAGTAGCACGTCGTTAACAAGGAACGGTCGTCGGTCCATTAATTGTTCGAATCGAAGCATTCGTAGGTCAAGATCGAAATCCGCATCCTCGTCGGACTGGCCGTTGTCAGCGCGGGTTGCCGCCGATTCCATAAGGTTCCCGATAATCGACTCTTCGAATTCAACATAGGAGTCGAAGATCAACGTGAAATCTCGAACCGTCATGACGGTGACGATACCCTCTTCGAAGACGTCTCTCGCTTTCTCGAAATTACCCTTGGTGATCCAGTATGTCGCCAATCCAGCCCACAATTTACCGCGCTGATCAGCAAACCGTTCGATGCCGCTGCGGAGGATGGCGTCCACATCGATTCCAACGTGTAAACCGGTTTCGATCTGCTTTGCTTTCGACACTAGCAAGTCCACCATCTCGGTCCACAGCTGGAAGTTGCTCTTTCCTTCCTTCGATTGGAATCGGGGGTTGTCCAGGATCTCCATGTACCTCTTCACGGCCTCCGTGTACTGGCCCATCTCGACGAGTAGCTCGATGTACTCTTCAGCATTCTCCGGATGGATTTGCATATAACGAGACCAAATCTTGACGGCGGTTTGACCGGAAGCAGACCGAGCGAACGGCTTGTAGAGTCTCCAAATGCGATTGTGTTGAGTGATGGGAAGGGCCCTCAATGCACGGTCGAAGGTCCTCCGGGTCTGCGTCACGAGGGGCTGCTGGAGCAAGAAAGAGAGATACATCTCCCATATCCGCGGCATTTTGTTGAGCAGGATCAGGGCGCGTTCGAAAAGCGCGTTGACTTTTAAAAATTCGGCCCGGTACACAGTCGGGTTCCGGCCTCGTAAATGGTTCGTACGGAATTCAAGATACTGCAATATATAAGCAGATGAACGTGACGACAATTCTTGTTGAAGAAAAAAAAAATACCATCTTCCATAGTTTGTAGGACCTGGGGAGTTGTTTGCACGCGCGCTCCATTACCTAGAGAGAAAGATGCGAGATCAGCCAGAGATTCGATTGCAAACCAATGCGCCACCAGGGAGACTCACAAAAGCTTGCTCATAGAGCGTGCCATGTTGCTGCTTATATTCGACATAAGCAAGCCACGGTTTGACATTGTGCGGATCGCGAAGCAAATCTTGCTCATAAACCGTGTCCTGATCAGCCTATAATTGCATCTCACGATTAGCCCGCACCACCTCATAATCAAATGGCCAAATTACTTACGATCAGATAAAGATCGGGCCCAGAGGCCGTTGTTCGGTCCATCTGTGCGTGTTGCCGGTGGGATCTCGGGGGCAAGAGTGTCCCTGGCATTTCGCCACTCAGTCGAGCGGGATCAGCTCACACGGTGAACACGAAGTCGGGTAGAGAAGGTGCACCGCATGAACCGGGGGGTGCAGGGGGCTTTTCTTGTTGTTCGCGCTGGACAAGATGGAGGATACCCGCTGAAGGACCGTTCAGAGATGAGGTCGCACTGCACGTGACGCCTTGTCATGCGGACTCACGGACCCCCAGTTGGTCCGAGCGCCCTCCATTATCGCGGGCCGCCGCATCGTCATGTCCGCCCAGTCGCTTCGCTATCGTGGCCCCCTCTGCTTTCCATTTGATCGTCTCGCCTACGTCTATCAATCATGTCGGGTGCCGTGGTATGCTTGCGCCCTCGGCTCCATCTCTGCTGCTAAATTCAGGTCAGAACTAATGTCTGCGCGGTTGTCTAGGGCCGTGAGGCTGTCTTCCCGACTCGTCAATCGCTGGGGTTGATGAAGGGTAAGCTGAAGGGCGCTGAAATTGGTCACAGCTTGTTAAAGAGAAAGAGTGAAGCATTGACAAAGTACGTTCGTTATCGCCAATCATACTATTTCAAACACCGATATGCTGACGTTACGTGCACTCTAGGCGATTCCGCGGTACGATAGCTCCTGAATCCATGAGTTCCCCCGGCATTACCCCGACACTAACGTGGGAGGGTAGAGATCACTCGCCGTATCGATGAAGCGAAACAGAAGATGGGACGGGTCATGCAGATTGCTGCCTTTTCTCTAGCGGAAGTTAGCTACGCCGTCGGAGGCGATATCGGTTACCAGATCCAAGAGTCCGCCAAGCAGGCTCGATTCCGCGTCCGGACCAAACAAGAGAACGTGTCTGGTGTCCTATTACCTCATTTCGAGAGCTTCACGGAGGACTCTATCAACGACTTTGGTCTCACCGGTCTTGGAAAAGGTGGTCAGCAGGTGCAACGATGTCGGGAAACCTACGCCAGGGCGGTAGAGACACTGGTTGAACTTGCGAGTCTACAGGTATGAAGGGCTATGGTATACGGTGCCATGCGACTTACCCTTGGCTAATCATCTTGGATTAGACTGCATTCGTTATTCTGGACGAGGTGATCAAGGTTGTCAACCGAAGAGGTAAGTAGTTGGCCGTTCCTGTGAACTTCTGCTCATTAACTAACTCCGATTATAGTCAACGCCATGTAAGACAGGCCATCCCCGGGCCATAGTGTTTATCTCTAACCCAGGCATCTAGTGAGCACGTCATTATTCCCCGTACAGAAAACACCATCAAATGTGGGTATCCTCCCGACCTCATGCTCATTACTCCGATTAACGCAATACTAGACATCAACTCCGAGCTGGACGAGCTGGACAGAGAAGAATTCTACCGACTCAAGAAGGTCTCGGGCAAGAAACAGCGCGACAACGCTGCTGCGGACGCCGAGATCATGGCTGCGAGAGAAAGAGAAGCAGCGAAGCAGCTAACAGAGGGCAGGCCTAAAAAAGAAGAGGAAACACCCGATGCCCCGGACGTTCTTGGGGAGCAAGAAGACGCAGATGTCATTTTCTAAAGGCGAATATCTTCTCGTGCATTTCCTTATACCGTCTCATGTAACTAGTATACTCGTTTTCTAGCATGCAGCTGTCTTTTATTTCTTGGTATCATTCATAAGCTATTTTTTTTTCGAACTCTTTTTTCTCTCTTACAAGTGTTGTGCTAGGGTACAAAGAGTAGAAGACGAGGCAAGCACAATTACACCGCCATGAGAAACAATTCGTACATTTCTCTGCAAATTCTAATCGAAATTCCAGACATGAAAAGAATAAAAACCCCACCCCAACGCCATGAAAAGCCCAAGACAATCCATTACTGTCTCTGGTACGTGACCCGAATAGGCTTGCCATTCTCTCCCATCGGCATACCCGAAGTCGCCTCCTTCGCGCTGATCGCTCCGGACTCGCTCTCGTACTCGACGAACGCAATCCCCTTGCGACCCGGCACCAGTCGGACTTCCTGGAACCCCTCGAAGCGACCAAACACGGCGGTGAGGCTGTCCTGGTCCGCGGTGTCGGGCAAGTCCCGCAGGAAGAGGATCTTGTTCGGAGGCAGGTACTCGTCGGGGATGACGGTCGTGGCGGCCCCGCTGGTGGGCTTGAGACCGGCTCCTTTGGCGGTTTTGGCAGGGCGCGTGGATTCGGGGCCGACAGGGGGTCGTTTGAGTTTCTTTTGAGCTTCGAGGGCTTCGTGGGCTTGTTTGCGTTCTGGCGTGGGGGTTGCAGTTAGTAAACACATTCACGCTGGTAGACCGGAGAATAGCCCCGGGGTCTTGGGGCTCGAGCTCAAAAGTGAGACCGTAGCCAACAGAGCATAAGACCATAATTAAAGGAAAAGAAAAGCGCACCTTTCTCAGCTAGCCGCCTCCGCTTATGAACCTCAAGCTCCTCATTCCCTCCTTCCCGCAAAACCGTAGCGTCACTCCTTGTCTTCGCATAGTCCAGAACCATAGGCTTATCGAAGAGATCGAAGCCGTTGATTTCGTCGATCGCGCGGGTGGCGGATTCCACGTCGTCGAACACAATGAACGCCTGGCCCTTGGCCTTCAGGTTGGTCTTCGCGACGATCTCGATGATGTTGCCATATTCCGAGAAGATCTCGTCCAGTGCGACCTTCAGTTGGTCAATTTTGATTCGTTCTTCCAGGTTACGAACCTAGATAGCCCGGCAGTGTGGTTAGTGAGCGTTCACGGCGCAGTCTGGGAGTGTAATCTTTTGCGGAGGTTGGCGATGGGACATACATAAACTCTGTCAGAATAGGGTAGTTAGCTTGAGGGAGGCTCTGTAAAAGCGAAAGAGGAAGCTGGAGGAAACTCACGTATTGTTAGGGGGGATGCTTCCCGTGGACGCTGGTACGGCCGCCATGATTTGCGACTTGTCGGGGTTGTGATCAATTGAGTCGGTAACTGTCTTGAAGGAGCTACGGGACTTCAATGAGGAGAGGAATGAGCTGTAGATTAGAAACAAAGATATGACGACAAAGTTTACCAGCCTTTACAAGTAACTAGCATCATTGGTCTAGTGGTAGAATTCGTCGTTGCCATCGACGAGGCCCGTGTTCGATTCACGGATGATGCATTTCTTTTTTGCGCTTTGCTTTTTGCCCTTCACTACAAATTGCATCAGCCTGTCAACCCAATTATTAGTAAGTCTTAAAGTTGGTTTTCGGGTTTGGGTTTCCCCCTATTTCTTTGTATCTCCTCTTTAATCCTCATCTGTTAGACAGAACCAATGCTGTACGTATTCGCATACACAAACGGCTATAGTTAAAACATCTACAACCCCCAAGTCTCCCGCAACGCTCCTACAAGGCCCTTCAACTCTTTGGGCTGCCTCATCCAATCCTCATACTTGACCTTGTCCAGCTCGGTTTCCATATACAAGTATTCCGCAATGTTACTTCGAACCTGTATAGCGTCAGCATAGTCCCGGTCACCCAGCAAAGCAGAAAGAAGCCTACCCTTGGGAAAGGATGCAAAAGCATGCCCGTCATCTTCTTGAGCGCTTCAGTGCGCAATGGCTCCAATCGACATAGACACGCGTACACTCTGATCGCTGCTTCTAGTCTTGCGATATTAGAGGTTTTGAAATGGGCCTTTTGTACAAGGACGAACAGTTTCCTGAAACTGTGGAGTTGTGTTGATCATTAGTCAATGGGTGTCTGGTGAGGTGTGAGATAAACTAGAATGGAATGGAACTGACCTGGGCTCGGAATCGGCAGGGATTGAAGAGATATAGCCATCTAACAGGAACGCGAGTAGCTCGATTACCGGTATAGCATAACGGTCATCTTGAAGGTTGTCACTCAATATAACCAAAAGATCTTTTATGACAGAAACCACTGCGATGGGCAGTTCTTCCGCCCCCCGGTTGTTAATCCATTCAACCAAGGCTGAACGCGAAGAGCGAATAAGTCCCTCGGCTCCGGCGACGGCGGAAGTTGCAATACCCTGGAGGATCGGGACACGCAACCACTCGACTGCTTCCAGATCGAGGAGCTGTAGGAAATAGTCCGGCGAGGACACATGGCTGAAATGTTCGTATCGTCTAGTTTGTGTCAGCATAGAGATCTCATCGCTTGTCCATACTATGGAAATTCACACCTTTTCAATTGTGGAAACTCATCGGTTGATTCCCAGAAACTCTGCAGACATAGCCAGGCTTGAAGGCGAACTTTATCCAGCTTTTCGGCTGCTAATCGGCAGAGACATCCGATGATGTTCTGGACGTGCGAGTCATGAATTGTGAATTTCGAGTTCTTCTGAAGGAGAATATGTGCTGATTGAATTGCCTCTAGCCGAATTTGAGAGCCAATATCACCGCGTCTATCTGTAGTATAGTCATCCAAGAAGCTAATCACATGTTCTGAGATGGCATCCGTTTCGTCTGTTTCATGGTCAGCCACTTTCTATCCGGAACTGTGGATTTGCATACCTAAATATGGAAGAACACCTGTAGTCAAGCTCTTCACAGCCATTACTCGCTTTTCAATCAATTCGTCTTTCTCGGTGCATCGCAACAACTCCTCCACAATCGACTGCCTCAACTCGCTCCTTACATCAAGGTGCTTGAAAATAGCACCCAGAACTGAGATTTGGCCGCGGCCAGTTGGTAATTTCCGAGTGGTGCCGATGTGCGAAAACCAGCCTTGAATTATTTCTTCCTGTCTTGTTGGAGTCAAGAGAGGGAATATCCCAGATACCGATGGAGAGGAATTCTCGATGGCAATGTCTTCGCCTCGAGAAACGCAGAGCAGAAGAGTTTCAAGGGCTTTATCGAGCACGTCGGCGGACGGTTGTGGAACTTTTGGCACCGTCTCTTGTGACACTGAACGAGAGAGAGAAGAGATCAGACATGCTGCCGCTTCAGCTGTCAATTCAGGACGTGAGATTTGGAGCGTCAGGTCCTTCTTGGTAGGGCCGGCTGGAGAGTTAAATATGTTCCAGATTTCCTCTAGTTGGAGCACAACATCTGCTGCCTCAGTGCCATCCTCCGAGTTCTCACGACAGGTATTGAAGGCTTCAACCGTCGCAGAAAGTGCTAGCAAACAGCCGTGCCTCCCCTCAACATCGCTGTGTGGAAGGTTCGTAAATTTGGTGATCAATCGCTGAAGCACAATCTTAAGTGACTTGTAAGAGTTCTGGGTGCTCAGGTTCCCGATGGCTTTTGCTGCCTGCCTCCTAGATTCGGCGTCTGGTGATCCAATGCCTCTCCAGTGCATCAGCGATTCAATCAGAGGGCTCCAATAATGGTGGCTCAGGTCGGCAGTAGCTTTTGCGACATCATTCATGGCCCTTGAGCGACGAGCCACGGCGTGATAATCAACCACTTGAACCAGCGGGATTCCCTCGGAAATGGTATTAGGATGCCGTCCAATAAGTTCCTGTAAGGCAGCGGATGCACCTCTCCGAATATTTCCAGACGGATCCACACAAGCAGCACATACTAGCTCTATGGCCAGCATCTGCAGGATGTTCGTTTCATCCTGGGCTGTAGATGTGTTGATTGTCTGCGGTTTCAAAGCGAGCAGTTCCTGGGTTGTGTACTTCCGAGATATGGCCCAGATTCCAAAGCAAGAGGCATCTCGTACACCAGTGCCCACGGAGCTTCCGGTCGATGACCTTTGTTCAAATTCAAGTCCAGAAATCAGAGGTTGGAGCACTTCGGGAAGTTGATGAGTGGGCGGGGCACGACGAAATAGGAGATGGCCCAGCGTAAGTATCAGGCCTTGCCATCGCTGAGCATCCACTGCGCTCAGGTTTCGTTTCAATTTGTTGGTCCCAAACATCCGGGCTTCTAACGGGGTCACGATCGTACCATCCGGCTTCTCATATAGAATATTCTCCTCCAACGAACCGGTGACGGCCTCAATGACCTCTGCCGCCATATCCGAGTCAAGCTTCAGCGTTATTATACTCAAGGCCTTGCTTGCAGCAAACCGCACGGGGGTATCTTTATCAGCCAAAGCCACCAAGAAATGATCGATTGCATCTTCCAGAATTGAAGAGAATTGGTCATCCGAAAGTGGACTGTCTGCCCTTTCACTCAAGGACAAGGCCATGACCGTCACTGAGCGAAGAATTTTAATAATAATTTTCCTCGCCAGCGCAGAGGACTTGATAATCTCAGATACATCTGACGTTCCCTGTGCAACGAGCAGGGTCTTTTGGAAGACCGGTACGATAAGTGGAGCAAAGTCTTCCACTTGGCCGGAGGCCCCAAGACGCGCAAGAAAAGACAGTACACCGATACAGGTGTAGACAGTAGGAGGCTCAGGTCTGTCCGCAGGCTCAATCATAGAAAATGCCCAATCTGTAAGATACGTCAAGAGTCCTAGGGACTGCATGTCCCCTCGAAGCACCAAGCGTGCGAGAAGCGCAGTGGCGGCCTCTCGCTCTTTCCCGGGAACGTTCACATAATTCAGGGACACCGAGAGGATGGACTTTGCAATTGCCGGCGTCTGGGGTGACAGGGGTCTGAGCTGGCCTAGATTATCATATGGAACCGGAAGATCATCCGATGACATCGATGACAGATCAAAGGGAGCCAGCAGCAAGTGGGAGAGCCAAATCAACATGACATAGCGCTCTTCCCAGATAAGTCGTCGCGAATTATCGTCGGCAGAGCTCTCCAATGCATCATCTTGGCAGATTGCGTCCCATTCAATAAACGCTCGTAGTAAAGGGTCAAGGTATTTCGGCTCATTGCTTAAAAATCGACTGATCACCTTGACCCCGCGGACCTTACAGAATGTGTAAAGAAGCCGACAGATCGCCCTTGGCAGGGGGTAGACAACCTGCTGCTGTTGGGAGTTTGCTGGTTTTAGGGCATATTGGTCGCGATGCTTGACCAAGTATGCTAAGAACGCATCAACCAAGGAGGGCAACACTATTTGGAGGTGTGGATCCAGTAACTGCGGCCATTCTTGAAAAGGCTCTAACTGTAGCGAGCATGGTCATTAGCAAGCTGGGACCGTTTTTGAATAGCCCAGTCGGCATTTTAATGACGATGAAGTGATGCTCTCAACTCACGAGGCTAACGAGTCTCTCTGTTTTCGAGGCATGCGTCCATCTCCGCGGGACTCGGATTTCACCCTGTTCGGAAGCGCGGGTTTTCCAAAGCAGAGATGGCAATTTGTCCGAGAATTCCTTCACGAGATCGCCGGATGCGCGCTGGAGCTTGATTTCGCGGTCATCTGCTGCGTCCATGATGGGACTCTGAGTCTAGATGGGATGAAGGCAGCGACTGGTTCAGATGGCGGGGATTCGGTCAACGTTGAACCCGGTCATGTGACCTGTATAGCTTCTCACGTCTGGAGGCGACAAGTCAGGTTCATCTCTAGTGCTTGGTTATTAAATGTTTTTTCTACACTCTCTAGCATTATAATATTTCCTTATCGTTGAGAGATGACGTTTCCACGCCAGCGTCGGGCTTAGTGGAAGACTTTTCCGAAAATGAACGCAACAATATATTCTGGCACAGTAGGACCCTATGTTTATATTCTCTAATATCCATGAATGATCACCAAACGACCAGCTAAACTAGTATCAACTAAGCTCAATGATTAAAGATCCACATCTGGGCCTACATCCATTTCCTCTCCCTCCAAAAGCTTTCTATATCCAGCCACGCCATCCTCCGCCAACTGCAGCATATTACGGCGGATATGCATGACCGTGATCGCGATAGCAAGAGAGTTCCACACATCCTGGCCTCTTTCTCCCAGATCAAACTGACACATAAAGGTGCTATCTGAGTTCTCGCTTTCGATCGTCGGATCCGAATTGCGAGTGAGAATGACAACTGTCGGACCAGAGACAATGAATCCGATAAATATGGGATATTTTCGTCGAGAAGAATCGCCGTTCCGGGTGGCATCTGCAGAAGGCGCGCCTAGGACTTCCTGATACTGTCTGACAAGATGATGCAGGCGTCGATCAAGTCTCTTTAAAGTTTCCATGATGCCTTCTCGTTGGGCGTAGATAGCGTGGAGAGGGACCGCATCCTTCGAAATGCAGACTTTGGCATCACGCATAGCCCATCGGATATAGTTGTGGATGGAATTTCTTATCAGAGACTCCGGTTTCTTTCGCAAAATCTTGCAGTCTCTGACACGTCCTCCTAAACCGAATAGGGTAGCCAGTGATTTGATTGCTAGGAGAAGTAGAAACATGTTATTCATAAGGACCAGACTAGGTAGGACTCGGTCACCGACTTACCATAAAACTCAGAGGCCCCGGATATCTGCAGGATTGGTTCAAATCCAAGACCCGGCTCAGGGAATAAAGAAATTGGGAGCGTTGGAAAGTCGAATTTCCAATGACTCGGGAGAGCGGGCTCGAAACCACGCATCGACAGTCTGAAGAAAAGATCCTGCTCGGCTTCATTGTAGATATTCTCCGGTAAATTGATAGCGTCAGTCCAGCGTCTAGCCTTCTCTGTGGAGAAATCAAAGACAACCTCCGATTTTTCATTTGCTGTAATGTGAACCGAGTCGTCTGAGTCGTCCTCCTCGTCACTTTGGGGTACGAATGCGGTTTCGTCATCCTCGTGTGCGATGCTCCTCCTTTTGAGCCTTGAGTTATCCCAGCCCCCATGGAAAGTATCATGTTCATGAGGTACGTCAAATCTGATTGTGGTTCTCGAGGAAGTACCCTCGATACTGGAAATCGGAATATCAACGTCCATTTCGCTGTCAGAGCTGGTCCTTCTCTTCTTGAATGCTGGCTTAGGCTCAGGAGTGATCGGTTCATCCTCCATTCCATCTGAATCGTCATCGTAGGTTTCAAGCGCAAAGGATCGATCTTGAGCCTTTTTCTTAGGCATTTTCCGCCTCAGCGTGCCAGGAGCGGCTTCTGTCATGGCGTGACTTTTATCTGGAATACCAACCAGGAGCGACTGCGACGCTCCCTTCCTTTTGGGTATGCGGATGACTTCATCGTCTGTATCACTGTCTCCGTTAGGACGGCGATCGTTGGTATCTAATAGAGGATAAGCGTCTGCTAGTCCATTTGGCGCTTGCGAGGAAGACTGATACATATTTTCACATGTGGTTTGGACGAAGGAACGAAGGAACGGGGACCGAAAAAGTGATGGAAGAACCGAGAAGACCCAAGATATCGAGTATTCAATAAACAGAACGAGATTGAGGAGTCGATTCACCCGAGGCAGACGTAGACGATCGATTGTGGTGGGTGGACACAAAGAAGTGAGATCGAGGACTCCCCTAGTCCTCGAATCAGTAGTTCAAAGCTCATTCTTGGATTACAGCCAGGGCATTTCTGTTAGTCCTATCCTCATCTTCTAGCCCCGCTCTTTGTTGTGACCGAAAGGGTGGTTGGCACTGCACAAAGAACCTCTCAAAATAGACGCGGAGCAGGTGGCAAGTGAATGACAATGAAGCGCAGGAGCCAAACTTTGGGCATATATTTGGAACAAAGGGGTTACGAAGGTACAGAAATGGTATCAGTGAATCAGAAGGAACTCAAGCAGTGTGCTTATGGCATGAGAAGTTGGGAGCAGAAGTGCATTCCGAAAAAGGAATTAGTTAAACCGTCCAAGGCAATGAAACGAGCAGCGTAAAATGCTGGACACAACAGAAGAGAAAACGGACCGCCCCCAGAAACCAGCCCTATCCATTTCATTTCATCTACAGTCGCAAAGACGGCAAGCTCTCCAAACTCTCAAGGGTATGTGAAACAACATTTGCAACCAGTGCTACATACAGCTGGCAACGATCAAAAGGACAGGTGAACGCAGGATCCCGAATTGCACAGCGAACAGATGTAAACATTAAACGCAGTCTAAAGCAGACTGTTCCCGATAACAATAAATTGAATCAAGCGAAGTCCGCAGTGTACGAGAAGCCACGGAACTCTTCCTGCATGGCTTGAGAGAGGACTGAAAACGTAGGCGTTAGCATGTTAATAGACCTTCTGGCAGTTCAACATTGTCTTACCTGACTGCACCGGGGTAAGAACCGGTGTAACGCTGGTAAATTCCTGATCGAAGTTGCTCGTATCGGTCGGGCTGGAGATGGTCGGCATGAATGGCGGGGGAACACGCTTGTGATAGATATCATCCCAGTTGATATTCCGGAAGAAGGCATGGGACATGACCTCCTGCGCATCGGTTGGTCCCGATCCAAGTCGCAGCTCTGGCTCGCGGGTGAGCAGCTTCTGAAGGATAGACACCGAGTCCCGAGGCATGTGGATGGGGTATAGCGGTTCATCTGCCAGAATAGCATCGTAAATTTCGTCCTCGTCTTCACCGCGGAAGGGCGATTGCTGGAGAAGCATCTGGTAGATGAGCACGCCAAAGGCCCACCAATCAACCGCTCGGCCATATTTCTTGTCCAAGAGAATCTTTGCGGGACGTTAGTAACTGTGGTCGGTCTATGACAGACAGATCAGAAGCGACGGGACATACCTCGGGTGCCATGAACTCAGGGGTACCACAGAATGTGCTTGTGGTCGCTCCATACCACATGTTCTCCTTGCAAAGACCGTAATCAGCGATTCTGATATGGCCGTCCAGGGTCATCAGAATGTTATCAAGCTTCAAGTCACGGTAAATGACACCGTTCTCGTGGAAGTATTTGAGTGCCAGCAAAACTTCGGCAGCGTAGAACCTACAGAACGTGATGTTAGTTTCTTCTCGGCACCGGACCCGAAGTGAAAGATGGAAGGCTTCTGGAGACATACTGTGCCCGTTTCAGGCCGAACTGGCCACGCTGAATGTGCAGCATCAGATCACCACCACTGATGTACTCCATGACGAAATAAACACGAGTCTCAGTCTGGAAACAAGCGTGAAGGTTGAGAAGGAAAGGATGGCGCTCCTTGTTGGCGATCAAGAAGACGCGCTTCTCCGACTTGGTGCTTTCCACTTCGTCATTCTCAATGATGAATTCCTTCTTCAACACCTTGATGGCATAAAGTTTCTTGGTGCTCTTGGTTTCCGCCAGCATTACTTTTCCGAAATTACCTTTACCCAAAACAGCCAAGAAATTGAAGTGGTCCAGTCCAATTCTGGTTTTTGGTACTTGCGGCTGAATGTCTTCCTTCACAGCCATCTGCTGTTGCTGCATTACAGGGATAGGCTGCTGCTGCTGGGCCATGCCATAAGGCGACGTTACCACCTGTTGTTGCTGCTGCTGCATCGCTTGAGGTGGCGGCATGCCCTGCTGGTAGGAAGCGTACGCCGCAGGGTCATAATGAGCATGCGGAGGCGGTTGAGGTTGCACAGGTCGAGTATCAACTGGAAAACCAAACGTCAACTTTGTGTCATTTGCTGCGATAAGGGAATTGTGGGTGAACATACCTGGTGACTGCTGGGGCGAACGGAGACCGCTTGCCACGGCGGCGGCGGCGGCAGCAGGACTGTTGGAAGACGAGGTTCTCGGGGGCATCTGTTGACGCTGGGCGGCAGTTGGTGACTGCGGGGGCATATAAGAGTTAGTGGCAGCGCTAACAGCTTCGGCGGAGGGCTGTCTCTGAGGGGCCCCGTAAGGGCTCTCGACAGGTTTCTGAGGGTAGGCAAGAGCGGCATTGTCCGTCGAGGCCTGCGGCGGGCCTCCTGATCGAAGGGTGCGGCCACTAAGACCGGAACTAACTGAGGCGGATTTGTTGTGATTCTTGGCTCGAATCAGGGTTTCCAGAATCTGGTTGGCTGCTTCCATGGACATGCCACAGAAATCAGGTACAAGATGGGTACAATTGGCATGGCACGTAAGGCCACATTCTACATGAAAGGTAGGGTGCGTCAGCGTGTCTGATAGGTCCATTTCTCCAAAGAATCATACCTGAGCATCGTTTGGCGCTTTTGCGCCCAAAGGGCAGCAAGTACCCGCAGTGACAACACCAGTTGGCGGAGATGTTGGCAAAGCCCTCGAAACGATGTGGAATGCGGTGATTGATTTTCTCCTCGTCGGGATCCGTCTCGTAGTTGGCCTTGCTGATACACTTGGTGACAACCTTGGGGTAGCATTTCTTGTGACAAGTATACTTGCAATCAGCACACTGCATACCGGCAGCGTACTTCAAAAAGTCACCACAAAGCGCACAGCGCATGATGTTGTAGAACTGCTGCGTGACAAACTTGTGTCCTTGCTTCTCGTGCACCTCTTCCTTCTTCTGACGAACCGCACCTTGACGATTCAGGCCAATGTCGAATGGCCGGCGATCCTTCAACTGCTTGGCTATAGCGTCTGTCAGCACCATCCAACTGCGCGGAGATGTGTAAACGTAGAAGGAACCTACCGAAGCTCAGCGACAACTGAATCCGCCCAACAGGCTCCAGCGCAAACCAAGCATCGACCATCACAGAGCCACCGCCAGGTGCGCCGGGAGGAGCACCTCCGTAACCTTGGCCCGGGGCACCGGGGCCTGGAGCATGAGACGAGCCCATCTGTCCGGCCGTATCGGGCCGTCCAGGCGTGCTACCGTCCTCCATCTTATCGGCAGAAACCCAGCCGGATGTATTGAATTCGGTCTCAATTTTCTTGCGACGCATTTCCTCGGCGATATCAGAAATGCGCACCCACAGCATACCGATCGGAGTTGGTCTATCGCCCGACTTGTCATATACAGTAAGCTCGATCTCATTGGCCTTGTCGATATCGATATTGAAGATCTCATCTTGCCATCTGTCGGTTCGAGTAGCTTTCGTACGGGCTTTGATGGCATCTTCAACCTTCATGACCACGAATGTCTCGGGCCCTCGGGAGAATCTGGAGCCAGCGGCATGATCCACATCCTTCACGGCAACGATTCGCATGGTCAATAAACCGGTGAGGGGCTTGCGCAAGTTCGGCGTGCTTAAACTTTCATCTGCTCGAAATGAAACCCGGGGGATGTGGATTAGCTACTGGCATGATGGCGACTTTTAGAACGAGAGCTGAGGGAGGACTTACCGTCGGGAGTGTCTGAGGACTCGATGTCGACGTGAAGATCTTCATATCGCTTCAGGGCCTGCTTCAATAATTGGATCTTCTGATTACTCTCGATTCGCCGACCCTCGGCGTCGGCGCGGCTCTTCCTGTCGCCCTCATCCTGATAGAGGCGAACCATTTTCTCAATACCAGCCTTGTATTGCTTCTCCACGCTCAGCTTAAATTCAAGCTGGGACAACATGAGCTGGATCTTGGGTCCAAGGTATTGAGTGTCGTATTTGATCAGATCTTTGAGCAACGCACACAGCATAGGTTAGACAACTGTACACTGAACCACTCTGCCTTTCACCGTCGGAAATAGTCTTACCAAGCTTCGTATAATTAGGACGGGCCTTGGGCACGGGGGCGAAGGGTCGAGGGTCTTTGAAGGGAGCGCCCGCCGGCATGGAGCCGGCTCCTCCGTGCGGATACGCGGCCGACGACTCTCCATACTCGTCCTGCTCGTCGTAGTCCTTGGGAGGAGGAGCCGGGCCTGAATCAGGACCGGGCGGGAGACGCTTTTCCGTAGGGGAGCCGCCGTCATTCTCGATGCGGCGAATCTGCAACTCCCTCATCTTCTCCTCCAGGTAGGCAATGTTCTTCCGACCATCGCGAATGTTTGCGTCGACTCGTTGTTGCACCAAAGGGTTATCGGTCGACTGTCGCATATTAGAGGCCGCGGTGATCAAGGCCTTCTCCCGCTCGATCTTGCGGTAGACCGAGGCGATGAGGTCGTCCCCGTCCATGATGAAGAAGGTTGGGGTTCAGCGGCGGCGGCGAGAGGGAGGGGAAGAGGGAGAGGGAGGGGGGAGACAATGCGAGCCGTAGAAATCCCCGAGCCAGCAGCAGAGAAGAGCAACCCCAAAGGAATCAATAGAGCCAGCCGAAAGAGACCGTGGGGGGAGGGGTGGTCGTCGCGGGGCTCTTGTTGACAGATGCAGGAAGAGAGGGGGGGAAATGATGGATCGATCGATCGCAACGGGAACTGTCAACGTTAATTAATTAATGCCACTCGGGAAATGGTGAGACAAAATCCCCGTCCTCACTTCGTCTTCCGAGCCTTCTTTCCTGCAGCGTCTCCGATTCAAATTCCCAGAACTTCAAGAGGCAGGAAATCAGGACGAGAAATTAAATAGGTAAAAGAACGCACCCACGGTAAAAAGATCAGTCGGCGGTGGTTTGTTGCTACGTTGCTACCGCCCACAAATCCTCGCCTTCAGGCACGATGGTCGGTCTGAATGAAGTTATGAACCGAAGAATGTGAAATTCATTTACTTCCTGGGTTAGAATGACCAGACAATTTCAATCCGGAGAATTGTCTAGCGAAGGGGAACAGCGACAGAGCGAAAAGACAAGCAGGAAGTCGTTGGGGTTTGGAAATGCAGTTCTGGTCGTGGCGATACAAAGGCAAGGCGGGGCTCTATCAACAATTCATTACTCTTCATCTCGCAAGGCGTTATTATTACTCCTACGCTGCTCGACTGGAAGAGAGCCAGCGCAGCAGGTCTTCTAACATTGGCCCAGCTGCTTACAGCACTTCAATCAACCGAAACTGTTCCTCAGCAGAGGCAAGGACAGTCTGGGCCTGGAAGCTACGATCTTTCCCTTCCCTTCTCCAAAGCTGGCAGCATTCTTTCGGCTTATGACTAGATCGGAGACGCCGTCTCTGTCGCCTTTGTGGATCGGCTCCTGACTCCTGCTTATCCCTACAGCACGGCAGTGTTCAGCAGGCTCTTGCCTCAAACGATGCAAATGTCGCGTTTGAGGTGTCTCAGTGCGATGAGCAATATGAATCGGATGTCCGTCTTGTTCTCATCACTTTCAATTCCCTGACTCTTCACGAAGGCCAGGCGAAGGCAGATACAAGAGATGGATGAGACCTATTCCCATGCAGAATACAAACTTACGATGCCATTCCACCTAGGTGAGCAATCGATGCAGACCGCAAAGACATCTTGCGCCAACTAGCAATTCGTAAAAGGTCATTGACGCACCACATGACCTTGGAAAGGGCCGGAGAGAAGCGAGATGACTCCAAATCCCTCAGTAGCTACAGCAAGGGGGCCAAGCAGATATCCCTTGCGTACTGATTTCATCATCAACTCAGCTGGCTGGCTCAGGGAACCCAGCGCATTCAATGTCACGGAATACATCGGGCCAGGTCTCATGAGACCCGCGCTATCAACCATGTCTTCGGCAACGCGATGGCGAAGCTGCAAGGGCGGTATCTTTTGATCCCGTGCTCTCAGGAACAGCCTAGAAAGGAGTGCGTTTGGAGATAAGCAGCCAGACAATTGAATCGCGTTGGGTCCAGCGTGCGTATGAGGATCTACGGAATCGCTCGTTAGCGGGACCATCCATTTGCAAGTAATCTATATGGGAACTGAATGTGAGCAGAGAAAAAGAGGAAAAGAGACGGAAGGGAAGTAGTGAGGCCTCAATGAAAAGATGACGATAGGAGATATAGAGAAGCAAAGGCCGAGACCTCATATTGACAGAGGCTGCCTATCTGGGAAGGCGGCGGGTACCACAAGGTTACTGGAAAGGGAAAGGTCACCTCCACTCGGCGTCGGATTTTATTTTATTTTATTCTAATTGTATTCTACCTTGGTATCCTCCTCTCCGCTTCCATCAAAAACCTACCAAGTGACTCCCTCGATTTCATTCGGCACGTTCGCCGCAACCTGTATCCCACCGGCTCTCTTCCTCTCGATTCACCTTCGGATTAAATCATGGCCCCACCTCGACGCAAAATGCTGGCTACCGCGGAGGAGACGATGACCCCGCCAGACGAGCTCCTACCCGGACAACTGATCGCGCGAGCCATCAAAGCCGCGGGCAATAACCTCTATGCGGTGGAATTACCTTCGAAAGATTCAATTCTCGTCGAACTACCCTCCCGGTTTCGTTCCACCATCTGGATTAAGCGGGGATCCTACGTGGTGATCGACACCAATGCTCTGGAGGGCCGAGACAACAAGATCAGCGGCGAGATTATTAACATTGTTCGCGATGAAAAAGCCTGGCGCAAAGCTCCCTACTGGTAAGATCGCGTGGTTCCTCCGGTTTCGGACGCCTCCTGACCTCATCGTGCAGGCCGAAAGAATTCGTTAGGCAAGAGACTTGGGTATCATCAGATGATGAGGACGATTCCAACGTGGGCAAATTGCCCCCGTCAGATGACTCGGATGCATGATTCAACGCCCCGACCAATGGCTGGAGGGAGATATTCCCAATCAAAGAACATTCTCTACTGAGTGGCAACGCGGTCCTCGTATTAGTTCACATGCTCTTTCCCGCCAGCCTTGGGCTTTATGCCACCGAATGCATTTGAGCGATTCACAAGCACGCCGAAGACCTGGACGGCAAGGGAAAAGATGACAACCAGCGAGCTTGAGTTTGTGCTGGGGAAGGTATTCCAGGCCCATTCCTGAAGCGCCCATAGGGCGTATAAGATAACCGGATGGATACCCGCGCGCCAAAGAAGAAAGGGCGTCGCCCAGGAAATATAGGCAAAGAACTGGTAATGAAGAGACCTCGCGCACAACAGTCCGATTGCGAGGGAGGTCAGCAACACAGTGGTCACAAAGGGCCGGGAAAGCGGTGTTCCACGGTGACGTCCTTGAAGCACTGTTCGCAGGAAGTTAGGGAGGTTCGAGCCCGATGGTTTTAACCAAGCCGCAGCTGCAAACACGCATAGCAAGAACATGTGCAAGGCTAGCAATGCTAGGGAAAACCTTTTAGATAAGAATGCCTCTTCACCCACGAACCTCCAATTGACCGTCCATTTAAACATAAACTGTCTGGTCAGTTCAAAGGCCCGCGAGAGATACCCGATAGGGTTAGTCTGCAAGAAAGGTATAGCGAGTAGAATCTGGATTGCCGTCAGTTCACCGGATACATGTCTCCTACACGCTACGCCGTCGAGAGTATACCTGCACAAGCAAAGCCAAAACCCCAAGCCGGAGGCTGGGCAGAAGGGACAAGTTGAGCACCGCCAGCACCGCAATTGCCGGAGCAAGAAGCAGCAGGGTCATTTTGACAGCCACTCCCGTAGACCAAACAATCACTCCGGACGTCCACTTCTTATTCTGGAACAAAAGTATAGCCACCCACATCGTGAAAGCCGCCAGACCATCGTTGAACAGACGCAGAACGAAGACGCTATGAAGCCGCTTGGACAAGATAAGCAGGGGGAAGAGGTACGGAGGAGCCCCCGACTGTCTGTAACATAGCATTACGACCGCCAAGGTAGCGATGTAGAGGACGGCGAACAGGCTCTGGCCGAAGAGAATGTCGCGACCTTCATCGGTCAGATGGTAGAGTATCGTGTAGCTGTACACATGCGCGGCGGGATAAACGAGCGGTCCGGTCGATCCTTTGATGAGGGTATAGTCGCGCTCTCCAGAAATATACAGGGATATTTGCTGCATGTACGTAGTCCAATCAATCTCAGTGTCTGATATGCAGAGCGCAGCGATTAGCGTATTGTTCGGGACAGACATGCGGCGAAGGGTCTCGGAGATAGAGAGAACTCACATGGGATTCTCCAGATGATCAGAGCGCAGAGGAAGACATCGCCTAGGATGAGAAGCGGGGCGATCCATTTTGTATGGCGCGGGTTCACGAGAAGATCGCGAACACAATGATTCCAGTCCATTGTCGGTGTTGGCAGGTCGGAAGCTCGAGCTGTTGTGCTGGACGAGCTCGGCAGGTGGCCTTCCCGCCGGAGAGCCAATGACATCTGTCCCGTTGCGGCTTAGCGCACAGTGGCCGTCGGGATGGCCTGAGGTGTGCAATCATCATAATGGCTTCGGGGGAACAGGATGGCTGTTGTTGGATAACACAGGGCAGGCAAACTTCATGGTAAAGGAGATCAATGTCTCCGGGATTCATTCAGTGTACATACATAGCCCTAGCACTATCCATCATCGTTTCTAATACACTATCTATCCGTACATGGGTATATGGCTGGCATGGGATGGTATCTCGCGACGCGACAAGATTCCAATCGCAGCTGCCCTATCCAGCCGTCAAACAGCCTCGAAAGGTCTCTCCGAAACATATTCAGACACATCCTTCCCAATTGTCCATTCCTAGCGCCCTATGACTTAACTCCTCCGTCCCTAAACAACCGATTATTGTCCCTCACTCCCCGGAGGCTGATGATGCAATTGTGTATCTTTTCGAGGCGGAAAACCGAGTAGTTCACCGATCACACCGCCAGGTTTCGGGACAGGACATTCCCTCCCAGCCTTAGCCAACCGCTCTGCTTCTTCTTCGAGTTGTAGGAACGTCGACACCTCGTCATCGGGCGTGGGTTGTGTGGAGGGTACCGTTTTCTCATCAAGATCAGGAGCGGTCTCCTTGCGTCTCCTTCGTCGAATTCTCTGAATTGGTTGTCCATCCTCATTGACAGTCATTTGGGAATCGGCCAGGGTGCGACGCGGGGCTGGACAGGGGAAAACATGCGGTATGCCGACAACGAAGAGGGAGGCCAGGAGGGTAGCGGCGAAGAGGGAGGAGGTTGACCGCGACCGAGGATGAAGATGTGGCGGCATATTGAACGATTGATGAGAGAACAGGGGGGACTCGGGACTTTTTGCGGGGTGGTGGCTCGTCACGTCGACATGGGAGGGTTGGGTTTCTTTTCGCTGCGCCAGGATTCATCAGCCAGGGTTAAAGCCACATGGTCAGCACCAACACTCACCAGTCGTAACAGTCAATACTCAGAATAAGGAATTGGAGGGGATTCAGCGCAAGGACCAGAAAGACAAGCGGGACCCAGCCATGGCCTCGATGGGACGACGGGAAGGCCGGCGACGTTTCTCACCAGAAAGAATTCGGCCGGGGCTTGGCGATCAGATCTAATCTTATCTCGAGACCCCGTGATTGGGCGGTGGATGGGCGCGCGCAAAGCCCGGCGAGTTGACAGCGCGAAAAGAACCTCGTCTGCTCTCCTCCGCATCCCTCGCCTTCCCTCCCTCTTTTCTTTCCCCCCTCTCTTCTCCCCCGGGTGGCGCTTCTGATGAGAAAAATGTCTGTCCTTCTTCAGCTCACATAGTGGTTTTTGTTTTCGTTCGTTCCTGGGTCTCCCAGGCCTAATCCCTTCGATTGCCTTCCTCCCCTCCCCCTTCTCCATCCTTTTTGCCGCTGTCAGGACCCGCCGATCAGCGTAGACGAAGCTGTCTAATTTCATTTCCTACATACTTTCGCTAAATCACAATGAGCGACCTTGACCAGTAATAACCCAGACTCTGAATCCCCCTGGGTGTCCCGAGCTGACTACGATTATCTACTCTGCAGGGCGATCGCGCAGCTACGCGCCTGTCGATTGATACCCGAGACGCAAGTGCGAGAGCTCTGCTACAAGGCGCGAGAATTGTTGATAGAAGAGGGAAATGTTGTCAGCGTGGACGCCCCAGTCACCATCTGCGGAGACATCCATGGGCAGTTCCACGATCTCATGGAACTCTTCCGCGTCGGCGGAGACGTCCCCGACACCAACTACTTATTCATGGGTGACTTCGTCGATCGCGGCTTTTATTCCCTAGAATCCTTCCTCCTCCTTCTTTGCCTCAAAGTGCGCTACCCGGATCGCATGACCCTGATTCGAGGAAACCACGAATCCCGCCAGATCACAACAGTTTACGGCTTCTACGACGAGTGTATCCGCAAGTATGGCAGCGCCAATGTATGGCGGTACTGCTGTGAGGTGTTCGATTATCTGGCGCTCGGTGCTCTCGTCCTTGGCGCGAGTTCGGAACTGGAGCCTTCGGGCCCCATGGTGGACTCGACTCAATCGACCATGCCCCTCGACGACGGGGAGCTGGAGACCGAGGTGTTGAACTCGAAGGGGGAGGTTACAATGAGCACCTATCGGCAGAGACAGCGCGCATCGTCCGACGCGTCCACAGATTCCAGGAATATTTCGCCCCCAAGAGATATCTCGGCCGCCCCTGGCCAAGCACCGCTCCGAGCCGGGGCCCCCGGTACCGGCGCGTCCGGGGATGGCGCTGGCAGCCTGTCCAACAAAACAGGTGCCGTCCTGTGTGTGCACGGCGGGCTCTCGCCGCTCATCGACACGGTCGACAAGATCCGTCTGATCGACCGAAAGCAGGAGGTACCCCACGAAGGCGCCATGTGCGATTTGTTATGGTCCGACCCCGATGAAATCGACGGCTGGGGACTGAGTCCGCGTGGTGCCGGATTCTTGTTTGGCGGGGACATCGTGAAACAATTTAACTACAAGAACGATCTGTCGCTGGTTGCGCGTGCTCACCAGCTCGTGATGGAGGGGTACAAGGAAATGTTCGACGGTGGGATCGTCACCGTCTGGTCCGCCCCGAACTACTGCTACCGCTGCGGAAACGTCGCCGCGATCCTGGAACTCGGCGAGGACACCAGCAGCGGCGGCACCGTCACCAGAAGCAACGGAGACTACGGCCGAAGCAACGGCGTTTTGACGACCGAGAAGCTCGGCATGAGAAGCCCCGGAAGAAGATACAGGGTCTTTGAGGCCGCCGCGCAGGACACTAGAGGCATGCCGGCGAAGAAACCCGTTGCTGATTATTTCCTGGTAAGAGTTCACCCTTCTTGAACCCGACTTCATATGTGTTCTATCCACTAACCTTCTACCTTCGTCCCAGTGATACCATAATGTGCACATCTCTTTTCTCTCCCTCTCCACCACCTTCTCATCTTCTCTGCGCCCCGTACTCCTACCCTACGCCCTCCCTCTATCCCTCTTTCCTCCCTCCCGATTTTTTTGGTGCTTATATAGGCCATTGGCACCCACGGACTTTTTACCTCAACTCTCTCCAAGACCCCGAGACCCCAAAGTGATGATCTATCTAGATATGTGTTCGTTCGTGTATTCATTCTCCAAGTCGATAATTAGTCGGAGTTATTAGCTTCTGCGTTGTTTCATACTTGAGCCGAGATTTTCGCTAGTTAGTGCAATGCATTGATGATTACATTAGTCGACATCCCAGTGTTTTCAATCTTATCTAGCTTGATTTTTCTTCTCTCTAACCCCCCCCCCCCCCCCCCTTTTCCCTTTTAAAGCAGCTGCTCAGGTCGATTGATTTACCTCGGTTTGGAATCGAGAATTGATCGTATCTAGCCTGAGTTGCGAGTCTTTTGGCTATAAATGAGTACAGTAAATAGGTGGTAAGGAACAAGGTAAGGAATATAAGTAACATCTACAACGAAAGCATCCAGAAACCACACGAGCATATGGAAATCTCCTAGGATATAGAAATAATACCACAACATACACCAATCTGTCAAATAATGCAACAGGAAGAAAGTAAGCCAGAGGTAATGACCAAAAAAAATATTTAGAGGTGAAAGAATTAGAAAAAGATCGTTGTACATGAATTGATTCGCTTTCCTGGGTTTCGTTTTGTCTTTTCCTTTGAGGACAGGATAGAAGAGGGGGGACGGTTGGAGAATTAGGAAGGGGAGGGGGGGGGGGGGGGGGGTGGAAGAGGTCTGCTGCCCGTGATTAACATCATTTAATCCATAAGCTTCACGAAGTCATATCATAATACAGTTTTCTCTCGAGATCCTCCTCGACTATTGTTGGAAATTGTTGGGGAAACCAATGTTGCTGTACCCAGGGCCTTGGTCGGGCCGCACCATGCCAGGGGACATTCCGATGGGGTAGCTGACCGGTTGCACTGGCTGCACTGGTGGCACTGATTGTACTGGTTGAGCTTGTTGTACTGGTTGTGCTTGATGTGCTTGATGTGCTGGAGGGACTTGAAGGGCTTGATGTGGATGATGTGCCTGCGGTGGTGGCCGAGAGGTATGACTGCCAGGGTCTGACGGTTGTCTGGGGTTCGGAACATAGTTCTCGAAACGCGGATCTGATGACGGCCCGGTGAACCCTGGATTCCAGCTCTGGTTCCAGTTCCCCATTGCTAGGTGCAAAGCGTTTGGATCGCGTGACCACCAGTCTTGACTTTCTTCCACTAGGTTTTCTGGAGTGTCAAAGCTAGTAGGAGATGAGTCTGCGCTGGGAGGGATGCCTTGCCCCGACCCCATGGCGCCAACGTGTGGTTCGTTCGAGCTATACCAAGCGTCGTGCTGGGATAGTGGGACAGGCTGCAACGGGCCATAAGCATGTGGTAATGGTCTCAAATATGTTGGTTCTGGGAGTGGTACATCTGTTCGAGCAATCTGAGCGCTGGCGGCCCGATGGGCTGTGCGCATAGCTGAGACAGTGTCCGCCATCGATACCCCGGCAGGGTATCCAGAGGTTGCCGTCCCCGTCGAGGATTGGGGAGCCGAAACAGAGAGTCCGCCGTGCTCATTCATAGACGCAATCCTCTCCTCAGGCGACGTTAATGGGTGTGCGGTGGCCGCGGGTGGCGGAGCTACAGGAGAGGGTATGTCGGAATTGGATGGAGACGAGGCCTGATCCCATGACCCCCAAGAGCCCCATTTTTCATGCGTCTGCTCGAATATGATCGCAGCCTCGTTAGGGGGTGTTACCTGCCACTTATTGGCAGATATTTCAAGGATTCGCAGTGTACGTCTGGCGCAAAGCCAGCTCTCGCCCATCTCCTCCAGGTGCCGGAGACCATGAACAAAATCTCTCTGAGCGGTCTTTTCAGGCATGTTAAGCAAGTGAATAGTACAAGCTGTGTGTGCGATATAAACCGCAATGTTGCAAATTTGCTTGAAGCCGTATGTGCGTTTGTAAACTCGGAGCAACTTGGAAATAGCAGAGGCGGCCTGGGTGCATAATTTCCGAGGCGAAGCATGAGCGGGAAGAGGGGAGGTGGCTCTCGTGTATTTGAGGAAGGGTCGATATAGGTGTATAAAAAGTAGTTGGTAGAACATGCTGCATGACTGTTAGCTCTCGACGTCCTGAATGATAATCGGCAAGGCAATGAATGACATACTGCATGAGAAGTGCCTGGGGAAGCTGCCCTTCCTTTGGCTCCAACTCCGTCGGCAAATCACGTTTCCAAGCTACCAACTTCGTATGAATATCGGAGAGCTTTTTTAATTCGGCCTGTTTGGAAAGAGGCCGTTCCCTAGGCGTCGGATCGTAGAAGAATATAAGCACATTTCCACTGAGTTCACACAGTTTGGAAATTTGCAACGCCACCGTCCTCGTTCGGGATGGTTGCGCAGTTTCACGAATCGCTCCTGTGTCAGTGTAGGAAGACCAGAGTCCAGCTTCCTCGTTGGGCAGAGTTTCCATCTTTGGGATGCTCACACTGGATGTCGGCAACTGGGGTTGACGGCCAAGGTAATTGGACCAGCACCTATGTGTAAAGCGAGGTTAGACAGGAACTCAACAACCATTAAACCGCTGGGAGTGGTAGGGGTGACAAACTTGTCAATGAGGAAGCAGCCCCAGAATGTGACTCGCCGCGCATCGAGTTCCTCTTCGTCAAGGTTGCGTGCTCCAAAGGTGGCCGAGTCGAAATTTAGGCCCAAATCCAACGCCATGCGAAAGCTCATTCCACTGTAAACCCAGCCCTTGCCTTCGCGCCCGCACCCCGCCTCTCGGACAGACATGAGGGCGAGAGCTTGAACCGTACAGAGTTTGGCGTTGACGTGTTCGTCGTTCTCAAGGATCAGCCGCTTAGCCTCCTTGAAGAAATGGTCTCCCGCCGTCGCCGAGTTCTCGGGGTCTTCTCGCACTCCATTCCAGGTGCTAAAATGGCAGCCTAGGGCCAGCATCGCATTGACTAACAAGGACGAGCAATATTGGCTGGAAACTCCGCGAACATAATCCCGATAGAAGAGATCCTTGGAAAGCGTGGTGAAAAAGGGGTAGTGCCATGTAAAGTACATGGTCAAGAGGTGGCTGATCAGCTGCTCGTCGCTGGTTACTCTGGTCCATTTGGTGACAGACCGATCTTGTGTCTGATCTAGCTCACTGTCATCGACAGATGGGTTGAACTCGTACAGCTCGGAGCCGGGCGGCAAGAAGATCAAATTCGAGGTGCCACCGATAAGCTTGCGAGAGCCATCCAGCATCAACTCACTCATCTTGCCCGCCAACTCGGATTCAAACTGATCTGCTGGTGACGGGGCATCATCCCCACCAGACACGGCATCCCCATTGGTCGCTATTGAATCTTTCTGCTCGCCTATGATCGAATGGGCCACGTCCTCCAAGTTGTCGCAAGCGCGAATTTGTCGCACCAGCTCAAAGGCGTCCTCCTCTTCGTAGTTCAGCAAAGCCTGAATCAGAGTCACGAGCGTTGTATTTTTGATTCTTAACGCGTCGGTGTCCTTCTTATACACGCCCTTCCGGCGGTGATCGGAATTGGGGTCGTAGACACCTGGGAATTGCATTAACTAAGACGGACTCAACGGCATGTCACCGGAGAAAGGCAGAACGTACACGTCGTATGGTAAACGGAGGAGCAGGCTGCGCAGCTCGGTAGGTTGCCGTCGCACTGGAAGCATATGTCAGACATGGGCGATCAAACCGAAAGGGGTCAGGATCCATTTACTTTGGACTTCCTCCTTCGACAAGCGATACAAGCTGTGCTGACACAACGTCTTTTCGATGTCGGACCCTCATTCGGGTTTGGCGTCTGACTTCTCGTCGACGACTTCCCTCGCGAGGGTTTGTATGCAGCCCCCGGGTCCAGCCCCGGGGTGTTCTCCGCCGATGTTTCCTCCATCACTGTCCAGTTCGCCGATAAACGTTCGAAGAAAGTCCGGGTTTAGAACGAAGCATGCTTATGGGGAAAGCGCCCGAGCGAATGAGTTGAACGAAAGCCCGCGGCGACTTTTTTGCGACAAGTAGGCGCGAGACGACGCATAGACTACGATATCGACTGCATTGGGTCTAAGATGATGACAGGCACATTAGTTACTGGGGCGCACGGCGGCTATAGGGAGGGGCAGCCGGGGGGGTCATTACTGACACAGTTGCATAGAACGCATACATGAGAGGACGACGGAGTCACTAAACCTCAATGCTTGGACAGGCTACGAGCATGAACCAGCGAATGGGATCGGAATCGAATATCAAACCTGTTCCCCAGAACTTCGATGACCCGCTAAGTGGAGGCGGGGGGAGCCGCTGATGATGATAGAGGAATGGCGAGGAGCCGTTCAGCGCGGGCCAGAAGGCGATAAGAAGCCGGATTATCAGGCCGGTGATTGGGCAACGGTGACGAGGCAATCTAAAGCACGAAGCCCAGCATACAGCAAGCTGTAGGTACACTGGGGTAAACTTTGAAGATCTCCTGGCAGGCTGGCAGCACCTTTCCGGTGGGTTATTTTGGTTGGAAGACAAATCTCCCGCGGGCGAGAACCGCCCAGTGTGGCTGACTAAGCGACGGCGCCTGAGGACAAGTACGGAGTCATTCTTATGATATTATAGGGAATTATTCATGATTCCGGGCTCTACATATCATACACACAGGTATCTGGAAGGACAACATAGTTTGGTCTGAGAAATGATAGGTTGGATTCAAACTATCCAACGCACCTCGGACAAGCTGCATTATCACTCCACTCCATCCACTTGACAAACAGAAGGGTCTACTTCTGAAGAGTACTAACTAACTAGTTGATTGTTTGGGTTAGAACCAACAGTTCTACTCCGTACTCTGTAAAATGGACACTCATGTATGCTTGACCTTGTACAAAGTGCTGTGTACAGAGGTAAACCCTAACACTAGAGGAATAGGGCAAACTTATCAAAGAGAAATTCCGTTACCGCTTTTTCCGACACAAATCCATGGAAGTGAAGACAAAACTCGGCCAGCGATTGATAATGCCGGATGGGTCCCTCTTCCACCGCCTACTGTTCCTGCCCATTGTTACCCAACCCAAGAAGGTAAGTGAGGTAAGGCATTGTACTGCCCGCGATAAACGAAGAGCCCTTACCTACACCGTAAGGACGGAGCTGACCGCCTCCCAGCCACGCCGTCCTCCGTCGTACACCGCCTGTCATTCCTGATTGATGCCGGGACCCAATTTATCGTAAAATTATTATTATTATCTTATTCGTCTTCCTTTTCTTATCGACGCTTTTAGCTTTCCTTCCTTTCCCAATCCTCCCACCCAACTTTACAACTCTTGAGGTCATTCTTCGCCCCCCTCCCGCCTGACCTTCGTTCTTGGTTCCTTTCTTCTTTTCCTTCTTCTACTCTTCTCCTCACGCTCCCTCTTCCTTTTTTCCTTGATCCCCGTTGTCCGTTATCCCGTCCATTACTAGTTAGTTATCCTTTATCCGCCGACTCGCGTGCCTGCATACGCATCCGGGCGGCTTCCCGCATTGGGTCCTCTTTGGGCTTCCGCTGGTCTGGGATCGACTGCCAACACATCTGCTCCATCATCTATTGCTTATTTATTCCGTTTCCTCCCCGGGGGAAGTCTTCCGTCTAAGACGTCTTCTTCTCTCTTCTTCGCTCTCTTTACCATCCATGTATCTCGTCCAGACCCTTGATCAGAGTGCCTCATCAGGCCTAGGCCGTCTTATCAGTGCTACTATCACGACTACTACGACTACTCCCTCTACCACGACCGGCAGCATACCGTATTATGATCACATTCTGTAAAGATGATGCTTCCTAGGGCTTTTCTTTTCACCTCCGTGCCGCCGTCGAATCCTTCCTGGAAGCATGGCAAGCGAAATCAACCCTCGTCCAAGTCCGCCGCGGACTTCGTCACCCTCCCAGGCGTCTCCGGTCTCGATTTTCCCGATAAGGAAGCGTCGGAAGCGATGCAGACCAGCCCGGTTATCATCCCTCCCAAACGCGCTCCTCGCACCGCATTGGCACGTCCTGAGACGGGCAACAAACCCCCGCGGACTCCTAGAAACTCAAAGACAGTCCGCAGACCTTCGTCGCTCGCCTCGATTCTGGAAGCCACGGCGATCCCAGTTCCCCGACGCAAGTGGTCGTCATCGACCCGGGAGTCTCGCAAATTACCCCGAGGCGACCATGTGCAGGATTTCAGCCGATTGTTGATGGACGGGGTGGAGGAGAATGGGAACACCGCGCTCGACCTCCTCCTCAGCCCTCCCGACGAGAATGATCGATCGATAGAAAGCGACTGTGGCAGCGAGACGCCGTCATTCTCTGGTCGCTCTCTATCTCTCGAATCCACTCCGACGCTAGATCATGACATAGAGTCGCCGTCAAGCTACTCGCTGTCACTCACTCCTTCGCGCAGTCCCTCGGAGCGACGATATCGTCACTGGTCGCAATGCGAGGATTGCGCATTTGACCATCCTTTACTAGATAACGAGCCTTCTGAAATCGAGGAGGCCATCGTTGAACCGCAGTTGACGTCTGCGGATTCGAGCTGCTCAAAGTCTCCAACGCCCTCATCCCGGTCATTTCCACGCTTCGGATCTACATTCAAGTCGAACCTAACGGCTTCGCTGCGGGCCATTAAATCTGCGGCCCAAACAGTGTCCACCTTCGCCTCGCCGTCGGTCCAACCCGACGACTTCCTGACACGATCCTTATTTACGATTACCCCTGAGATGACGGACGACCGTCGGCCTCCGCCCATGAAGGAGCCGCCGCCGCCGGCACTACGACGCTACCTCAACCCGATCACCGCCTCGCCTGCGGAGATGTATGCCTATCACGACCACCCGCATGAATCGCTTGATCCCCGAAACTGCCCCGTCTCCGTTCAGATGCAGACGTATCATCGTTCCAGCAAACGAGGCAGCCGGAAGAGCGGTTTTCATCTCATTGGCTCGGAGGGTCGCGACCGACAATTCCATCCGTTCGATCCAGAGGTTCCCCCGATGACACGTCAGCGTGAGCCCCGAGAGAACAGCGATTTTCTGCGCATGGTCGTCCTAGAAATGAACATGCGACGCAGCGGCAAGCTCCGGGATGACATCCCGACTCGGGCTCGCGGGTGCCTTCCGCCTCGGAAGGGACACCAGACCCGTTTCACGCCTTACGATGACTACGAAAAAATAGAAGAGAATTCTATTCCGTCTAGATGGGTCGGGATTTCTGCAGTCTAAACACGGTTCCCTGGAACAATTCTTTTTTCGTGGGAACCCGACTTTTGTCTTCTTTTTACGATCTCTTTCTTCGGCCCCTTATTCTAACTTTTTCAAATTGTCTTTTGCTTTTTCTTCTTCTTTCTGTTCTATCTTCTGTACATATTTGGTCCTTGTTCTTTTTTCTTTTCTTTTCATTTAACTGGTCCCAAGCATAGAAGAGCCAAGAGAAGCGGGCGCAAGGCGTTATTTTCGGGGAACTGCAAGAGGAACATCCATGGGAGTTGGAAACATTCTTCTTTATTGCTTCCTTACATCACCTATCTTACTAGCGGCCAGGGGGCACTGCCAAGCAACAACAATGCAATACATCGTCATGATTACAGACCCTTCATCCTTTCCTCTTCCGCCCGGGGCAACTCAGAACACCATCGATCTAGTCCTTTATGGTCGTTCTTTCATGTACACAAGAACTTTCTGGGAAGACCGCTCTACAATACAGCAATATCGCCTGGATACGGAGTATAGCCAGCAGATAACTGTAAACAATCGGGTAGGCATATATGGGCCTTTCAAAAGGAATGAATTGATTGGATAGTGTGGGAATTCAGTGTCCCGATAAACCAAGCTTGCATCTCCGTTTATTGCGCAAAGACAAACAGCAGTAACTAGCCTTTTTAGTTACCCCTCCTGCCCCCCTCTCAAAAAAAATTGGTTAACGACAGCTGCAGGATTCGAACCTGCGCACTCGAAAGTACGCGCTGACTTTTGAAGTAAACAGTATACTAGTCAATACTGTGATGAGGTTAGTGACGGACGAGCAATGGATATTTCGAAGGGAAACGTACGCAGGCGCGCGCCTTAACCACTCGGCCAAACTGTCAAGGTTGATAAAGCACAGAAATTGTGTGCATCTTAGCCATTTTCCCATGAGTCTTCATGAAATATACAGGCATATTTTGTAGGAATTCTGAGGTGCCAGGGGTAGGCTGCCAAAGAGGAGGAAAGAGGAAATCGAGAGGAGACCTCGACGATCTGTTACTTTCCAAATTAAATCTCCTATGATGTACACTGACGATCAGGGGAATGTCATACCGCAAGCGAGGAAGAAGAGCAGACAAGAGCCCTCTGAATGATCAGGCAATTCAGCTAGACATCACTTGGAGACAGGTTATACAACCAAGTCATCCATCTCTTTATGTCCTCTTTCCTCGGCAATTGCTGTACTTTATCGTGATAACTTCGCAGGCAATCTCAGCAACGTAATCTTTCCCTATGTCTATACTGAACTTTTACCTCGTGTTTCTACAGCTTGGGTACTAGGTAACTATTAGGAGCACGCTTGACAACCAAACTGAACGTAGATATGAACCCACAATTTTTTCAGCTGTTTGGACGCATTCGGTCACAGTATGATCTCTTTTCCAACGACTATCAACATATCCTCTCGTTCTCTCCTCATGCGGATACCCGGACGACTATAGAAGTGTACATATACAACTATAGAAGAGAAGAGTATTCTATTTAACTATACAGTATTTTTTTTATTGAACAATTTGGCGAACAATCCATATATACGGTTTCTCTCTGACAACAAATGAGATCATCACGGGAGTCTAAGACTTTAGAGAAAGAAGGCTCGTTGATTCATTGCTGAATAGAATATTAGAAATGTATGTACGGTACACCCAGACACCAATCCCCAAGTTATACTATATATACAGAACGTAACATAACAGAACGTAACATAACCGAGCCAAGCATATCTAGCGAGCATCCGGATAATCTAGAATGCCCGGGGAATGACCGGAGCTGATGAAGGAGTGGCATCGGGAGTCGGCGTGGGATTGTAGATGGCTGGGGTAGACGTAGGGGCCACTGGAAGAGACGGCGTCGTCCTGGTTTTAGGGCGACGGGTCTTCTTCGAAGTGGTGCTGGTGCTGCTGGTGTCGTCTTTGGTCGAAGTAGAGGACGTGGTGGTGCTCTCATCCTTCTTAGTGGTACTGTTGCTGTCTTTAGTAGAGGTGGGAGCAGCCTCCGTGGTCTTCTTGCAATCCTTGTCTGTGATAGAGTGGACGAGTCAGTTAGAATTCTCGACATATCGATGGTTTTCGAAGCAGGACTTACCGTCGCGCTTGCACTTGTCGTCATCCTTCTTATCATCATCCTTCTTGTCGTCCTTCTTGTCGTCCTTCTTGGGATTGCTGCGTCTCTCCTTGCAAAGACTCTTCTTCTTCTGGAAGCACCCCTTGCTGGTTCCCATGTCATCCGTGGCATCGTTCAATTTGCCGAAAATCGAACCCATCAGGTCGAAGTTCCAGTCGGGGACGTCACATGCCTCTCCGACCCAGTTATCGAAGAAAGAGGCCGCGTCCAACGAATTATCGACGAAGGTTTTGGCGCCCTCGACGGCCCTTCTGACACCATTGATCGCTTGACCGCCAGGCACAGCATTGATACCGATCTCGGCAATCGTCTCGAGACTCGACAAGAAGACAGCGCAGATAATGTTGTCCAAGCGCGAAAGGCCCTCCAGCACCGGCTCGATAAGAGGTAGATAGTCCTGGGGGTTTCCGCAGAGACAGTCGCCCGGGAAGTATTTGTTACCGTCGTCGTCGTGGCCGAAGAGTGTTGGGTCTACGTCGTCCCAGTTCGTCACGGGCGTGCGGCACTGTGGTTGAATCAGTCAGTCACCATCGTGTTGGGTAGAACGGTGTCCTTCGACGCGTTAGGATAGAGGGATTGAAGCGGGACTTACACCCATCCCCTCGTTGTCCTCATGCTCGGGGCACCATGTCTTGCACGGTTGAACAGACTTGTCAAGGGGTCCACCGTCGACATAAACGTAACACCATCCCGTGGTTGCAAAATGCGCCAGCACCTCCTTATCGGAGTTCTGACCGTTGACGGCCGGGAGGAGGCCTCCCAAAAGCAGAAGAGGCAATATGGAAAGCATCGTAGTCTAGATGCTGTGAAGAGATGAAACAGAAGACTTGTGGGACTACCTCAGTAACTTCAGGATCGGTTACTAGGTCGATTATCTGTGTGTATTAGAAAATTTGATTTTTTCATCGAGAATATGAGGATCCAGACTCCCTTATAAAGCCTGTTTACTCTTCACGCTATGGATCACAACTCTGACTGCGGCCCTGTGGGTATTCCTCTGGAATGATTGACTTCTGGAAAGGCCCCCAAAGTCAGCAGCTAAAGACCTTGGCTGTCCATCTCCTGACGGTCGGGAAGGCACACAGACATCTAGATTCATTTGAGCCCCCACCGAAGGATAACGGTCCGCCAATATAGAATGGTTTCCCAGCTGGCTACCGATTCCGACTGGAGATTGAGACTTGGCACAGGATGAAACATCCAGTAAATATGGAGACGACATCGTCTACGGTGCTTAGTAGTTTCAGCCTTGCCAAAATCAAGAGAAAAAGATGGATATAATAAAGGAGAAAGAGAAAGCAAAAGACCAGTAAAACGTACGGTGTACAGGCGACAATTTCCTCAAATCCAATCCAGCGACTGACCCTGCCGATCAGTATCGACTTTCAGTTTAGGCTTCAGTTTAGGCCCCTTGACAACTCGTGTATGCGGGTCGTGGGAGGTTTTAGTGATCAGCCTTCTCAGCCTACAACGCCCGTTCCTTGCAGCCGGTGCGGTATCATGTTTCTGGCCTTGAGATTTCATGGTGCCTTGTCTTGGATACTGCCATCCCCTTGTTGAAACTTCAAAGTCTAAAAGTCTAGTCTCACCTAAGATTTATTTCCTGCTCATTGTGACCTGTGTGGTGGTCTATTAGATGATTCCTTTCCTTATTCATCCCCACAATTTGGCCCCTTTGGAGCGCTGCACCGGATCTAGTCCGAGTTATTAATACGCCTCGAGCTGAACTGTGCAATTGATTGCCTTATTGCAGTTGACCCGTGGCCGAGATTTTGACATGATCTACCGGTTTTTCGAGCCCCTGAATCAGTTTTCCCTGATTTATGCGTAGCGTGGTCTGCACGATGAATCCTTAGGATTTCTTCAACTTCATCCTAGGTTGCCAGTTCTTCCAGGGGCTCCAACTTAGAAGATTGATCTTTCAGCCTGCATTTCTCTGTGGTTTTGTCTCTTTTTTCGAAATGAATTATGCAGCTCGGTATTACTCTTTTTTCTTGGAGATTCAAAGGTCCAAGGACTCTTCTTCGGTAGCTGAAAGATCGGGACCATAAATGGCGACAGACTGTGATGTACCGAATCAAGAATTCACGGATCATCAATCGATACCTACTACAGCAGGGCCCCTAGGCTCGTTCGACAGTGCACGACAGTTCCGATTCGCATACCCGTTCCTGTCCGACGATGCGCGAAACCGCAGAGATGCAGCAGGCCGATCGCAAAGGGCCTGCAGTAGCTCGTCATTCTGCGTCGGCTATCACGATCCCTGTCGGTTCGTTTCCAAACTGCAAGTTTCATGAGACATGTCCGAGTACCCTTGACGAGGGACTTGTTGATCTTGAACTACCGACATGCGTGGCAGTTATTGTCGAACGTTACTATATAGATACTAAATAGACTTCGCAGGACGCCGTGGCAAGAGGGTCGCCTGACCTGCCTTAAAGCTTAGGCAGTCCCGAACGTGTATATTTAGCCGACCTCTATCCGTCCTTACTACTACTGTTTCCCCGTTCCTTCAACAATCAAGAAGAAAGGGGGGAAAAAAAGAGAGAGAAGATACAGAAAAACAGGGGGAATAATTCACGGCAGTCAGATGCAATTTATTTCGCAGCAGAATAGATTACCTGCATCTAACCTCGGAGCAAATATAATCTAATATCGCTCGCTAAAGCCGGCCTGGCGAATTACCCGAACAACTACACAGAGGCCTTTTCGTCATGGAACCTGCCCCGGCGCATTGGCCAATCAGTCGGGCTTCCCCGGGCCTTCTTTAGACAGTCTTTTAGGCACTAAGGCCACTAAGGACTAGCCTCGTGGTCCCCCGGCCAAGGGCCAAACCGGCCTGTTTCCCCCGCTTCCTGTTCATGGAGTTGTTCCTGCTCGACCGAGACAGTCACAGATGGGTCGTCCCCATCAACTAGCGAGCCACTTCTCCGTCTGGCGTGACAAACTTTGCTCTTCCCGTTGCTTTGCTGCCTCCCGCTGCGCCTCCTTATTCCTCCTTGCATCCTGTCGAATGCTTGAAATGTCGGAAGGATTCTACGTGGCCATGTCGACGATACTAATACTCTAATCATCATGATGATCGTGCTACACATCCGATCGTGATATACTTCTCGAGCTCTGGCAGGGATTTTCCCTTTCTGTCCCTTTTTCCTTTCCTCATGCGATTCTCGCTGCCATGCCAACTTCCTCTGTCCAACATCCCCAGAATCGATCGTCCATGAGACGCCATGTCGCCGGAGAGGAGCGATGCGGGCTTAGGTATGATTACAAACTAGATCCCTGTGTTCTGTTCTACAGGGGGAAAGCGCAGTAAAAAGGCAAAGCTCTGGGGGGCGTCGAAATTAACCGCGACATTCATATAGAAGTTGCAAGCCGCCATGAAGCCGATGAGACACATCCTGAGGGCCCTACCGACGATGACCGTGACGCACAGCCTAATTCGGTCTCCACCGGTCAAACGAAGTGCTCAATCTGTCAGAGTACCTTCAGGCGGCCCGAGCACCTGAAGCGACACTTTCGTAGTCACACCAAAGAGAAGCCTTTCGAATGCGCGCAATGCGGCCGGCACTTTTCGCGAACGTATGACTCCTTTCTGAATCATCAATTGACCGGTTGACCTGACAGTTCTTCGGACGCCCCAGTGACACTCTTCACCGCCATGAATTGAGCCACCATACCTTGGGTACCGACGGTGGAAAGGACCGTACGCATCGGATCACAGTCAAGACTTTTCGAGCATGTTTCAAATGTGCGGTAGCAAGAGTTCGTTGTAGCGGGGGCTCCCCGTGTGTCCGTTGCGAAAACCGATCTCTCGAATGTCAGTATCCAACGGAGAGGCGGTCTAAGGTAAAGGCGCGGAAGGATGCGCCCGCCGATGGGGCCCTGGACAAGGACAGCCGTTCATCAATACATGCTTTCAACGCCGCACCTTCGAGGATGGAAGAAGATGTTTCTCACAGCCAGACTGGACCGAGCTCTTCACATCGACCTCCCGAGTACCAGGTCGGTCAGTTTCAACTGCAACTTCCAAATATAAATGGCCCCAGCCCGTCCTCCAGTGTACCGGCCGAACGCAACTCATATGGCTTTTCCAGAATACAGCAAAACGACATCCAAAATACCCGGAGACCTTCTCATGCCGAAAGCCTGAGCCTGGCGAGTGAATCAGCAGACGGCCGCCGCTTTTCCTTACAGTCGTACCCCGCGCTCGAGGTCCAGCGCGCATACCCACAGTTACCCATATCAGAAGATCGAAGTACACTTTCGGATGGTCATAGGCTACCACCCAGCTCTCACATGGGCAGTTTTCCGTCGGGAGTGACAAGCTCCACGCCCCATGTGGATATCACGGCAGCAGGTACCAGTTCGCAGGTACCGCTGGGCTTCGCGCCCTCTTTCCTGGACCAGTCAATGTTTTCTACAATTAATTGGCTACCAAGTGATTTGCTGCAAGATACTCCCAATGAAAGGCCCGCTGCGTCATCGCATTCGTTGCAATCGGCGGGCCTCGATAACCCTTGGGGTCGAACGCCATGGCCACCTCCCGGCATCAACCTGAATAACAGCTCAGCCCTACCTGAGAATGTCACCCAATCACCGATGAGAAATGTACCCCTAAGACCAGTCATGGCAAACAGTGAAAACTTTAGACAGGATACCGGTCATTCGTCTTCACTATCAACATCTATATCATCAACACCATCAAACTTGGAGTCCAGTGCCACCAAGCGCTTGGCAGATCGCCACATAGATGATGATGGCGCTAGGCTGTCAAAGTACAGGCGGAGACAGGATTCCTGGGATGTACATGATGCGGAGCTTGCCGACATCATAACTCGATCACAGCAGACTGGAGATGCACTGGGGTTTTCTTTCCCTGTGCTCGAAGAAACGGATATCTTCTCTGCCGTCGAACCTGCTGTTTCTGATTATCTGATCGAACCCTCCACATACGATAACATTCGTGGGTGTTTCACAGAACTGTGTTGCTCAAAGAATATTCTGTACCAAAAATTCGAGTCTGAGCGATTTCCTGCCTCGAATGAGCTCTCCATCTTCATTCAACAATACTTTGATTCTTTCCATCCAGTGTATCCTATTCTTCACGCCCCTACTTTCGATCCGAACAAATGCCATTGGCTACTGACCCTAGCAGTGTCGGCAATAGGATGCCATCTTGCGGACTCGGCTGTACAAGAGGCGTCTAGTGCAGCATTTCATGAATTTCTCCGGCGAGCAATCACCGTGGAGGTAGGACTCTCGCAATGCGATATGCAGTAATCACATGATAGCTAACGATTCACATGGTAGAAGGAGAAAAGCTGCGCCAACCAGACTCCTTTTTGGCTTATTCAAGCATCAACACTCAACCATATTGGATTGCTTCACGGCAGTAATGAACGTGCCAGACGAACCGCACTTAGTAACTTCGGGAGTTTAGTTGATCTCGCAACTAAGGAGGAGTTATTGAGTTCCTCGACCCAGTCGGGACTCTTCTCAATGGGGGACCCCGTGGAGCAGCAATGGGCTATTTGGATTGAGGATGAGTTGAAAAGACGGACAGGCTACTCTATCTGGGTAGGAGTGATCCATGATACCCGCCAAACCACCGCGAGGTCCTAACATACCACAGCTTTTGGACTGTACACTCACGTACCATTTTGACGCCCGTCCATCACTTTCTTTGGACGATGGCCTAGCTCCCCTTCCCTCGCATGAAAGCCTTTGGCAAGCGAAATCGGCCGGAATCTGGAAACAGATGTATGATAAGGCTTTGGGTATGTACATTGCCCTGGTGCCACAATGTTTATCTAATTGTTTGTTCGTCCAGGTCGAGGAAGCTTTTCCCTCTACGATGCCGTCCTAATAATGTACATTGAAAAGAGACTGGTCCCTAGTATGGGAGAGTTCAGTCACATTCTCCTGATCCACGCACTCTATCATCGAATGTGGGAGGTTGGTGACTACTTCCGTCGCCCCTTGTCATTCTGGAACCCGACCGCAAAGAAACAATCGCGAGAAGCGGCAATTCCAACGGGATCTGTGTGGCTCCCGGGCATCCCTTCGTATTCAAAGTGGCGGAATAGTGCCTGCGACTGCCTAGACATCCTTCATTGGACGGCAAACAGTATTACCGCCAAGGCAGGAGGATTTGAGCATCCGACCGTTCTGCACCTTCATGAAGCCCGGATTGTGCTCCTCGCTCCCTTTCATGAAATACGATCCTTGGCCACCTCCCTAGCGACGGGAAAGGTTCACTGGAATGAGAGGCAACAAGCAATTGAGTGGCATTACATACAGCGGTGGATCAAGCACGACCAATACAAAGCGCGCCTTGCGGTTATCCATGCGGGTACATCTCTGTGGCATATCCAAAGATATTCGACTAATGCGTTCCACGAGCCTGTGGCCGCCTTCCTTGCGATCCTCACTCTCTGGGCCTACGGACTCTGTCATCCCCAGGTGTGGCCTGAAGCAGGTGGCTCTTATGCCGGATCGATGCGCAGACCGTCTAACGAGCCGAATTCCGTTCAGCTGGATCGCCCTTGCGACGACGAATTGGTTCAAATGTTCGTTCGTGAGGGCCAGGTCATGAGAGGAAACATTACTGGCGTGGGGGATATTTGCGGTCCTGATGGACCGAAGAGGATCTTGCGGGCCGGGTGCGCGATTCTTGCGGGCATCAATTCGTGGGGGATATCAAAGCAATTCATGGTGACATTGGCCAAACTCGCCGAGGCGATGTCACAGCAGGCCAGCGTGGTAAATTAGTGAATAGACCTAATGTTTATTACTGATTTTATGTTGTTCATATATACTTCACAAGCATTTTGGACCATACTTAATATGGTAAACCAAGCGCACGCCTAGAACAAGTGCACGTATAGAGTATGCATACATGTAGAGAGAATACACGCATAGAGCAAGCATAGTAGCAAGCATAAGTATAGAGCAAGCGCACACAGAAAGAAAGAATAAGAAAGAGCGGAACTATCCGAGCGTGCATAGACCACAACAACCAATAATTAAGTGCAGAGTAAACTGTTCCTTCTTCACGGAGTACACCGTCTATCTAATGGATCTTCAAGGCGCCATTCCCAAAAGGGCGGAGTGATGTCACATGGCCGGCCGCTATCTTATCGATGCCTGCTGCAGCCTAGTGTTGCGCATCTTGAAGCCACCGAGTACAAATATCGCATATCGCCCATCGAGTCTTGTTCTGGGTCTCTCACTGATATGATTGACCCGCCTCTCAATACTCGATTGCCTGTTCTCCAGGGGTGACCTTCAGTATAAATGGATTCGGACGAAGTGATGGAGCGCGATGACACCAAACATGAGCCCGACCTGGATGAAAAGTAATTCCTCAGCTGTGTTACTGCCAGTACCCTCCTGACGAACAACTGACTAACCATGCGCAATTCATTTATATTATAGATTTCCCAACCGACCGCGAAACCATGCCTCCACGCTCCCATTCCACGAGCTCTTCCAATCCCTGTTCAACCCTCTAAGTGAGATCAAAAAGAAACCCGCCGGGGCCGCGGGGCCGCGTCGAAAAGCCGGCCCTCATGGCCAGTCCGCGGCGAACCTCAACCCCCTGGAACGACGACGCGATGTCATCGAGCGGTTTATCTCGCGGTGGCGCAAGGACGTCGGCGATGACATATACCCTGCGTTCCGGCTGGTACTTCCGGACAAGGACCGCGATCGAGCGATGTACGGGATCAAGGAGAAGGCGATCGGCAAGATGCTGGTGAAGATCATGAAGATCGACAAGAACTCCGAGGACGGGTTTAATCTCCTGAATTGGAAACTGCCGGGACAGGCAACCGCGTCGAGCATGGCGGGCGATTTCGCGGGACGATGCTACGATGTGATTTCGAAGCGGCCGATGCGGACGGAGGTCGGGAATATGACGATCGAGGAGGTGAACGAACGGCTGGACCAGCTCTCGGCGGCGTCCAAGGAGGAGGATCAGCAGCCGATCCTGGCGGAGTTTTATCGCCGCATGAACCCCGAAGAGCTCATGTGGTTGATCCGTATCATTCTCCGGCAGATGAAGGTCGGCGCGACAGAGCGGACCTTGTTCAATGTCTGGCACCCGGATGCGGAGAACCTGTACAGTATCTCCAGCAGTCTTCGGCGCGTGTGTTGGGAACTGCATGATCCCAATATACGATTGGACGCTGAAGATAGGGGCATTGCGTTGATGCAGTGTTACCAGCCACAACTGGCTCAATTCCAGATGCATTCGCTAGATCGGATGATCAGTCGAATGAAGCCGACCGAGGAGGATCCGGTGTTCTGGATTGAGGAAAAGCTTGATGGGGAGCGCATGCAGTTGCACATGGACTCTGACGGTTCAGTCCCGGGAGGAAGGAAATTCGGCTTCTGGTCAAGAAAGGCGAAGGATTACACATATCTCTATGGTAATGGTATACACGACGAGAACGGGGCCTTGACAAGACACCTGGCCGATGCATTTGCCGACGGTGTCAACAGTGTGATATTGGACGGCGAGATGATCACCTGGGATCCCGAGCAAGATGCGCCGGCGCCGTTTGGCACCCTCAAGACAGCCGCGTTGGCTGAGCAAAGGAATCCGTTCTCGAACGGAGCCCGGCCACTGTTCCGCATCTTCGATATTTTATATCTCAATGGACGGGACATAACGCGGTATACGCTTCGTGACCGTCGTAATGCGTTACAGAAGTGTATCAAACCTGTCCATCGCAGGTTTGAGATCCACCCCTACGAGGAAGCGACCGGCAAGGCCGAAATTGAAACAGCGCTCAGGAAAGTCGTCGCGGAAGCTTCTGAGGGCCTGGTGCTCAAGAATCCCCGATCACCCTATCGCCTGAACGAAAGACACGACGACTGGATGAAAGTCAAGCCGGAGTACATGACCGAATTTGGAGAGTCGCTGGATCTTGTTGTCATCGGGGGTTACTACGGAAGTGGCCATCGGGGCGGTGCTCTCGCAAGCTTCCTGTGTGGGTTACGAGCCGACGGGGCCAGTTCATCCCAAGGCGCGAGTCCGACGAAGTGCTACTCGTTCTGTAAAGTTGGCGGGGGGTTCAACGCCACCGATTATGCCAACATCCGGCACCATACGGGCGGCAAATGGACCGACTGGAATCCTAAAAAGCCGCCGACGACGTACATCGAGTTAGCAGGCGGCGATGCTCAATATGAGCGTCCTGATATGTGGATCAAACCGGAAGACTCGGTTGTCCTGTGTGTGAAAGCGGCCTCGGTCTCCATCAGTGATCAATTCCGAATCGGGCTGACGCTGCGTTTTCCTCGGTTCAAAAAGCTGCGGATGGACAAGGACTGGAAGAGTGCCCTTTCTGTGCAAGAGTTTCTGGATCTCAAATCCAACGTCGAACAGGAACACCAGGAGAAGGTGTTTGACGTTGACAATTCACGGCGGAAGCGAACCAAAAAAGCTACTAAAAAGCCGATTGCCATTGCCGGGTATGATGAGAAGGAGGCAGAAGCCAAGTATGCCGTGCCATCTGGAGAGGTCTTCAAGGGGCTCAATTTTTGTATGTTGCGTGTCCATCTGCTTTTTTGGTCGCTTTCCGCTAACAGGGACTAGACATTCTGACGGATTCAAATACCCGGGACAAGAAGACCAAATCGGAGTTGGAGCAGCTGGTCAAGGCCAACGGGGCCAGTTTCTTTCAGAAAGACAGCGCCGCTCCAAACACTATATGCGTCGCGGATAGAAGTAAGAAGAATATAACGTCCCAGAGCGCAGCAGCAGACTGACACTTGAGCAGGAACGGTCAAGGTAGCTGCCGTGCAGAAAAAGAATACCAATATAGTCCGCCCATCGTGGATCCTGGATTGCATCCACCAAAGTGTGGTTGATGCAGGACTTCCGGACTTCCTTCTTCCGCTAGAGCCGCGGTTGGTGTTTCTCTTCACCGTGACGGACTATCTGCTAAATCATATCTAGACACATGTTCCACGCCACCTCTGAGAAGCAAGAAGAAATTTCTGGTAATGTTGATCGATTCAATGATAGCTATTGTCGCGATGTAAATCGCGAAGAACTTAGCGAGGTAGATATCAAACCAACGAGTCGACATGTCCAAGGGCTCACAAGACGTTAGATCCTGGAACAAATGACCAAAGACCACGCATTCGACCTCCCCACAGACACCAACGCCGTAGAAAAGCTCCACGAAAGCATCCAGGGAAGTGTGGATTCCGGATGGGAGATGCCGTGCGGATGGCTATTCAAAAACCTGATATTCCACTTCCACTCGACCGACCAAGATAACGAGAGTCATCCATATCGCCTCCAGCTGGCAAAAAGCACAGCGAGATTTGCAGGCGCAAGCGTTGCAGACTCCTCCGACGATCGGACCATCACACACATCATTGTGGACTCGACTACCCCGGCCTCAGAAATCCGTCTGATTCGAGAATCACTGGCGACGACGCACCGCACGAAACTGCCTCACGTCGTCACGGTCAAGTGGATCGAAGAAAGCTGGAAGCAACACACCCTTTTGGATGAAGAAAGTAAGTCATTGGCTTCTGGAAGTATACACACCGGCGACGATCTTTCTAATCCCATTGAATGATTACAGGGTTTCCTCCTAGTATGACCCCCTCATCCTCCTCTACCTAGGGCCAGCGGGGAAAAGAGAACAAAAAGAAGAAATCAGGAATATCCACGTCAAACCCCGATCAATCAATCACCACCTACTCCTGATAGTAAGGTACTGTAGTATAGTATAGTTTAGTTAATCTTGCCTATACAATACAATATACAAACATACCCCACACCCCACCCCCTCAAATAAATCAATCAGCACCGATATGACAGGCCAGTCTACGATCCCTTATCAGCATCTGCAACCCTGCCCAAATACGGCGTCCCATGCCACCAGGGACCAGAATCATCAGGACCGTCCAGAAAAAGAAACCCTAGAGTTGTATCTTACCTAGGTGACCGCGAGTCGTGTCGGGGAGGGGGTGTCAGAGTCACAGTCTGTGTGATCTACTCCGTGGGCTATCATGGCTATCGCTTACTCCTCTGGGTCATGGGGATTATTTCTTTCGGTAGGTGGGCAATGACTACCCGTCGTTTTCCGGATACTACATATTGTAATGTCTATCTATTCATCGTGGTACTAAGTATTGTACATGCCTATCTATAGAATAGGTAATGGATCGGATGCCTTTCCGACACATCCAGGTTCCTCTCCCAAATAGGTAAATTAACCACCTTTCGATCTGTACAATCGTACAGCCATACAACATGACACAGTTAAGTAAGAACTAGTAACTACAGTAGATCAACCGGCAACGGATTCCACATCGCTTGATCTTTTTCAGATCCCTATGTGACGAGAATTATATGGACTATTATCGAACAGACAGTTTGGCCGAGTGGTTAAGGCGCGCGCCTGCGTACGTTCTCTTATCTACTCTACGGAGTACCCATTATCCTAGCTTTTCCACTAACATTATCACAGTATTCGTTGTCCCAACAATAATAGTCAGCGCGTACTCTCGAGTGCGCAGGTTCGAATCCTGCAGCTGTCGTTATCTTTCTCTTTTTTTGTGTACTCCATTCAATCCCACACATGGCATATAGGATGATGTGCATAGCGCGATGATTGAAAATGAACATTTCTCGATCCTCTACTCTGTAAACAGTTGCTTGTCTCCCACATAGAAAACGTTCGCCAGCTGAAGAAACACGAAGATAATACTTGGCAGCTTGCACCTCAGGGGCAGGACAAGATAGGTAATATGAGGCTTTTATCTGGCAGCACCGACGACCTAACTTGAGAATGATTAGCTACTCAAAAAGTCTTCCTATATCTATGAAAATACTGTAACTCTTCGGCTTCACGATGGTAATCAAAGCCAAGCAATCCCACCTAGCCGGACCATTTTACCCACTCAGGGAAAGAGATATTCCCAATAAGCAAGTTCTAGCAATGTACAATAATACTAGGCAAGGTACTTGTAGCTGGCACATCATTATCTACTTCCTCCTTTCTAGGCCCAAGGACAATGTTCAGCTAGATTCTGATGTCTTTCACAACCTGACAGTTTGGCCGAGTGGTTAAGGCGCACGCCTGCGTACGTCACCTTTCTTCATATCCCCTTCCCACAACCTAACTAACATCTTCATAGTATTCCTCTAAGTTAGCGTGTACTTTCGAGTGCGCAGGTTCGAATCCTGCAGCTGTCGATTACCTTTCAACATTTTTTGCTTTATACAAACACACACCCCCTTTACGTTGTGGGCTTCCACCATCTACTGCCTGTTGCCCTGTCCTCACCAGCAGACAAATTGGCCAAGGAATCGGGGTGCATGTGTTAAGTCGTTTGGCAGTGGCAATGGCAGCGGCAGCGCTAATTGAATGCGGTAAAGCGTTCCCGCTTCCCAGTATTTAAAAATGAAGTTGCTGGCAGCTGCAAAACAATTTCCGATTATTTAATCAAGTCCCAAAAATAATCCCGAAATCCTATTAACGTATTTCACAAGCGAACGTGACACACAAACGAACGTGACACCGCCCGCAACTTAGACGCGTTGGAAAACCTCACCTAATTCAACCATCAACCATGCCTCCAAAAACGCGTCAAAATTCAAAAAAATTAGCAGAACGGGAAGACAGAATCAAACTTGCTATTGCTGCTTTGAAAAATCAAGAAATTCGCAGTATTCGTGAAGCTGCGCGTGTTTTTCATATTTGCCATAAAACTCTCAATCGTCGACTTAGCGGAAGAACTTCGCGCTCAGAAATACGCGCCAACAATCATAAAATGACTCAAAATGAAGAGGAATCGCTTGTACAATGGATTCTATTGTTAGATCGACGTGGAGCTCCTCCTAAGCCATCAAATGCACGAAAAATGGCTAATATTCTTCTTGCTGGCCGCGGTACTACATTTATTTAATTAGTTGGAGTGAACTGGATTATTAACTTTATTAAATGCCGTTCTAAAGTAAAATCCTGCTTTTCTCGACGATATGATTATCGACGCGTTAAATGCGAAAATCTTAAAGTGATGAAAGAGTGGTTTGATCGCGTACAAATCATTATAATGCAACATGGGATCGCACAGGAGGATATCTACAATTTCGACGAAATTGGCTTCGCTATGGGCCTAATATCTAATGCTCGAGTACTTATTAGAGCTGATTATTATGGCAAAGCGCGTGTTGTACAGTCAGGCAATCGGGAATGGATTATTTCGATTGAATGTATTAACTCTACTGGTTGGGTGCTTCCTCCGTGTGTTATCTTCAAAGGGAAGGTTCATATAGAAGGTTGGTATGAAAAATCAAAGCTTTTACTGGATATCAGGCTTGAAGTTAGTCCTAATGGATGGACTTTTAATGAGATAAGCCTTCGCTGGTTAAAATATCTTTTTATTTTTATGATTATTCACCGTACGATTGAGAAATACTGCCTTTTAATTATGGACGGCCATGACAGTCATCTCTTACTTCAATTCGATCAATTATGCAGTGAAAATAATATTATTTTTATTTGCATGTCTCCGCATTCTTTCAACAATCTCCAGCCTCTAGATGTGGGCTGCTTTCGAGGTCTAAAAGGCACGTACGGCGATCTAGTGAAGCAAAAGACAAATCTAGGAGTCAGACATATTACAAAGTTTGATTTTCTAAAGATGTTTGCAACGGTCCGTGATCTTGCTTTTACAGTAGAGCCTATTCAGAACAGTTTTGCAGTTATTGACTTGATTCTTTTCAATTCAGATAGAATGTTTAGCAAGTTGAATATTCAATTAAAGATCTTTACTTCTTCAGGCAGTCGATCAACTGATTCAACGCCTAAAACACTTTACACAACTAAATAGTTGGAAAAGCAAGCTTCTGCAGCAAAGAGATTGCTTAAAGAACGCGCTCATAGTCCTTTACCTTTGATAGAAGCGCGATTGGACAAGATCATTAAAGGTCATGAATTGACGCTTAATGAGTTTCTTTTTGCAAAGGAAGAAATACGCAAACATTGTGCTAATAATGAATGGGAAAGCGAAAGACAGAACAAGTCTACTAGACAATTAGCTATAGAAAAGGACTCATCACTTTGAGAAGGCCTAAAGCGATTTCAGCACGAGAATGAGGTTGATGAAGATCAAAATACGTTTTTCATAGATCCAACGCTTTTTGCAATTGGACCGCGCGTACGAGCGCCATCGCGCTGCAGCGATTGTCATAATCTAAGACATAAGCGATTGTAATGTCCTAATCGAGTTTCCAATTAATTTTTAAATAGAAATCTGATTGTTTGGTTGATAAAGGCTATAGTATCTACTCTATAGACAGGAATTGGCTGGCGGTGTCACGTTCGTTTGTGTGGCACGTTCGCTTGTGAAATACGTTACTACTACTACATCGTACGGAGTACTCCTACTACTACTAGTTACAGTAATGCTATACTATATAGATAGAATTTGAGATATAGAGAATATATATTTCGCTTACTATATAAAGTAGTATAAAGTAGTAAATCCTATATGTAAATACAACATTCCTTTATATACAGCGTATGTATAAGAGAGAGATATATATGAGCAGACAGTACAGCAGAGTAGTACGGTAGTGGTGGTAGTAGTGGTAGGAGTAGCACTCTAGTAAATCGAGCGAATTGCCAGGCTCCAGAGGTTGCCGGCGAGGATTGACCATGACAGGCATTATTTTACATACCGTGGCAGCCGGCGATATTACCGCATTCGGTTGCCAGGGACTCGCCTGAACTCTATATGGAAGACTGCCACTGCCACTGCCAGCAACTTAACAGCTCTATTCATTCGTTCGCTCTTTACACCTAAGCCCCACACAAGCTGGTTAGTAGTTGGTTGATTTCATGCCTTTGCCTTCTGATTCACTCTTGTTTATATTTTACTCAAATCGGACAGTTTGGCCGAGTGGTTAAGGCGCACGCCTGCGTACGTCTCCCTCTTTGAATCCCCTTCCCACAACTCAACTAACATGTCCATAGTATTCCTCTAAGTTAGCGTGTACTTTCGAGTGCGCAGGTTCGAATCCTGCAGCTGTCGACTTCTTTTTTTTTGAATTATCATTCATTCGCTCTTTACCTTTTCTCCAAGATAATCAACGACCAAGTACCTCAAAGTAAGTATGTATAATTAAACATGCGCAAATTCGTTTGCAGCTATCAGTTAACTAGGTTTTCCCCCTCTCCCCCCCTTATTTATTCAGATCAATAATATAATTTTTATCTTAGTACGGAGTATATCCCCTGATCCTTCCGCGATAATGCTTATTAAGCCTCTTGCCTCTCCCCATTGTTAGTTAACCAACTAGTTAACTAAACTAAGGTTCTAAGTACTCTGAGCAATCCTTCTTTCTTCTTACCAGTCAACACTGAACACTCCGCACCTGAACTAGTTCGCTACTCCATCATGGTTTGATTCCAATCTCGTGCCTCAAACCCATCCTTTTATGAATTAGACGAGCCACGTGGCTCGTCCTTACCTAAGCGCCGACCCGAACTTTCGACCGCAGCAGACCCCTTCCCCGTTAATGGCAAGCTCAACTTCCGGTCTAGACCCGCGGCCAGCTGCTCATTTGTCGCGCAATAATGCCAATCACTCCCTGACAGCTCTTCAAGGTGCCGTCAATGCGTTCCATGGGAGTCCGTCAAGAGGTGTTTCACCCGCCGCTATCCATAGAACCGCCATGCCCATGGATACCAGCCGTGGCCCTGAGCCTCATTCCGAGGCCGATACGCCTGAAATCGGCTCTGTAAAGGACAAGATCGGGAGGTTCGCGGCACAGTCACAACCTCCCAATTTGCAAACCACGCCCGAGAGAAATCAGATCAACAAGACGATCACCAAACAACGGTCTATGCATCAGATCGCCGCTCAGCTTGCTGCGGAGAAGTCCGCGATGGCAAGCGAAAAGAGAAACCCTTCTCCGGCGCCTAGTATGCGTTCGATGCAGCATGTGAATAGGGTCTCGACTATGCCCCGCAACCAAAATCAACACGTGGACTTGCTGACGGGGGACTCTATGGACGACCTGACGACAAGCACCAGTTCTACGCCAAGTATCTCGGCAGATGAGCAAGGCTTGCCGTCCAGAACCGGTTCTATTCAACGAAAACCAATAGGGGAGACATCTCCTGCAGTGCCTGAGCCCATACAGACGGCTGTAGCAAAGCCCCGTCCCGTTCCGCCGGTGCCACGGAAACCTCGATTAGCCACTGGAGGGCTGAATGTGACCGACACCGCTCTTCCTATCCGGCACCAAACGCGGACTCCCGAGCCGCCTTTAAGCTCCCGTGCATCGGTTCGCTCCAAGGCTTCATCTACCCTTTCCGATGAGAAAGCGCCTCCACTTCCTGCGCGACCAGGCACTTGGTCAAACCAGGGACCGAGAGACCATCGAAAGCTCCTAGATACCCGTGACCCTCCAAGACGACCAATGAGTCCCGGCATGGCATCTGTATCTGGTCGCTCGCTCAACACCAGCAGCTCGAGTCTACTCGATATGGACGAAGAAGCCCTGTCGGATGCTATAGTCGCGTCGTCGTTGGCCTCCAGCCGGGCACCACCACCCAGGAAAGTTCCACCCACCCCTCCACCGCAGCGCCGGCCAAGGTCGCGTTCAATCTTACGCCTGCAGCACTCGGGCAGGAGTGAACATTCGATCTCCTCCAGCCCCCCGGGCACTATGCGGCATACACTCCGCGATGCGGCCAAGTCCGACGACGAGGAGGCACATACTCAGCGGCACAGGAAGCATCTTGTTCGTAAGCATCCCCACAAGCACCACGAAGGGGATCGAAAACGGTGGCGGAGCGAAATCACGGAAAAGGAGCGGAAACGGTACGAGGGCGTCTGGGCTGCCAACAAGGGGTTATACGTGACCCCGTCCCTATTGGATCAGCAAACAGCACAGCAGGATCAAGCGTCTGACGGATATCCCGCAAACGCGTCAGACATGGTGGTCAACGTCGTGGTTCGCGACATCTGGTCGCGCAGCCGCTTACCGGCCGTCAATTTGGAGCAGATCTGGGATCTCGTCGATCACCAGAAGATAGGCATCTTGAAGCGGGACGAGTTTGTCGTGGGGATGTGGTTGATCGATCAACAACTGAAGGGCCATAAGCTGCCTCCCAAGGTGCCCGACAGCGTTTGGTACAGTGTGAGGCGCGTGCCCGGCGTGACGTTATCGCAGCAAAGCCTCATATAGCGGTGGATCCTGATCTGGTTTTTTCTCCTTTACAGCCCCTACTGCAGTGCGGTATCTATCCATAGTCGAAGTCTATTGAACTCAAAATCATGAGATTTGGAATTCATCAGCAGCGGTACGGAGTATATAGAACATAATGGTCGAACTATGCCCCACCCCTCTCCACCGCTCCTTGCTCAGATGTCCACGGCGACGCGAATGGCTTCAGATTTGCCATGAGGATTATCGCTCACCTTGCCGCCCTACCCCTAAAACTGAAGTGCACCCATTGACCGCCTTTTCTGTCTTCCTTGTGGACCGGGTCCCTTGGAAATGTTGGCAACTGCGATCGGTCTGATGATGCAAGATAATGTATACATTAACTAGATGATGATAGAGATCGCAGTGAGGTGAGCGAATTGAGTGCCCAACGCCCCGAGCAGACTGCCATGTTTCCATAGCCCTGACACCCATGTACACACAATGCAAGGTGCTGGATCAGGTGGGATCAGCATCTGGTCGAACTGTCCGTGGCTGGATCCGGATGAAAAGCCAGTCCACTCACAATGCATCGATTAATTAAATACCGGCCCGCCTTGCCACAGGCCGTTGGTCCAGAATAGGAAGATGGGCTGCGAACGCGATCACCCCAACGTACATGTATGTATGTATGTGCAATGCTGGAAGAGAACAGGTGCAGAATAGTACAGTAATAACTAATAATTAGCTCAACGACAGACAGCCCCCAATGCACATGACCGTTATGTATCATATCGATCACCATCGTAGGGAGGGGCTTTTTTTTCCCCTTAACGTCACACCTGCGTGGCGCTTCTCAAGGCTTGCGGCTATCTGGAGGAGGTGCTGTCTTTCCGTTGGGCCGATCATATGTATGTATTGGCCTTCTGATTGATTGATTGATTGATTGATAGATAGATGGATGAGGCAGGGATAGCCAGCCGGCACAGTTCGGCATTGTTGAATGCACCGTTGCTTTACTGGTCATGTCTTACTTCGATCTGCGTCCCTTCCCCAAGCCTTTCTTAAGCCTTCCTCAAGCCCTAGTCTAGCCCTAGGCAGGCGGACAAGCTAACGGAGCAAATCGTGTAGACCCCTGGTCGAGGACCATGGCAGTATCCGTGCCGATCCGGGAATAGAATAAGAAAAGACCAATGAGGGATTGATCAGCCCTGCATTCCAGGAGACTAGAAACCGAGTGAAAGAATGACCTTCGTGAATGGGGCCTCCCTATTGCTCTGGCGGACGTCGAAAGTACCGCCCAGGACGATGAATACTTATACTAGATTGACTGATCTGATCTCGATCGAAAAAAAAGCCCCACCCTGTTTCTTAGTATAGTTTCAGAGTTCAGACCGAACGACGTCGTCCATGGTTCATGCGGCCATTCCTGTACTTTTGTCGGACGAGCTAAGAGGGGGAACGGCGCATGTCTCGTCTCATCCTTACTTTGTAGGTGAAGCTACATATGTGAGTCTTGCTTACCCCCTTACCCGAAGGATTCTTTTGGTTCTGCTTTTTTTTTTCTTTTCTTTTTTCTTTTTTCTTTTTCTCCTTTTCTTTCTTATTCGCATTCCCCACTCCGAGTGTTCCAGGATTTGGAATTCTGACAAGGCAATCTCTCCGGATCTCGGGTAAATAGCTCTGGCAGATTAAGCCAGTCAGCGACCACACGTCATGTCGAGGTCCGAACTGGTAGAGAACTAGATATTGACTGGGAAGTGGAGTCTGCCGTCGGAATCGAGTACGAAAGTGGACGGGAGAAGCCAAGGGCTGAACTTTAACGAGGAGTGTCACCATGGACTCGTCCGATAGCTGGGAGGGGAACGACGGGCTCACGGCCGGCGCATTCTCGACGGTGGCGCGACGATCACGTGATCGCAACGTGACCGGGTCCGCAAGATCCCGCGCAGCCGAAAAGGGCAGGAGCCAAAGATGCAGGAGGGCAGACGATCCGGAAGGGAAGTAGACAGACTGGAGAGGAGAAACTCCTAGTGCTCTGGTGCTGTGGTGCTGTAGTGCTGTAGTGCCCAAAATCAGGGCTATCCCACTATTATAGATACCGGATATGTAGGCGTATTCCTGTAGGCTGTAGACGTGTAGTTTAGTCGATGTAGAAGTATGCAGTCGATCAAAGGAATCGTGCAACGCTAAGCCGATCTTCCAGCCCCGAGGGGTGACTAATCCGGCGCCACATTCGCGCTTTGCCTGACTGAAGCAAATCCCGGCCGTCCGTCTTTCGGGATTTGCTTTTGATTGACGATGGATGATTAAGCCCGCGCTTCCCTCCCCAGCTTTCTCTATCGCCTCTGTATATCAGACCACTTCCTCGGCATTCTCGTTCTTTTGTTCCCTCATTTCCCGTTAATTGAGGGGAAGAAAGTGAGTGTGAAAGAAGAAGTTCAGAAAAAAAATTGTTTCAAAAAGGTCGAAAAAAAACCAAAAAAAAAGGAGAGAGAGAAAGTGTGAGGATTTCAACGGGCTTGCTTCCTCCCCCCGATTTTCCTGGCAATACAACAGGAAGAGAGAGAGACACAGAGAGAGAGAGAGAGTGAGTGAGAGAGAACTCCTCCGTCTCCGTCTTGTACGTTCTTGCGCTCTGTAGTAATGCGCCATTGGAGCGTCTAACTCGGTGGAGGAAGCCGACGGTAGCACGCTCGTTCTTGTTCGCAGATTGCATGACCGACAAAAGTAGCCCAAGACAACTTTCGCCATGGTGCTGGGCACTTTCTCAAGTTCCTATGACAGTGGAGTCACCACGACAGTTACACAGCCCAAGATGGCCAGGACGACTGTCGTGCGCAAGAAGTTTGCCAAACCGCCCGTCAAGGTAGCCTGTCTGTCCTGGTAAGTCTTTTTCGTATCTATTGATCGCACTTTGCGACCCTCTCTTTTTCTACTCGGCGAAGCTGACGGTGATGGCATTCATACAGTCGAGCGTCACGGACACGCTGTGACGGACAAGATCCATGCTCAAACGTAGGTCGTTCTTTCTTTTTTCTGTCTACTCCCTGGCCTTTAAACACTACACTTCCCTGCTGGCCGTGTCTGTCAATGGTCTGTGCCATGCACTATCATATTCCCCATTGGCTTCTCCCTCACTTACGCTCTCTCCCTTCGAACCCCTTTAAGAACTATATGCTGAGGAATTTACCTCCTATGTGTGAAGTGTCTTGGCAAGAAGAAAAAATGTTCTTACTTGCCCAGCAAGCGCGGTGGTCCGAGGAAGAAGAAAAGGCCGTCCATTCCTACAGACGTACTCGTTCAACAGGATGACACGTCGGACTCGACTATTCCACCCTCTTCGACCGGCTTTGACGATTGTACGTGAACGATCAACATGTCCAATACAGCTTCCATGTCGCTAACCTGAGATACTAGCCCCGGGAATGTTTGGTCAAATCGATGTGCTTTCCATTCCAGGTGCGGGCCTGAGAAGTTTGGATTTCACTTCCGATGTCCACAACATGTTTGCCGATCTGTTTGTCCCGAACGAAACGCCTAGTTGTCATGCTCAAATGGAGCCGACACCTTCGCCATCTAGTGTCTCGTCACCATCCTTGGTCAGGGCTTACGCCCATGAACACGATATGTGAGTTCTTCAATGGATTTGCCCTTCGTTTTGTCTAATACTTGATCAGACTCAACGCCTACTATTTCTTCATCCATCCCTATTTCCCTATCCTTCCCCCAAGAGTGTTGTCTCCATCCCCCGACAGCCCAATGGAAGGGGCTGGATCATATTCTGATTCTCCATCCGAAGAACCTGTCTTGATATACAAGCCACGCTCTCCTCTCAGTCTTGCACTGTCTGCCATACTGGCCCTGGTCCCACATCCGAATGATATGGAGCCGTCGTCTCCGATTTCTGTCATCCGTCGCAGGGCCTACGCCCATACCTTTGCACAATTGGCCAATGCTAGCATTGAGGCGGATTGCGAGCTTCAGGCGTCTTCCACGGACCCCTCTCAGGCCCTGTCGGGAGATCGGCCGACAGTTGACCGCGAGCCTTTCCACCCTCGGACGCCCGTGGAACTTGAAAGCGTCCTCGCTCTCTTGGTTCTTTCCATCTACGAATATACCCAGCGGGGCAATCTTCTAAAAATGCGCTACCGTGCCGGTCAAGCATTGGCAATCGCATTGGATATGTCTCTTCACGCCTTGGGAGAGGAGCATGATGAATTTGCGGAGGCGCGGAGGAGAGCGTGGTGGATGACGGTATGAACGATCGCAGTCAATCTCAGACGCAATGGCTAACCTTGAGATTTCGCAGTATTATTGTGTTTTGCAAGGATCCATTGTTAGCACAACGGTAAGCCGCCTACTTCGCTTCATTCTGAACTAATTCTTTGGCGATTCAGCTGCTAATACAAAAGTTCAACAGCCGCTTTCGATCGTAGCCAATGATCCGCAATTCGTAACACCTTATCCGCGATTCTCTGCGGATCCAGATGTGCGTTTCCCTGCTGTCATCCGACGTGGATTCTAAATTCAGAGATAACATTCTAACAATTCCACAGGGATGGTCCGTCCTAATGCAAGCTCAACAAGTACTTGTCTCGGCGACTCAGTATATCATCGACCTGAACAAATGCATCGCAACCAGGACCAATATGCATTACATCTATGAACGCATGCGACAGCTTGATGCTTGGGCTAGTTCTGCGCTGGCGCAGTCCAATTTGCTCCCCATCGTTCCTCAATCTGTAAACCGTGGCGGTGATATTGAATACTCCATAGCCCAAAGTATTCGTGCAATCTCGCGCATTAAGATATCCAGGTGGGCTTCCTAGACGATCAAGCGGCTCAAGGATTTGGCTAACCTTGGACCAGCGCACAAATCAAAATTCATCGCTTCAGGGCGTTCTCGGACATTCCCATCTTCATCAAGAAACATTGCGATCTTACCGCAGCCAACGCCGGCAACGCGGCCCCAGGAAACCAAACCAAGCAGAGCAAGGCCGCCAGCGGGATCAACACCATCGGGTGCTCATGTGGAGGATTGGAACCACTTCAGCAGCCTCCAAGCGAACTTACGCCCTCATCAATGTCCTCGGCGTCATCGGATTACAACTCGATGTCGCAGTATTCATTCACAAACGGGTTCCCTTACAGCTCTCAACACTCGGCCAAGATATGCCTTCGAGCAGCTCTGCTGATCTCGCACATGTTCCAGAGCTTACCGCTACCACGGCCACTGAGCGAAGGGGGCAAAGGCATGCAATTAATGCCACAAAATGAACTACCGCGAACCATGCCATCGTTTGCTTGCTGCTTGATGCAGGGCAGCTATGCCATGTTGATGATCTTCTACAAAGCACGAGTCGAGAAGCAGATGTCACCGGATTATGACAACAAATCCATGGACAATCCCTCTGATCGACTCATCGAGGAGATCCGCCAGGGTCTAGAACGCATCATTGCGACTGTGTCCAATTACGCGATTGCATTCGAGGCGTTGGACGGCATGAGAGGTGAGTCTCACTTCCCTTGATATTGATTCGACTCCGCTGACATTAGGTCTTTACAGATGAAATCGAAGGTGCATATCACACGGCGTTTCCAGAAGCGTAGAGTTTCTTCACTCTTTCCTCCTATTCTCACTTTCGCTTCTTCTATTCTTCATTTCTCCTTCTTCCTTTTCTTCTTTCCCCTTTTATATAATATGGCTTTTTATATTTCTCTCCTGCCAAGGATTTACATTTATATAGTATCGCTTTCAAATCAGGGTATCGGACAAAGGACAGATATATCGGATCGGATCGGACTGGACTGGACTGGGTTTAACAATGGACAAAGGGAATTCATACCCAAAAGCAAATACAATATACCCTTCTCTCACTCTTTCTGCCTTGCAACTTCCCCCATATTTCGTTGTCTACTGGCTATCGAAACATGTCCAAACAATCTGTTTCACATCTCAATGGCAATCTTTTTAACGACTGAAATGGTCATGATTTTTTTTTTACCCCCTCGCATCCCCTCGTTTCTTTCTTTTCTTTATCTTCTTTCTTTACGGGTTGCGGAAGGAAGGTGTTACTTATCTATCTATCCACTGCGCATTCTTTCTTTGTATCTATGTACAATTATCATGTTGTATTTGGATCTACCCCTGGAGTTTCGGCCGATAGAACAGCACCAATCGATCTATGTATGGGGTTTCGTTTCCTCTCGTTTTCATCGAACGGTTTTTATTGAGTAGGAGATGTATAGTCAGTTCATACAGGGTAGATGGGAATGAGGCGAAAGGAACATTGCAATTCACTTGGGAAAGGAAAAGAAAGAGAGAGAAAAGAAGTTGATTTGTCTATTGACCGTAAATTGTAGCCTGTATTTAGTACAAGTATATTGACATGAAAGCAAAGCAACGAAAAGTGCACACGTGACCGAGTGAAAAGGAAGTAAATTATATCTAAAGCTTCGATCGTATTCCTTCCAAGCGGAACTTGACGTCTTTCAAGACCTTGCTGGTGGGTTTCCACTCGTCGAACTGTCGGAGGAGCTGCATAGTCTCGTCGTAGAGTTCGCGGCGCACAAACTCTTCTTCGAGGAGTCCGCGCATGGCGAAGGGGAGGATGTACGGGTTTACTTGGGATGAGGGGAGGCTGCGTCGGATATCTAGGGTTGCACCTTGGACGTTGGATGTTTCGAGGGCGAATTCGATGGCCAATCTGGTTTGATGTTAGAGAAAGGAAATTGGTGCACGAAGGGGATGCTTTAGTTTAATATGAGTTGACTTACCGATAGACGGCCTCGTCGTCGTAGAGTCGAGAATGACCCTCGCCGCTATATAAACTGCCGGCGAGTGGAGAGCTCAATTCGCGGATGAGACCGTGGTCTGGGAGGCCCAGGTTCCGGAGTTTCAGAGCAAATCCAACCAGATGCGAAACGCTGTTGAGACTCGTTAGACGGTGGCTGGATTCGAGGTGGTATGATGACTTACAAACTTGGTGCATGGACTCGACCGTCGACGAACACTGCCCGATAGATATACGGATGAGTTACGGGTGAGAACAAGGACGACTAGAAAGGGAATAATCAGCCCATATATTCCTAATTCCAATAACAAATCAGGTCTTACCTCAAGAGAGACCAGCTGGTCGTCGATGCTGCCGATGTAAGATATCCGGACACCAAAATTTAGGCAAGCCTTGAGGGCCGCTTCATATTCCTTAGAAACGTCGCTGTAAGGTAACGCAAAGTCGAACAGTTCTCCCGCAGATCCACTAATCCATCGCGATCGATATTCGGAGAAAGGACCCATGTTGACGCCGGCCATGGCACAGATGCTCACCCGAGCAGCATTGATACATCCGAAAGAGATCAACTTGGCCACCAGCATAATTGTCACGGGTACCCCTTGACTGTGGCAGGCAAACATGATAAAATCAGCGTTCCTGATTTCTTCCATCCAATTCAGTAGCAGCTTCCAGAGGAGATCCACCCGTTCAAAGATGCGGCCTTCGCCTTCCAAGGCTACCTTTTCAATGCTACATGTGTATCCGTGATCGTCGACCCATTTCTGGATAGCGTCTGCTGCCATGTTCGAAAACCTGACCGACGTCCCTGTTGGCTGACCAAGAACACTCCGAATCAACGGCATAGGAAAATACCCATGTATCCCGACAGCCAGAGCTCTCTTGATATGTGGTGTATCCCGGGTCATGTAAACATGTTTATTGTTCGATTCCCTGCTGTAACTTAGGAAACGTCCGATCGACTGGAGGAGGCTTGGCCTTTCCTGCAAAGCGAATGTTTCTTTAAAGCGTGGCAGAACCTGGTTAGGCAGAATTTTCTGCAGCTGTTTGGACGCAGCAGCCTCCGGGACACTTGGCGTTGAGGCGTTGAGTCTAGGCTCTGGCTCCGGCACGGCTGGTTCAGTTGCCGCAGAACTGCCTTTCGAGGGTTTGATCTTGACCGTCCCTTTCTTTGAAACCTCTATTCTCTGCTCTGCCTCTGATTCAGTGGCATTGGGCTTCGGAATGGGCGGATCTTGCTTTGTAGCTTCCACCGAAACCGCTTCTTGCGGGTTTGTTTGCGTTGAGCCTTGTGAGGTGTCTCGAAACCAAAACGACCACCCGGATGGTTTTATATTTTTAGCGGATGACTCAGTAGAGAGTGCATCTGGTTGTTCCGATTCTCCGGACTTGTCAATTTCTTGGTCCGTCGTAGGTGCTGGATGAGTAACTGAAGGAGCGGTCTCATCACTTGTAGTAGGGTGATCATCTCCGGCAGCTTCAACGGCTTCTACACCCTTGGGTGGTGGAGGCACACCGTACCACATCTGGAACCAGGACCGTTTCTGGGAATTACCTGTGATCTCTGAAGTCTCAGGGACGTTGTCTGGATTTGTTGGCTCTTGTTCGGTGAGCGTGACGTTGTCCTCTTTAGGGGGTGGGCTCTCGGTGGATGGAGTGGCCGATGTCTCGGTCGTTGGATCAGCTGCAGGACCCTGTTCGGTTGTCGCCGGCCTGTAGAACCATGAAAGCCAACCACTGGGCTGCGTATTTTCCGATGGGGGTTGATTTGGCTCTGCAGTATCAGGATCTGTAGTATTATCGCTGGGGACTTCGGCTGCTGTCTTCGATTGCTCTTTGTTGTTGTCCTCTGGCGCGTCTGAATCTTTATCGTTCAATGTCTCTTTGTTTACCGACTCGGAGGTTGAGCCAGCAGCAGGGTCTGCTGGAGAGTCCACCGCTGGCGTGGAGGTAGAACCATCGGAGGCAATGTTAATTTTGGTTGTGGTAGCGTCGGCGGGCAGGGATCGGCTTGACGCGCCCGCCTTCCTCGTGAGTTGAAGAGATGGATTGCGATGTTGTTTGAGGGAATCGAGCTGGGGGGTCGATGAGGATGTGATGTTCGACGCTACGTTCTGCGCGACGGAAATGCTCTCACGGGCAACCTCGGTAACCGGGGCCGCTTTGGATGATCTAGAAACGGCGGGCCAAACACCGGGGTACCAGTTCTATTGAAAACCCCTTATTAGTCATAAACACATGAAGCATCCATCGACAAGTGCCCGGAGGTAATATTCTATCGTTCTCAAGTCCCGGTCTGGTTTACCCAGAGAGATGGGTAGATACCACTTACAACGCCTCCTTGCTTTTGTAGATTGGAGCGTCCGTTGCCCGCGGGAGATAAGGCCCCATCATCGTTCGACATCTGGGAGTCCGCGCCTGACGGGCTGGGTTTTACTCTCTTTCGAGATCCCGTGGGCGCCATGGAAGAAAGGAAGAGAACATTACTTGCGAGCGAGCAAACCAACAGGAAGGCAGAAGGTGGCAGAATAATAAAGTCTAGGAGGGGAGAGATGAGAGCCAAGTCAGCGTCAAAGACGATCGATCGATCAACGTTGATGTCACGTCACATGCCGCCGCCCCCGCTGACCGCCTTTTGCTGCCTGAGGCTTCAAGATGTGGCGGTGCAGGGCGCCAGAAAGGGGAAATTTTTCTTGCGGGCGGTGTGGAGCCGTCGCCGATAACTTTTTTTTTCTGCGCTCGTACCAACCATCACTATAACCACTCCGGATTACTTCTCGTCCATTGATCTGGTTCTGGGGTCAGTCACCCTTTACCATAAGACACAATGGCGATCCAGAAGAAGGTATGCAATCTCGTTCTATATCGAAATTCTTCTGAAAAAGACTCATCGCTGACCCTATATACAGCATGGTAAAGGTCGTTTGGATAAGTGGTACCGCCTTGCCAAAGAGAAAGGATATCGAGCTCGTGCTGCGTTCAAGTTGGTTCAACTGAACAAGAAGTATGGCTTTTTGGAAAAGAGTAAAGTCCTTCTGGATCTTTGCGCTGCGCCCGGTGTAAGTTTATACTCTTTCTCTTTCTTTTGGCCCGGAGGAAATTGTTATGCTAACAGCAGTACTAGTCTTGGTGTCAAGTAGCTGCAGAATGCATGCCTGCGCAGAGTATTATCGTCGGTGTTGATCTCGCCCCCATTAAACCCATCCCTCGAGTGATCAGTTTCCAAAGCGACATCACAACGGAAAAATGTCGCGCTACGATTCGATCGCATCTGAAACACTGGAAGGCGGATACGGTTCTCCATGACGGTGCGCCCAACGTCGGTACGGCCTGGGTTCAAGATGCGTTCTCTCAGGCGGAGCTGGTGTTGCAATCTATGAAACTGGCTACCGAGTTCTTGGCTGAGGGCGGTACTTTCGTCACCAAGGTCTTCCGATCGAAAGACTACAACCCTCTTCTGTGGGTTTTCAAGCAGTTGTTCACCTCCGTAGAGGCCACGAAACCCCCTTCTTCCCGAAACGTCTCTGCCGAAATTTTTGTCGTCTGCCGCGGCTTCAAGGCTCCAAAGCGTCTCGATCCGAAGTTCCTCGACCCCAAGCATGTGTTCGCCGAATTGGCCGATCCCACTCCCAATAACGAGGCGAAGGTGTTCAACCCCGAAAAGAAGAAGCGTAAGAGAGAGGGTTACGAGGAGGGCGACTACACCCAGTACAAGGAAATTCCAGTCACCGACTTCATCAACACCACGGATCCGATCGCTATCTTGGGAACATGCAATAAACTCAGTTTCTCAGAACCGCCTGGCGGGGATATTGGCCTGGCTACAATCAACCGACTTGAAGAAACAACGGAAGAAATCAAGGTCTGCTGCGAGGATCTAAAGGTGCTGGGTAAGAAGGAATTCCGCAACCTGCTCCGATGGCGTCTAAAGGTTCGCGAGAAGTTCGGTCTCATTGTGAGGAAGGGTCAGCATAAGAAAGAAGAGCCTCAGGAAGAAGTGGCTGAAATTGCCCCAATGGACGATGAACTGGCGATCCAAGAAGATTTGCAACGACTTCGCGACAAGGAGAGTGCAAGGACCAAGAAGGAGCGAAGGAAGGAAAACGAAAAGAAGCGCAAGGAGATTCTCCGCATGCAGATGCATATGACGACTCCTATGGATATCGGTATGGAGCAGCTGGGTCCCCTTGGTGAGGATGCCACCTTTTCGCTGAGGCGCGCCCAGAGAGGAGGGGTCACGGACGAACTTACCTCCGGCAAAGAGGCGTCGGTGGAGAGTGATAGCGAAGACTCTGAATCCGAGCCCGAAGATGACGACAGCGACGAGGAAGGTGATCTATTAGAGAGGGAGCTCGACTCTATGTACGAGCAATACCAAGAGCGCAAGGAGGATGGAGATTCGAAACTGAAAGCCAAGAAGGCCCGCAAGCAGTACGAGGCCGACGAGTGGGAGGGAATTTCGGATTCGGACAAGGAGGGAGATTCGGATGAGGAATCTGACTCCGGGGCGCCTACTACAAACGGAGAGTCTTCGAAGGGTGGAGCCCTCTCCAACAACGCCGCCATGTTCTTCGACCAAGACATCTTCCAAGGACTGGAGGATGTTGAGGACGAAGACGAAGACGAGGATGAGGATGAGGACGCGCAAGCCGTTGTTGAATTGCAGAAGCAAAACACCAAACAAAAGAGCAACGACACTGTCTCGGAGAAAAAGACCGCCAAGGACAAGAAGACGAAGGCGAAAAAGACGGATGATTTCTCGGATGATGACGATGAGGACGATGAGCCCGCGGACCTGGGAGAGGACCCAAGGAAGCAGAATGGTCAGCTCGGTAGGCATTCAACCGCATTCCATTCATGATCTCTTGTCACTAACATTCTATGCGCAGACATCGATATCATCACCGCGGAAGCTATGTCATTGGCTCATCAGATGGCCACCGGCGAGAAGAAGTCCCAGGACGTGATCGACGATGGTTATAACCGGCTTGCGTTCCGGGACGTTGACGGTCTTCCCGACTGGTTCCTCGACGACGAGACCAAGCACAGCCAAGCGAACAAGCCCATCAGCAAGGCAGCGGCTGCCGCCATCAAGGAGAAACTGCGTGCTATCAATGCCCGACCGATCAAGAAGGTGATGGAGGCCAAGGGTCGCAAGAAGTTCAAGGCTGCACAGAGGCTAGAGAAGCTGCGGAAGAAGTCCGCACTGATTGCCGAGGACGAAGGACTCAGCGAGCGAGACAAGTCGCAGACCATCTCCAGGCTGATGAGCCGGGCCACCAAGAAGAAGCCCAAGCAGCAAGTGAAGCTGGTTGTTGCCAAGGGAAACAACAGGGGTATCTCTGGTCGTCCCAAGGGAGTCAAGGGCAAGTACAAGATTGTGGATTCTCGTATGAAGAAGGATATTCGGGCGCAGAAGCGACTTGCGGCGAAGAAGAAATAAAGGGGGGATTGGACCAAGCCTTGTTGATCACCGACGGACGGATGGATGGATGTATGTATAGGCTCTCAACAGTTGATACCCACACGGAGGGTGCATTCTCCACGGTGTTTTATAAATTTCTATATATATATGGCCAGTCTGTTAGGATGTGTTCTCTGTAGTTCCTAAATGTAAAGCATGCGCCACAACGGAGGGGCGCCAAGCCACACGGCTCACTCGATCGTCGACGGCGCCTGCATTTCATTGGCCGACTCGGACTCTCTTGTCCGCCGGTCTTTTTCAGCTTCCCTCGTTCGCTTCGTATTTCTTCCTTCTCCTTCGCTTCTCCCGTACATTCATTACTTTTGCGACCTGCGCCGTTAGGTCTTCGTGCCTTCGTGCGTTTGTTTTATACTTATTGCCTTTTAGTACATATTTCGCATCGAGTCTTTTTAGCCTGCCCGCCTTGTTCATAGATTTTGCCACGCGTCTCCGTATCGGTCACTATACTTCCCCCCCGCCGCCGCCGCCAGATTGCGCTGCCCTGACCCTCCTCCATGGGATTTTTCGACCACCTCCAGAAGGGAGGAGCGTTCTCGTTACAACCGAAGAAACCTCAGATTCGCAAAGTCGTTCAAACGCGCCCTGCCCCTCCGTCGAGATCCACCTCCCTCACTCCCGCCAGTTCGTCGCGAATCTCACCGGTCGAGAAATCGAGAAAAGCACGCACTTCCGAGAGCAGGTCAGTATCGAGGGACCCCGATCTTGCCTCGAAACGACGGGTTGGGACTCCCCGACAAATCCGCAAGCGACCAACGCCAGAGCAACGACTGTCCAGCGATGAGGATGAGAGCGACACCGACGCCTCTTTCGAGGTGCGCAAACGTGCCCGTACAGGTGACAGCGCGGAGCCAGACTTCGAGAGGCGAGTGCGCTCGTTAAAAGCATTTTCTGAGGATCATGTGAAGTCGCTGCCTATGGTCCACGCGGCGGACATCACCTCGATCCAGAAGGCGGGGAATTTTAAGCCGGCTTTTGGCGAGAAAGTCCAGTCTACGGAGATTTCACTACAATATCCTAGTGCATCTCCTAAAGAAAGGTAAGAGACCGTAGTAGCTGGCAGGTATCATACAGCTCCCTGGGCTTTGCTGACGAGCTTCTCCTTTTCCTAGATACAACCTCGTGGTACCTCGCGACAACGATGACTTCAAGCCCATCGACGATATATTCTCGGTTGTCGATATCGTGTCCCAGACCCATATTCCCGAAGATGAAGCGGACGAGTTCAACAACGAGTCGACCGGAATCAAACGGAGGTTGCGGCGAGCGTTGGCACAGGGTTCAGAGAAAGATTTTCGCCAAGTCGTGACGGATTATAACCACGCGATAGAACGGTTGAGGCGCAGTGGCAGCATCGCGAAGAAGTTGGATTCGACGCATCGGTTGAATTTACCTCTTGTGGAGCGCATTCTCACTCAAATCTATTCGCGCACTGTTTCGCCCCGAGTCGAGTCCCTGCGTCAGTACGAGAATGGAACCGACAACGTCTACGGCGAACTGCTCCCCCGATTTATTAGCACGATTTTCAAGGAGACCGGCCTAAAATCGGGTCAGGTCTTTGTCGACCTAGGATCAGGCGTCGGCAACGTCGTCCTACAGGCGGCCTTGGAAATTGGCTGCGAAAGCTGGGGTTGCGAGATGATGCAGAATGCGTGCGACCTCGCCAATCTTCAGCAGTCCGAGTTCAAGGCTCGGTGCAGGCTTTGGGGAATTGCCCCCGGGAAAACGCACCTGGTATCCGGCGACTTCCTGCGAGAGCAGAGTATTATTGACGTCCTCAAGCGTGCGGACGTGATCTTGATTAACAACCAAGCATTTACCCCACAACTCAATAACGAATTGATCAACCACTTTTTGGATATGAAAGAGGGATGCCAGATCGTGTCGCTCAAGTCATTCGTCCCGGCCGGTCATAAGATCCAATCCCGGAATTTGAACTCCCCCATCAACCTCCTGAAAGTCAAGCAAAGGAACTATTGGTCCAACAGTGTAAGCTGGACGGATGTTGGTGGAACCTATTTCATCGCCACCAAAGATAGCTCCAGACTGAAGGCCTTTGTGGAAGATATGGGGTGATGCTCTCGACCACCCTTCCACTCTTCAAGAGCTCTGAAGCTCTTTTTACTCCATGTCAGACCGGGTTTTGATAATCCAGGTCTTTTCTGTACTTACTAGATGATCGTTTCTTCCTTTCTTTGACATTTCTTCCTGAAATACCACTTTGTTTAGAGAGTGTGGTTATTTCTTGTACAAACATGTGGGCATCACTACTAGGTATATAGCAAGCATAGTTGTTTAGCTCTTCCTTGATACAGGTTCTTCTTTGCATGTAGAAGATCCGTAGGGACCGTTTGCACTGTAACGGTCAAAGATGATGATTAAAAGGATGCTTTCTTGATCAATCCCAAATTGATCAATTGATCGATGTAGGAAGAAGCGAGGTCTTCCGCGCCTAACAAAGGTGCCCAAGGAGGAGCAAACGGCGAAATGCTTGGCAGATTGCCTCAGGCGTATTACCCACTCCTTTTCTGGGTTGCCATTTTAGCTTTCGCGCATTTCATTGCTAAGACGGTGATAACTGGGTTGTCATTCAGACTCGATGTGAATAAATCATGGGTATCATACATATTGTGCATAGAGATAATGAGAATAGATCAATGAATCTCATCAAGGGAAAGGAAGAAGATGTAAGAAAAATCTCACTCGAATGGAAGAAACCTGAGATCTAGGCTGACCCAGCAGATTATCAAGACCGTTAAGGTGGGTCAGTTTCATGAGAATCTGGAAGCATCATTCATAGCTTCTGCGTCCTTGTGCATCCGAGCCATCCAACGATCCACGAGGTGTTGGTTCTCCTCTTTCAGCTTGTCGGATCGCTCTTCGGCCATGTTCAACTGCAGGGTTAGGGATGCTAGTTCATCTTGGAAGTCCTGGAGAGATAACCCAAATTAGCGGTGCGCAAGGATGATCAAACACGGCAAGCGATGGCACCATACGTCTAGCAACTTCGCTTTGCCTCTAAGCTCCTCATCACGGTCCTTCAGGCGCAGCTGGAGGTGCGCGACCTTGTTCTCTAAACTTCCAATCCGTCGCGTATTCTGAGTGCTCTTCTTCCGCAGTTTCTCTAGCTCGACGGTTGTGCGGGTCAGCTGGTCTTGAAGCTCCGAGCGGGATCGTTGCGCCTCTGACAGCTCGGCTCGAGTCGTGGTCAGGATTTCTTGGAGGGAGTTTTCGGGGGACCTTGATGCGCGTTTTCTGGGATCTAGCGCAGGCGAGGAAGGTTGAGAGCCCTGGGCCCCGGGCGTGCCAGATACTGGGGCATTGTTCCCGGCGGTTGCGGTTTGGGCGGTCCGATCAGCAAGTTGGGTATCTAGCACGATAGCATTAGAAACTGATATGAGAAAGTCCACCAGCGGCTGAATCGAAATTCAAGACTTTCTCCAACACGCACATGCATTGTATAAAGCGAGTTTGGCTTTCTCTCGGTGGTCGCGAGCCGCCAAAGCGGCCAAGTACTCCTCTCTCCAGTGGGCCATTTGATAGTATAGTCGCGATAAGACGGAGCTTGTTAACCGGACAGCCTTTATCTCGCTATCCGGACAGCCCTCGGCCTTTTCAGGAAAGCGGTGTCCCCCGGACAGAGGCTAAGCTACCTTGAGAAAGCGGTCTTTAGGAAGCGCTACAGCAACCACGGAATGCTGCATTGATCAATTGTACGGACTAGTTTATCGATCAATTCGGTAAGTAACCTAGTAGGGTAAGCAGGCGGTAGGTAGATAGCCTAGGCCCGAATAGGAAATAGGGCCTGATCAATTCTATGCCATTTTCAAGCGATTCAGTGAGGCAGGTGGACAGGCAGGTAAGGGGCGTTTCCCGGGGCGGATCGGAAGGTCTTTTTTCCCGGTGCTTACTCACCCCTGCCGGCAGAATCAGGCTGTCCGGATAGGGAGATAAGGGCTGTCAAGCTCCCGATAAGACAAGGCGAGCGGTGGGAGCAAGCAGGACTCCGGAGCACCAACCATAGATGGAGAGAGGGCCAGAGCACAAAAAAGATCGACGAGAGCAAACACCGGAGACCGTATGAGACCCTCTTAGCGCTGGCAAACACGTAGGGACGAATAAGTGGCAGCGATGTTGATTATCTGGAATCGCCATCATTCACCGCCCGACCCACCGCCTGCATCATCGAAAGGCAGCGGACTCCCGTTAGCTTCCTGCTAGTTGAATGATCTAAACCTCTCCTACTTCATACCGCAAGACGTGATCCTCCACTGGTCTCATCTCACTCCACCTCGGCCCATACAAACTCTTCTGTTGCTATTCCGCTTACTCTGGAATAATTTCTGGTACTCGACTCAGCCACAGTCATGTCGGCACGGAAGAAGGTTTTATTGAAGGTAGGAATTGGCGATCTTGGATCCCGACCAATTTACCCGACGCATCTGCCCTCCCCTCTGGCCTGTATGTATGTCCAGTTTTGCTAACTCCCATCTCTGGCGCTTTAGGTGATTATCCTCGGTGACAGCGGCGTCGGAAAAACAAGTTTGATGAACCAATATGTGCGTAAACAAAGCAGTCAATCCTCGCAGTCCACGCTATCTCAACTAATACGTTCGGGCGGAACTAGGTCAACAAGAAATTCAGTGGAAGCTACAAGGCGACGATCGGAGCCGATTTCCTGACCAAGGAGGTCCTAGTAGATGATCGACTGGTTACGATGCAGGCATGTGTTCCCTCGCGCCGAACACCTTTGGGATACAACGAGAGCAGAGAACTAACCTTGTGACGGGTAGATCTGGGATACTGCGGGCCAAGAACGATTTCAGTCATTGGGAGTTGCATTCTATCGCGGAGCCGACTGCTGTGTCCTGGTTTATGATGTCAACAACTCCAAGAGTTTCGAGGCTCTCGACAGCTGGCGGGACGAGTTTCTCATTCAGGCGAGCCCTCGGGATCCTGAGAACTTTCCATTCGTAAGGCCCGCCCATTCTATGTTTTTTTGCGATCGGAAATTTTCTTTTCTGACGGTCGCATAGGTGGTGATTGGCAACAAGATCGATGTCGAAGAGAACAAGCGCATGATATCGTCGAAGCGCGCAATGACGTTTTGCCAATCCAAGGGCAACATCCCTTATTTCGAAACGAGTGCCAAGGAGGCCGTCAACGTGGAACAGGCATTTGAAGGTAGGCTTCTGGTTTCCACTTGACATGTCTGGGACGTTTTACTCATCTAACTCCAGTCATCGCTCGGAGTGCTCTCGCGCAGGAAGAAGCGGAGGAATTCAGCGGTGAATTCAGCGATCCGATCAATATCCATCTCGACGGTGATCGGGATGGATGCGCCTGTTGATACCCCGGTGACGCTCGTGACTTCTATTAAATGATTCATATTTCATGATAAGATCTGCCTGCTGTTCTGTTTGTTTGTAGAGAAGTTCCTCCCCCCGATACTGATCTGAGGTGCCTAAAGAAGGCCTCTCAGGGCCCGTCAGTGCTCTTCATATATAATCTTGGGGGTTTTTTCTGCGCATCCGCGTCTCTGTTTGTGTTTCTGTGTTGAGCTGTACGGGGATATTTGTTTACAGGTTCATGTTTTATTGTCCGATGATCCTTTTTTTTTGCTTTTCATAGTTTGCTTCCAACGTTAGCGTATTCATTCATTAGTATACTATCTAGGAGTCTGGAATAACCAATGCTTCAATTCTGTTTTCCCAGCGAAATCACTACGTTGTATCCAGTTCAGGGATCAAGCCTCGTTCCAAACAGATCAAGCAAATTGAATTAAGGATCATCAGCATGACCGACACCTCGTGCGGATCGAGCCATCTCGTGCTGCTTGGCGGTGTGGAGGAGGTGACCCTGCCTCTTATCGCCGATAACCACTTACCTGCCTACTAGTCGCCTCCGCGCCCTCCGCGCCCTCCGCGCTCCCATCCCTTGCATCCTGCGTGACCCTCCAGCATCACCTTGATCCGCTGGCCCCTTCGGAGTCTGCCGGCGTCCACTCCTCCTGTGCCCCATGATCGGTTATCAATCTCCACGAGCCACCTCGGGATCGTACGCTGCTCGTCTTTCTCGGTGAGCGGAGGCGGTAGAAACCTTCCCCGCTGCATCTCCGCCATTTCTATTCATCTAACAATCTCCGTCGCCTCGCTCTTATCGCATAAACTTGCCTCGAATATATTCCCATTGATGGACAGGAGCGCTGCCTCATGGATTCCGTTCCCAAACGCAGCGGCCCGGGGCTGAACGGTGTCGCAAGACGATCCCTCGGCATCGGTCTACTGCTGATAGTAGTGTTTCTGTGGACAGCGTCGAATTTCCTGGCTAGTGTATGTGTCTTGCCTTCTCGCTCCGGCCTCCAGCATGAAGACGGAAGAGGATGTCTTCTTTGCCACGTTGTGCGATGTTTTCGGTGTGACGGACTGACGTATCACTCTTGTGTCGCAGACTATCTTTGCCGACGATACATATTCCAAGCCGTTCTTTGTGACGTACATTAACACCTCGTTGTTTATTCTGCCACTCTTTACGATTATCTTCGGCCGCGTCTGGCGATTATGGCGCACGGGCAAGATATCCCGGATTCGCTCGTTCCGGAGTCTACTGCGACATCTAGACTCGCACGACCCCGAAGCCGAAACGCAGAGCATCCTTCATCATGATGCGCATCGAGACAGTGAAGACGCGCCCGACGATCCTGAGGCGTGGAATGCCGCCCGGCTGGCGCCGGAGGGGAAGTACCAAGAAGCCTCCAAGCTGGGCTTGAGGGCGACGGCGAAGCTGAGCTTCGAGTTCTGCATGCTATGGGTAAGAAGTGCGCTGTATGGCTTATCGGAGATACACATCCGCTAACATTGTCCCAGTTTCTTGTAAGTTGTCTCTGAGGCTGGAAACATCCCAAAGCGAGTTCCCGTCATCGTTCGACTAATCCCGACATTGTGTAACCAGGCCAATTATTTCGCCATGGCCTGTCTACAGTATACGACCGTAGGAAGTACTACCATTCTAACCTCAACGAGCGGTATGTGCCACATAAGATGAAACTGAAATGAAACTGAGATGAATTGAATGGCAAATGAATGGCACCTAACGCATAATCACAGGCGTATGGACCCTCATCTTCGGAGCCGTCATCGGAGTCGAGAAATTTACCGTCCGCAAACTCCTCGGCGTGGTCGCTTCATTGGTCGGCATCATGCTGATATCCCGTGTCGACTTATCTTCGTCTCCAGAGGTCCCACCAGCCGACAACAATGGCGGCAGCACGTTTCCCTCCAAGACCCCAGCCGAGATTGCCCTAGGCGACGCCATGGCGGGCTTCAGCGCCGTCATGTACGGCGTGTACACCATTGTCCTGAAGAAGCAGGTGGGCGACGAATCGCGCGTCAACATGCAGCTCTTCTTCGGGCTTGTCGGCCTCTTCAACATGTTCCTGCTGTGGCCGGGCTTCATCATCCTCCATTTCACTGGGATCGAGACCTTCGCGATGCCCGACACCGGCCGAGTATGGACTATCATCTGGGTATACATTTCTTCCCTCCACCTCTCTCTAAGACCTCCTCTCTTCACTCCTGTTCATGCCTTAATAACACTCGAATAAACAGACAAACTCCTTCGCCTCCCTCGCCTCAGACATCTGCTGGGCCTACGCCATGCTCCTAACCACGCCCCTCGTCGTCACCGTCGGTCTCAGCCTCACCATCCCGCTCTCCCTAGTTGGCCAGATCATCCTCCAAGGCCAGTACGCCAGCGGCCTATACTGGGTCGGCGCCACCATCGTCTTCCTCTCCTTTTTGATCGTGAACCACGAAAGCCAGGAGTCAGTTGCAGCGCAGTCGGAGGAGTCGTCTAGAGTGACTTATGATGCTCTTCCTGGTGATGAGGGACAATGAGGAGAGACACACTAAGAAAAAAAGATAGGGATCATGCTATATCTATATAGATAACAGGAAGAAAAAGAGAAAAGAAACAGGAGGTCGGTTGTGTGTTTATTTTGGTCCTGTGCTTGCAATAACCTGTCTCTCTCCACCTCCTACCTATTCATAAACCTACACCGTATGTATGTTTCTTACCATCGTTAGTAACTAGCTAGCATTTGGTTAGTTCATATATATTCACTCATTGTTATATGAGGGGAATGAAAGAATATGGAAGGTTTTCACGTGTTTCTCTAAACTCTACCACTGGCACTTATTGCACACTACCAATTAGATAGAAGATGTCTGCACGTCAACCCTGCTTCACAACAAACATTATAGAGTAGAAGAGTACAATACATAAATGCGTAGTAGATTACATGTTAGAAATAAGTATACACGTGGACCCTCAAAAAAAAAACAAAAGGGTAAAAATCCATACACATAATACAGAAAGGGGACAAGAGCCCTATAAAGAAGACATGCTCATATCAAAACGAATGGTCCGATCTGACCATGCCTGGAAAAACAGTTGCAAAATATTTGAGAATAGAATTAAACACTAGGGAATCCAATATCATCAACGTTAAGTCGCTAACATGGGACAAGAAAGAAAGAGAGAAAGAGACGAAGTAGTGTTAAGACTTAGGCTCGAATAAGAGACATGAAAGGAAGGGAAAAGGTTGAAATCAATATCATCAAGAATGGTGGGGTATGTATGTATGTATGTATATCATAAGCCAGAAGAGAATACTGGTCACAGAATGGGAAAGGAAAAGGATAGAGGTAGCTAGGTGGCTAGGTAAGCGAACGATTGGACGATAGACGATCGAGATTCCAAGAGAAAAAAAAAGAAAAGGAAGCATCTCGAAAGGATGTTTATAGCAGGAAGTATAGTAAAAGAAAGAGAGGTTAAGAGAATGGGCAAGAAAGTCCGTTGCTTCGGAACTCTTGTAATTGAACGGGTTGGAGGTACAGGGCGCTTATTACGCAGGGACACCGACAGCACCGGCAGGTGGCACGGGGTCTCGCTTCTTACGAGCCACAAGGATACTCTTGAGACAGCCGAGCCACTTGGTGAGCGATTCCTCGTCGGGGGCGCATAGACGGAAGGGCTTCTCTTCTGCGATGATCTGGAGGCAGTAATGTTTGGAGCGAGACAAGGGATCGATCTCGGCCGCATCAATCACCTGAGACATCGGGAGGATCTTCACGGCAGAATATTCCTAGAAACAACGAATGTCAGTCATTTTCATCATTCGGCAAGTGGATGGGGTCGCACATACCTGCTCATCCTTGTAGAAGCCAAGACTTTTCGGACGGAGGACCACCCAGAGCCGTTTCCATTGCCGCATAGTGCCCTTGATCCGAAGGCACTGAAGGTAGCCATTGCAAATGACCCTCTCCGGGTCGCGCAGAATCCCCGATTCGCTGTGTCGGCCGGTGTCTGGCGACAAGGGCGACTGGCCGGCAGGGGCAGAGACGGACAGGGTCTGAACCGGAGTTCGCGGTCTGGGGTTGATGCTAGAATTGCTCGTGGGTCCGTCGGACCACTCGGAGTACGACGTGATGTCGTTTCCGGGATAATCGAGCTGGTTGTCAAGGCGCTTGGATCGGTAACTCGACGAAAGCGCCCGTCCCAATTCGGGAGAACTCGCCCTGCCTATCATATCAAGGTCAGAATGATCGGTCGTGTCGTCAACGCGCGGACGATTCACCGCCACGGCGTTTCCTGGCTGCGACAGTGCCAAAAAAGCCTCATCTTCTTCGTCTGCGCGTGTTTCAGCGCGGATGCGCTGGATCCAAACGTCGGCCTCCTTGTCGGACGAGACCTGGAAGCGATAGTTCTTTGAGGGGGAGAAGACGCCGAAGACGTGCTGTCGGTTGGAACGGGGAGATCGGACGGGTGCGACCGCCGTCACCTCGGATAGGGTGATAGAGGCTCGGAGCCGAGTCGCTTCTTCGTCTTTGTATACGGACAGGAGGTTCGGTCGGAGAACGAGGTAGGCGGGTTTCCAGGATGCTCTAAAGGCCTAGAAGAAAGGGTTAGTCCAGGAAAGGCGCATTCACCAGGGAACCGGTGTGAACTCACATGCTTGTGCTTGACCCGGCGATTCACTCGCCCCGTCTTCAGCACTCGATCAAACTCGAAGCTCCCATTTTCGTTGACGGGCGAAAAAGTGTCAAGGTTCACATGGCCACTGCGATAGGTCGCAGGTGGAGCAGGGCGTGGGTGGGCGCTTTGTTGGACAGTGCCGTCGGGAAGTTGAATTGCCGGAGCTTTGGCGATCTCCGACATTGACGGGCACGAGGACGACAACGGCTGGGCCATCATGTCGCGTAGCTTCTATCGGGTGATAATCAAACCCAGAATCGTAGAAAATAAATGAGAGGCGCGGACTCAAGGCGAGAAGGACCTGCGCGATGCAGAAAATGGGCGTTTAAAGACTCCTGACCGCACCGCGCAAACACACATCGGGAAAGCTGTAGATAGCCGGGCGAGGGGAAGGAAGGACGAAGAATGTCGGAGGAGCAACGAAATAGAAGGCCCCCAGCAGAGGGACCGGGATGAGAAGGCAGAAATATTCAGATAGAACGTCGATATTGGAGTCCGAGTATGGAAGAGACGAAGATGACGAAGTAAGAAAGGTGCCAAGGAGAGATGAACGAGGTATGACGGCGAGGCTCTGGAGGGAGAAAAAAGAATTGGGGAACGAAGACTGAAAAAGGCCGAGAACGTGATGAAGAATGGAAAATGATCCACCGTCCTGTTTTATATTAATCTTTTTTTTTTCTCTGGCAATACCACGAAGCACTTCTCCTGTCACGGCAACATGTCGCCTGATGCGAGATTCGGGATGATTTCACGACTGCAGAGAAGCTTTGGAAGTCGATGGGATGAAAAGAAGACTGGTTTAGGGGGGTGATCGATGCTCCCCCCCTCTTTTTCACTTTCTTTCTCTCTGTCTCTTTCTCCCTCTCTCTCTCTCTCTCCTCGAATCCCCTTCGTGGAATCTCGTTATTTCCCTCGGCGCATGGACGTTGTTTCAAGGAGATCGTTCATCCCTTTTTATTTTAGTCTGGTTTTCTGTCCTCCGAGAGTGAAGATCCCTTCCACGCCTCTACTAGTTACAATTACTCTCGACCTTGTCCCAACTCCACGTGGTCTCCTTCGGTGGGATTCTAAACCGGAATTCAAGGAGCAGTGCGCAGTAGAATGTCTTGGTCCCTTGAATCTGAAATCTCTTCCTCCTGGAGACGTTGGACCCGATCGAAAAGGCTTGATCAAGGGTCTCGTCGTTCTTCTTCACGGCCGAGTCAACGTCTCCACCAAGCTAAAGATGCTAAGAATACTAAACGGTGCTAAACGATGCTAAGAAGGACAATTGCTCTGGACCATCCCCGAAAGTGGAAATTTTCAGCACTGACTGCTCCCTTTCTAGAAATGGGGGCAACGTGCATTATCGTCTCCTATTTCGAAGTTCGATGGAATAGGAATCTCAAGTTCTCAACCCCTTATGTAATGGACTGCATGTTTCTCCTCCGTACGTCGAGTCAAGGTCTCAAGTGCCAGCACTCCCAGGTGTGATGCACTGTAGTAACTACCCTCCGCCCGACGGCAGACTCGAATGGTGATGATTCAAGGTAGGGATACCTTCACCAACTGTCCATGTCTAAGGCCCCTTGTATGCATGTTTCGTGTACCTACATGCTGGACTCTTGGAAGCCGACTATGACTGTGACAGCATAACATGAATAATTCCAGTCCTCCAATCGTAGACCGGAACCAAGTGGATGCTGCATGAGAGCTTTCGTAATGCAGCAGCAGATGAATCTTGGTATCTCGGAGTAACGCAGATAAATCGATCAAGTAGATCCGGCGTGACTGAGACAGTCGCAGTCGCAGTCCATGGGACTTGTGCAGGCTACTGTTGGATAAGAATAGTAATGATGTTTGATTTTCTCTGCCCTACAAAAGGCCACCTTGACAGATCCGCCAGGGTCACGTGTGGGGGATCCCAGGGGTCTGGACAGCTCGTAAGGAATTACTGCCGGGTCCCTGGTATTATTCATTAGGTAAAGGAGTCCGTACTATTTTCGAAGAAAAGTTTTGGTGGGTGTCCATTATTTATATCCAGTGTAATCAGCAGTGATGCTCCTCGATCATCGTGGATGCACATCATCTTTGATCCTGCTCGAGCCATGAATACAGGACGGAGTAAGCCCTCTGTATGTGACCTTATCATGGTCAAAGGTCCCTTTTCAATAATGCGGTTAATCAAACCGATAGTGGTTGGAGCCAATAATAACATTAATAATAGTTATCCTTTGCTATTGGAAAAGCCACCCAAACAAGGCTACGGTGGTTGGACTGGCGTGGATTCATTCGTATCCTGGTAAATCCTGGTAACCAATTTACAATTTACCAGAGGGCGACTCAAGTCACTCAACGGTTGACATTAATCCTCCATTTCTAGGATCGCTCTGCTGGAGGGATCTTCCATTGCAGGGTCGAGCCGCGTCGTCGGTGGCCGGATTGGATTGACTTCCACCATCTGGCGGAGGACGTGTCCCGCAGCAATGATTATTATTATTATGAACTCCGTACCTTGGACCCAATGCACCGGCTGTAATTAATTTCGAGACCTACTTACAAAGGTGGTACTTGGTAGTTTGGAGGTATGTTGGTAGTCGTCCTCCGGAGTAGGTCTCTACGGAGTATGTTCAATTGTTCATAGATGCTTGTCATTCATGATCAAAAGATAAGACAAAACAGACATAGGTAGTATGTACTCCAGTCTCCGTAGGGGAGAAGCCGTCCTTCCCGACAGTAAAGTTACCCGTGACCGTGACCGAACGGCCGCTTGCGCCTCCTTGGCCTTGGCGAGACTTCCACTCATCCCCATCCCCAAAATATTCCTTTCGAGCCTTCATCTCCGTCGGTCGCCTCCCGCAATTCTCGATCTTCCCCTCCTCCCCCGGTTCTGTGATTGATGATCTCGTCCCGTGCCCCCCGTGCCTTTGGCTTCATTGCTTTGGACTTCAGTCCCCTGCGTTGCTCTCAACGCTTTTTCAACTAATTCGCTCTCTCAACCCGACTGAGAGCGAAAAAAAAAGGTTGGAGAGAGAGAGAGAGAGAGAGAGAAAGGAGGTGTTCCCTCCGGACACTCGTTTTATCTGATTCCTTTTTTCTTCCTTTCTTGTCTGGTCCTTTTCTAAAAGGACCTTTTACCTTTTTCATTTTCTTGATAATAATTGTCTATTATTCTTATCCTTTCTCACATATCGGGAACAACCTGTGGCTGGTTTCAAGACGGCGATCTCGGTTCCCATCATTGCTCGCGTGCCAACCGTTGGCCTAGATTCCTTCAGATTTCCCCTCAAGGCGATCGCGCTTTAACTGGGGCTGTCGTCTGATTTGGGAAGCGTTTCCCGACTACGTTGCCCGGTTCTTGACCCCGGTGTCGGTGTTCTTAAAATCTGCTTTGGACAAACACACTCTGGATACTCGCACCAATGGGCTTGAAGCAACGGATTTCGAAATGGCTGCCCTCTTCGCCGAGTCTACCGTTGGATGACTCGTCGCGCGAAAAGGGCCGCAACGTTTCTAGATTCGCCTTTTTCAAGCGGAGGATACGGCTGAAGGGCAACTCGTCGATTTCGATACCCCTGGGATTCGTGCTCCTATTCCCGTGTCTCGTCATCGTCCTTGTCCTGCTTCTCTTCGTCCGACATCCTGCCTCCCCCGGTGGCATCCTCATTCCAGCAGGCACGCCCCCGTCTATAAGGTTGGTTTGACCCCTGGATTTCCAAATGGATGAAGCGCCGTCGGCTAACCCATCCGCCTCTTTACCACAGAAAAATAAGCGAAAGGTACGACAAGGTCTTTGCGACGGGATGTCTCCCCGTGGAAAAGGAGGTGGAAGGCAAGCGAGCCAACGCCGCATTCGTCGTTCTTGCCAGAAATAAGGAGCTCGACGGCGTGATAGAATCGCTCAAATCCATCGAGAGACACTTCAACCGATGGTTCCACTACCCTTACGTGTTCTTGAACGACGGCGATTTCGACGATTCGTTCAAGGAGGGTGTGAAGAACTACACCAGTGCTCCCGTTGAATTTGGAAAGATCGATGACAGCATGTGGGGTTATCCCAAGTGGGTTAACGAAGAGGTGGCCAAGGAAGGCATCAGAAAGCAAGGTGATGCTGCTATCATGTATGGAGGAATGGAGAGCTACCATCACATGTGCCGATTCTATTCTGGGTGAGTATTGCCGATCGATCTGTCACACCTACGGCCGCTAACATTCGCAACAGACATTTCTACAAGCATCCTCTTCTGATGAAGTACGAGTGGTACTGGCGTCTGGAGCCCGAGATCAAGTATTTCTGTGATATTACTTAGTAAGAACAAATCGCCCCGTCCGATCCTTCCCCGCGTTACAGAAGGCGCTTTGCTTACACGCGTTCCAGTGACCCCTTTATCAAGATGGCTGAGGCCAACAAAACCTACGGATTCACCATTGCTGTCAAAGAACTGCGCGAGACCGTCCCCAACATCTTCCGTTACGCGTCAGCTTACAAGCGAAAGAACAATCTGAAGTCAAAGGGCCTGTGGGAGATGTTCCTTGAGAGAGACCCTGAGGAAGAACCCAAGCCTGAAGGGGAGAAGCAAGAAAAGCTTCCCGAGGAAATCCTGCAGAACGAACCCGGCGAGAACACCGTTCCTGACGTCGACCCGGAAGCCATGGAGGGCGAGAAATATAACATGTGCCATTTCTGGAGTAACTTTGAAATTGCGCGGTTGGATTGGTTCCGCAGCAAAGAGTATGAGGATTTCTTCGAGATGATGGACCGCAGTGGAGGGTTCTGGACCGAACGAGTACGTGCCCATTATTCTACCCCGATCTCCCCATCTATTCAAGATTGTTAACAACTTCGCAGTGGGGTGATGCGCCGATTCATTCCCTTGCCGCAGGTGCCCTCCTGTCCCCCGCCGATATCCACTATTTCCGTGACTTTGGTTACCGACACACCACCATTCAACATTGTCCCGCCAACGCTCCTGCCCGCCAACTGCCTCGGATCCCTTGGCTTGAAATGACCACGCAAGACGAGAAAGAGCGCTTCGAAGAGGATGAATACTGGGCCAACTCTGATCCGGTCAAGGAGAATGGTGTCGGCTGCAGATGTAGATGCGATACAGATATTGTGGATGTCGAGGGCAAGCAAGGCAGCTGTCTCGCTGAATGGGTGGAAGTTGCGGGAGGCTGGGCATCGCCCTAGACCGGGGGCAACTTTTCTTGATTGTTCGCTGTATAACTTTTGCCTCCTCGTTTACGTACCTATGTGTTCGACTATGAGCATTACCCGGGTCGCCCTTGGAGTTATTTGCTTGAGCCTGCATATTATGTTGGGCCGTGGGGTTCTGGACGGCGTTTTTCGGATCTGACGGCTTATATCGAAGACGGTGTGACCATTCTCATAAATATTGACAAATTCATCTAGCGTGCTTTGTGTGTTTCAATTTGGATTGCCGCGTTTCTCTCCAGAACAATATTCACTATCCGGAGGGAGGGGAAAATGGGAAAGGAAACCGTTGTTCGGCCACGAGGCGATTGTGAAGGGGTGCCAACGAAGTCTCTGCCCGCCATCCGGTCTTTATATACCCAGGATTGGCGTCGTTTTCTCTCCAGAGAACCTTCCGACCATGCCGAATGAATCGTCTCTACCGTCAATTGTCAGGGATGAGTGTTTCCAGCTCACCGTGCTTCCCGACATCTCTCCGGGCCCCGTCTTTGGTCTCTACCCCTTTGATTTTCAGAACATAGTCTGGTGATGATTTACGTTTTTGTGGTTGATCCAAGGGTCATAATTTGGACCGAGGTGGATGGATTTCTGAGCAGGATACACGACTGTGACTCGCTTGACCCTACGACAATTATTATAATTCCTTCCGCCTCTGTTTTCTCTTCTTTTTGATACTGCATTTCCTCCCATACTCGATTTTACACGAAATGTTTCCCCTCACATCTGTCTTTCTTACTCTATTCTAACCCCCCCTTCTTTTATTTCCCTCTATTATCCATTAAATTATCATGTCATGAAATGTACATATCCTTTCTCCCTTTCGAAGTTCTCGTGTATCTGGGTTCTCTGCCTTTCCCCATACCTTTTCTTACACATAACCCTATCAGTTCCAAACCACCGGTCCAGGAATGGTTGTTTATAGAGGATGAAATAATTTGACTCGTGTGAAGATCTGTACTCTATGCTCAAACTCCCTCTAACCTTGTAGAATCCGTAAGGGTCTTGAATGCCTGAGATTACAACCTACCAAGCATTCGCGATTTATCTACCCTGTGCAGGTTGCCATTCACACCAGTTGAAGTGGGTTCGGCGAGAGACTACTATGTATGCATGCGATCAGTGCACACAGGACAGTCACGAATCCCTCCGCACCTTGGTCAAACGAACTAGGATTCTGCTAGCGCAAGGAGGCCTGCAGATATCTTGTGCAGGTGTGTGGTATGCACGTGTACAGGGCCTACACATTCCTTTGGCTTTTGAGGAATGCACAATGAGGGGCAAAGGTTGCTGACGAGTTGATGGGTGAGTTGCATATTCTTGATTCTGTAGTCCGTGGGCGGACAGAGAGGGCGGTTGCTATATGTCAATGTTGTTTTTGCATCGTGCTTGCTGGATGTTGTTCCCTGGCATATCCCTAGAATTTACGCTTGGAGATTAAACCCCGGAAATTGTAGAAGAATCTGTATCTCTAGTCGCAAGACGTTAGTGCATTCGAAGACATATTCTACGAAGTTGATAAAAGTAGTTGTATCTAGTTAGATGAGGCCCTCTTCCCTTTGATAGAATCCTTAACGATCATTAATTTAATTAATTATTGTGGTCACCAAAACATTGAAGACATCATTCATACAGGAACATTGCAAGTCTCTAAGGGGAAGACCCCTCATGCCGAGTTCGATAAGATCATAAAGGGCCGGGGTGAAGTATAGGAAGACCCACCTCCAAGGATCTACGGGGTCCCACTTGCGGTATCACTATCTCGGACCTCCACGGAGTACAGTTAGCTCGATATCCTACTCGGCGTGGAATCCAGTTACCTACGAGAGATTAACCTGTAGAAAGTATCTCACGGCGTGATTTCCATGCGCCGGTACCTCCGTACCGCCTGACCGATGGACTCCGTCAGCTCGCGTCATGTGCCCCGCGTTTTCCCAGGGAGCTTCTCTGCCTGCTTCTTCTCTTATCTGCAATCCTCTCTCTGTCCCTCGTCTACTCTTCCATCGTCTCCATCTAAGGTCTCTGCTCCTCCCTAATTATCCATCAACTCGAACTCTCTACCCATCCTGCACCTTTTTGCCCCAACCTCGACACTCACCTCTCTACCCAACGCAGGCGGTTCTTCCATGGGAGCCCGAGGACTATCCCATAGGCCTATTCAGTAATCCCCGATCCACCTGCACCTGACTTTCTTACATTATTCCGCCCGGCACCGGCGCCGTCTTTCCTCTCCACACCGTCCGCCTCGTCATCGGGCACCCGCCTATTAGCCTGAACTAGTACCGTCGAGAAGGGCATTCCTTCGTCTCGGTGTAAGTCGACGAAAACACTACAACATACGGTAACGAAGGAGGTGAAAATTCCAGAGTTAACGTACTCTCCCACAGATATATATAATTTTTTTTTTCTAAATCAGATTTATTCTTTCTCGCTTCCGTCCTCGTCCGTTGTTGTTTCCCCGAGTCCCGAAGATCCGTAGGCTCTACATCATCGGGCTGGATCTACTTTCCCCTCATTTTCCGCTCCCATGACACTTACATTCCGACATGGCTGACTTTCAAGAGCCTCCTTCCAGACGCCCAGCTACGGTTTCCAACGCTTCCTATCTACGATATCCTACTTTGCCGCCCCTGAGCGGTTCTGTTGAAGAGTGGCTATCTCGCTCGCGGCCTATCACCATGACGTCAACTCCTCTGTCGGAGCAGCCTTCCAAATCGTTGAGCGAAAGCTGGGCCACTCTGAGCGCATCTGATATCCAGTCCGAGGACGGAGCTCGATCTGAACCTACCGATGCTGGATCCCTGATCTATCAGACTGGACCCGACGACGTTGCAAGTCTAGATGAACACTACAGCTGCAGCGAAACCGACGGCAACGACGAAAAACAATTCGAAGGCGACGACTCCGACTCCGACTCCGACTCCTCCAAGAGCAATATATCCGACTCTCAGGAACTGCCTCCTCTTTTCCGCCAGATTAGAGGCTCTATCGATGACAGCAACCTCACGGCGCAGACCGCCTTTCGTCCACCAGCCGAGTCTATTGAGTTCGCCGAGCCGGAAGAATGGCCTGCAGTCGAACGGGTGGAGCTGAAACACACGATCCGCGTCTTTGGGGGTACTGAAGCTGCAGAGGTGCAGCGTCAGCTGCCGTTCAATTTCGATGACTGCATTCTTACGGCTACCGTCCAGCAGACAATGACCAAGAGAAGCCTCGATACTGATAAACCCTTCCGTGTTCTGTATGTCGGCAGTCCCGAGTTTCGCAACATCATCCTCGACAAAATTGGCGATGTCCTCGTATCAAGCACCTGTAGCGGCTTTGAAAGCAGCTCCACGGAGTCCTCCCGGTACCATGTGGTCCCGACGTCATATGGCGTGGGAGCCATCCCTAACTTTGCGGAGTTGCTTCCGATCCACGTTCAGCTCATCGTCGATGAGTGTCTTGGAGCTTTGTCAGACAGTCACAGTGATGGTCTCAGTACAATCACTTTGAGTTTGAAGAATAGGCCCCCCAGTACCTCGTCATGGACGGGGCAGGAGTATTCCATCTCGTCTCCCTCCGAATGGACACTACCCGATGTTGCTATTATTTTCGTGTCCAAATTCGACACGCCTGCGAATATGGAGACGCAGAGACTGGCTCGTATTGCCATGGAGAGGCACGATATCCCGACTATGTTCATTTCCGAGCAGCCACTTTGGAAAACGGCCCAAGAGCCAATTCCGCTCAATTACAACAGTCTTCACATGTGCCTGGAATCCCGTCATCAGCTGACCGGAAAGACGACGGTGGTGCGACGGTACCCGATTGATCTGAAGACTTTTGAGAGCATTACTCCCGGCCAACTAAATCGAAACCTGGCCTCGTTGACAAGCAGCTACCCCAAACATTCCTGCAAAACCATCACTGGGGACCATCAACCTGACCAGAGCAAGTTATTCCTCGAGACAAAGAAGTACGCAATGCGCTTTTCTCCTCTTGCATACCTGGGTATGAAATATGGCTCGGTGCTGCCGTTGTGCCTTGTGGTTTTGACTCTCCTGTCTGCCATCATTACCGGTCTTTCCCCCTCCTATCTATTCAACAACCAGGAAAGCTCTGGGTTAAGTGTAGTCCCCAACACCAGTAACCCGCCAGCCCACGATCTGGGACAAACCTCCCTCTCGATCATGTCCCTGACATCCGCGGAAACTCAGTTTTCAGGGCCCCAGTCTCAGGGACAAGGACGACTAGAAGATCTTATTGAAGAGATGGGGCTCTCTTCGAGACAACTGGAAGGATCAGATGGCTTTGAGATCCAGGTAGTTGGGGACTGTCACTTGGTTATCAAGCCTCCACCGAAGACCCCCTCCAGTAAAAAGCAGCCTAAATTCGGCGTCCAAGTCTTCCGGCGTGAGAAGGCCTTGACTTACGAGCTTTCGAAGTTATTTGACGGCGTATACACCCTCAAATTGGATCGTGGTGATGCATACGGGATATTGGATGTCACGATAACCACCCATTCGAAGTCTCCCATCAATGAGACGATATCAGTAGATCTGGGGACGCCCTGGCTGAAGATTGCAAACTGGAAACGAGCAGCGCAGGTTATCACCTCCCAGCTGATGAGGGACTTTAGCACCGCGCACAACGGGTTTTCTGAGGCTTATGGCCGGCTCTTCACTGATATGCAGGTGTTGATGGGTGACGTGGTGAAAAGAGCGCACGTATTGCGTCAAGAAGCTGATGAGCTCCGGCGTGATTCATTTGGGCTGTCTCTGGAAACTCGCGACGTGGTTCTCTCCCGGTCAAAGCAGTTGTCGGAAGTCATCAAACGCAATGCTGTTCAGCCGTTCCTGGCAGCATCATCAGTATTGCAAGATCATACCAACAAAGTGAACCGAGAAGCAAAAGAGATGATGAGTGACACGTGGAAGAAGCTCAGTACTCATGCTCATGCTCATGGTTTCGACATTTTGGCATGGAAGGATCATGTGCGAAATGCGAGGAAGTGCAAGGCTTTGGACAAAGCTCAGAAGAAGGCAAAGGGTTTGATGCAACGAAAGAGATTGCCATCCCGCTGAAGTACAGCTATTCTCTTCTTCGGTCTTTTGACCTTTTACGACTGACGTTGTTTTCCCCTGTCTTCATTTTTGATGCCCCATGCTTTATCTTATATCATTTTGTTTCGTTTTTTCTTTCTACTTTTCTTTCTCTCCCCCTTTTTTGGGTTGGGGTAGGGTATTTCTCAGGCGAACAGGTCAGATCGTGATAAAAAAAGAAAGATAAGAATTTAAAAAAAAGGCCGCCACGAGGGCCCCAATTGAAGGGGATCTTGGGAGACATTGCTGGTTGAATGTAAGAAAAGGGAAGTCTGGGCAATTGCTACTCCTGTCATCAATAATACGTTTTTGCTTCTTTCCTTCCTTCCTTCTTTTAGTGGCCTGTGACGCGGAGCAAATGCAATAGTGGACGATGTTAATCTGCAGACTTTGGGTGGCACTACTAGTTAGTGGCCTAAGGCAAAGAACCTTCCCCCCACCTTCGTAGAACAAAAACAACCGCTCATATTTTCCCACTTCTCTTTCTAGACTCATCTTTCTCCCCCCCATCAAACATCTCACCCCGTCTTTTCCTCTAAAGGTACATCCCTTCGCATACCTCCGTGAACTCTATTTGAGGCACATCTAACCCTTTTTATCTCCCAGATCTCCATCTAATCCTATCACTATGTCCGACGTCGCTGAGACCAAACCTAACCCCGCCACCGGCGCTCCTGAGGCCGAGAAGCCCCAGGAGACCACCCCCGCCAACACCGAGGCCGAGAAGCCCGCCGAGGAGAAGTCTACGACTGAAGCCGCTGTCGACGCCGCTAAGGAGGCCACCACTAAGACCACCGACAGTGTTTTCTCTATGTTCGGCGGCGGCCCCAAGAAGGAGAAGAAGGAGGAGCCTGAGGATGCTAAGGATGAGCCCTCCGGCTCTTCTAAGGCGCAGAAGGGTGAAGATGAGGTGAGCATTTGATCTATTCTTTTTCCTTTGACTTTCTTATATCTGTTGGGTTTGCGTCCGCTACTTTTCCCTGTGGAGTGGGGTATCTGTTGATTTCTCGTCTTTTTGTTCTCTCTGCTCCCTTTTCCTTTCTTTGTTTTATCCCTACAGAAAGATTTGGAGGGGATGCTCGGGGCATATAAATGCGTCGAGACTATGTCTGTTAAACCTTGACTAACGCGTCTTGTAATACTAGGATGAGGCCCCCGAATCCCCTGAAGTTCACTTCGAGCCCGTCATCCGCCTGACCGAGAAGGTCGAAACCAAGACCAACGAAGAACTCGAGGAGCAGATGTTCAAGATGCGTGCCAAGCTCTTCCGATTCGATCGCGAAAGCAAGGAGTGGAAGGAGCGTGGTACCGGAGACGTTAGACTGCTCAAGCACAAGGAGAACCAGAAGACCCGTCTGGTCATGCGCCGAGACAAGACCCTCAAGGTCTGCGCCAACCACTACAGTATGTCTTGTCCTTTCAAGTTTTCTTATGATACGTTGATGCTAATAAGACAATCCAGTCGTTCCCGACATGGAGCTGAAGCCCAACGTTGGCAGCGACCGCAGCTGGGTTTGGAATGCCACTGCCGATGTCAGCGAGGGTGAGACGGAACCCCAGACTTTTGCTATCCGTTTCGCCAACAGCGAGAGTGAGTAATTCTGATATATAGCGACGATTACATGGCTAACCCGCTCGCAGACGCCAACCTGTTCAAGGAATCTTTCGAGAAGGCCCAGCAGGAGAACGAGAAGATTCTCTCCCAGCAGCAGTAAATCCGCGCGGTTCCGAAATAATGAGGATCATGCTCCGTTGGAGGTCTTCTTTTCATCTTTCTGAATACCTTGCGCTCCATCGGTCTGTTTCATGACCGTTCACGAATACATTATTATCCTTTTTCACCATACCATTCCCCTTCTCTCGATACACATTGCCCTATACATTCCTCCTGTCTGAATCCCATTACCCCCTGATTAATGAGCCCGGCGTGACCCGGATGTGAGCCAATTTGTGACGCTGGATCGACATCGATTTCTTCTCTCTTCCTATCGATTGTCGCTCCAGACGCACCTGGCCGTAGATAGATGTCCCTACCCCCGAATATACATGTTTAAATGCCCTATTACAGCTTTGATCTATGTATTGAGAGTTTTAAACCAATCTAAAATGATAGACTTGCTCTAAGTGTAATTCTCTGTTGGCCGACGTCGATGGTAAGGGGCAGTGAACAAGCGTGAAAAGCAATCGGAGAATCCCATGAACGAGAGATCGAAGTTGTGAAAGCAAGCAAATTTCCGGTGCATGTACGGATAAAAGTGGCGGACAAGCAGCTGGAAGTGCGTGAAGTCGGATCGCTTCATCTGCCGCGTAGAATCCCATCTTCTCTCTTCTCCCCCACTCCAGCTTCGCTCTCCGCCTCCCCGTCACTTCTGCCTCTCTCACCCACCAACTTGCGCTCCCCCATCTAGCTTGCCTTATCCCCTGTGATTTGCTTGTTTGCATATTTTCAAGCCTATAACCCTCCAAGGTAGCCCCCGCACTCAAGCTATTTTGATCGACGCACCAGCGGGTTCCGCCGACTAACGTCCCATCTTGCCTTACCAAGCAGTCGCGTTTCCTGGAGCTGCCTGGTTCCGACTGCGTCAATTTCCTCAATCAATTCACTTGTTTCCCAGTGAACGGGGCTAAAGTCTACAATCAAAATGCCTGATGTAAGTTTTGCTTGCCTGCCATCATCTATTGAGCTTGAACGCTGTCGCTCGACCGCGTGACGCACGTCTCTGGTTCACGATTTCTTTGCTTTCGCATGTTGCTAACGCGATCTCTCTTCCCTCTGCATCCAGGTCAAAAGGAATATCAGACTGGTCACAGAACAGCATGTCGTGTATGTTTCGAAAAGAGCTACCCCTGTACACCTTCACGCGCCTTTGTTCCATTGTTGACAGCCACCCACCTGCCCTTTCTCCCTTCCCTTCGCGACACGGACTCGGTTTCTCAACACGGTGGATGTCGCATGGCTTTACAATATGCCGCGCCATGTTAACAATACTCCAATCTGCTCTTGTCTATGATGGTAGGGGCATGGCGATAGATTTTACAAATGCTGACGGTTCGCGACCACAGGAACAAGGATTCGGGCGTTGAAGGGTTCCCTCTCCGAGCGTGGTCGATTGAGATCTACCTGCTCAATGAGCACGGTGAGCAGGTGCCTGCCAACGTCTTCGATAAGGTTGTGTACTCGTTGCATCCCAGTTTCGGTGATAGATATAAGCAGAGTTCGTTTTCCCTTTCCTTCTTCTCCCTCCTTTTTTCAGTCGCTTTTGCACTCTGTCGCCTCAATTGCGCCCATCTCCTGTCCTGAATTCTTCACGTGAGGTCTGTTGTTCGACAGATCTTGCTTTACGAACGACTGGGTTGAGAATGGGACAGACGATTGTTATATTCATATCGAGGACTCGTGCGCTGACGTGTAACCTACAACAGCCTTCAAGAACCCTCCCTTCAGGATTGCGGAGGAAGGATGGGGTGAGTTCGATATGCAGATCAGCTTGTTTGCAGACAAGGAACATTCCGTGCTACACGATCTCAACTTTGCCCAATCGCGCTACGAGTCGAAGCATTCTATCGTGAGTCACCAGATCCGCCCATATACTAGTGCTTGGATGGACAGTTACTCATTAGTGCAATTATTTGCCTTTTCTAGACGTTCAAAAACCCCAAGCCTGCTTTATTGGCTCTTCTCCGTGAATCGGGGCCTGTCCCTGGAGATGAAAATGGGGTGAAAACGAAGCGCTCGGCCGGAGCCGATGAAGGGTCTAAGAAGAAGAAGCGGACGGAGAAGAACGTAAGATATCCTCGATCCTGAAGGCCGCCGAGAAATTCCTTCTAATGATTCGTTGCGATGCAGGTCGACATGGATAAACTGGCCGACGGTCTCCAGAGACTTGGCGAAGATGACCTCCTCCAGGTGGTGCAGATGGTACACGACAACAAGGCACCAGACTCATATACCAAGAATGATGTCGAGCGTAAGTCTAAAACCATCCCTTTCTGTCATCTCCCCACTAACCGTCTCTCACAGAGGGAGAATTCCACGTCGACCTCTACACCCTACCAGACAGCTTAATCAAAATGCTGTGGGAATTCACGCAAGAAAAGGGAGCTCTGTAAGCGTTCGGGAGAAAAAAGGAAGGGCAATACAGCTTGGATATCTCGCATCGAAAACTCCAAACTCCTCTACCTATCTATCTTATCTATGTTTCTATGTTCACGCCTTTTTCTTTTTATGAAAACGTCGCTCTCCATAATACCTCCTTTTTCTCTGTCTATCTCCCCTTGTCCCTCCGTGTTCCTGGTCTGTTAAACTCTGTCCTCAATATCCTTTTCTGTGTTTCCTTTTTTTTTTGCCTCCATTAATATTTTCCTGCTCTCTGTGGAACTTCTCTATGTATCTTGATTTCAATCTTCTCGTTCCTGTTCTTTCTTTATCTCTCGAGTCTATCCACCCGTATCCTATCCTATGCCTCTATTCAGTAAGTAGTAAGTAGTCTCTAGATAATCTAGGTACTCTCCTAATTTCTTCCGATGATTCATTAATTAATTGTTCCATTTCCGGTTCCTCGAGCCCTGTCGAGTCTAGCCGACTATAGAATCGACTCGACTCGACTCAACTCAACTCGTACAACTTTTCTTTCATTTCCTCCAGTCTGAATGGACATGCATACACTACACGCACACGCATAACATCTTCCCTTTCAATACCAAAACCAAAAACATAGCAGCAACCCTAGGTTGACACCCCTGTTGATTTGAACTGAACGTACACTAAACCTGCATATCGCAAGTTCAACCAATCCACGAAATCAATTCGAATCAGGATTCCAAGGTTGGATCCAACATCTGTACGGAGGGAAAGGACGGTAGATAGTAGATACCTAGGATGGTAGGCCGGCAGGAAGGAAGGCAGGATGGAGACAAAGAGGTCTTGGCTTGGGTTTTACATTTTTTTTCTTTCTTTCCTTCTTCTTTTCTTTATGTTTTCTTTTCTTTATGTTTTCTTTTCTTTATGTTTTCTTTTCTTTATGTTTTCTTTGTTTTCTTCCCAGACTGGATAGGGTATCACTGCGTAGGAATGGAATAGGGTCAGATTAGCGGTTGAGCGATCTGTTAAAGGTATAGGATTTAAAGGGGATGGAATGACTATCTAGATAAGGAATAATCGGATAGAAATGCAGATGTAGAATAGGGGTATAAGCTACTTCGTCTCTATACAATCAGGATCTAAGTCTTGTCATTCAAGTAGAATAAGTCTGGATTATGAGACCTGAGAAGGAATATAGTTTGGAGATTCTCCGTAGTAGATAAGTAAGGCAGTAACAATGAACGAGTTGGATATCTCAAGTTCAACCATCAAACAGATTATAGACATAAAATCCCGATCAGTCAGGGAGACGTTAACCACAAGCCAAAAAACAGGAAAAAGAAAGACTGGTTGCCAAACCCCAACACCTGTATATCCATTCATATGCACCCCATGTAGCAGCCAAAAAGAGAGACAGATAAGAAACAAGAAAACCCTGACACAAATGAAAGATTGGGACGTAAAAAGTATAAAGATAAGACAGACCTCTAGCAATCAATACTAGAGATGAAACGAAGAGCCGAGCGCCCGCTGTGCTTCAATCTATGAAACATCTTGTTCCGGTGGAAAGAGAGGTATCAAATAGTTTGGTAGAGACTAGTGGATGATGAGGGAAAGATAGTTCACAGAACTCGATTCCTGTGGTTGGTTCCATGGTAAGCATGTGAAACATCAAACAATAGTCAAAAGTTTATCGGCCCACAGATGATGGAAAAGGGGCTGAAAGGGCAGGATTCACACTTACATTTTCAGAAGATCTTCCAAAGTGTCCGCAGTGCAGCTCTTTCCACGGGGGATCTGATGAGGGATCTCCACAATCGTAGCGAAAACATCTCCGCCTTTGTATGCCAGCAGGGCGGGAGCGCGGATGTGGTCCATCTCGGCAATTTCGTAGTGTAGCTTGACGAAGTGAACGGAGGGCTGGCGACGAGCAATTGTTTCTAGGCAGTCTTCCACTTGGGCGCTGGTTTTGGACTTGAGAAACAGTTAGTATGAAGACCCCTCTTTACACGGAGGCTATCCTGGATATTCAAGACACCAGGGGATGATGTCACGTACCTCGGGATCATAAACACACACGACCACTATCGTCTCCGACGGGACTTTCTCAATGGCATCAAGATATCCAACCGCATCAACCGTGTCCACCGATCCGTAGAACTTCCGGCGAGGACTCGGCCGTCGATGAGGGACCTGCCGCAATTCCGCCATGCGTGATTCGCGCCACCTGCGAAGAAACCGATCTTCATCTTCCTCGCTACCAGAACCGTCCGGGGGCGTCGAGTTCTGCAGTAGGGTTGCGTCATCGGTCACGGACTTGGGAGGACGCGAGTCGCCGAACAGGGTGCGACGGAAGGAGCCCTTGCGAGCGCGCTCAAAGGCCTGGGCATCGGCAATGACACCTTTCGGGCCGGTATTGGCATCGTAAACGATATTCGGGACATGGTAGGTACTTGTGCGAGACATGGTGGGATCGTGGTCTTCGTCGTCCGAGTACTGGGGTTGGTCGTTGGCGTCGTCGTCCGACTCGGAATTGGAGTCGCGGTCAGAGTTGTCACGGTCTTCAGGATGAGTGGAGTATCGCTCCCGACTGTTGAGGGCAAGGCGATTGAACTCGTCTTGTGCAGAGGACATGGTGAAAGAAAAGGAAACCCGAGGGGAAGGCGCGCGGGGGATAGGGCGAGCTTTTATAAAAGCCCAACGAAGACAGTTAATTGATTAGCTGGTATAATTAGAGTCGGGCTGATCTGCGTCAGGCAAAGAAAGGGTTGCCCTTTCTTTTTTCAGATTATTTTTTTTTTCTTCTCCGGTTCCAAGGAATAGGTTGCCAGCGAAGGAAGAGAGAAGGCAGAGAAAACCAAAAAAGAAAAAACCGGACTCGTATCAGAGATGACGACTCGCGGGGCCAAGCGGTTTCAGATGCTCTTTTAGTCTTCTCCTGAGAAGCGTCGATGGTGGGCTCGGAGGCGAGGAACTAATCCAGAGACGGTGAGTGGTACGGAGGCGATCGACTTGTTCCGGGGCTGAAAGTGGCGGGAGGTGAAACAATCGACCCGGAGGGAGGAGGAGGTGAAGCGACAAGCGTGGACGATCGTGGTGATGGGTGGTGGGAAAGTAAAAAAAAGAAGCGTGGAAGACGGACGGGGTGACCGAGGGGCAGAGGCAGGATCATCATCCCTTCGTCGGATCCTTCTCAAAAAGCAAAACCCCGTCTCTCGCGCTCTTTCGACTGGCCCCCCCTTTTCGTCCTAAACGGAAGTTGTTTTAGAAAGTGGAGGCCGTCTCAGCCACGCCGAGTGGGGTGGAAGACACGAAGAATCTTCCATGGTCCTCCCTGGCAAATGGAGCCATCAGAAACAAGGCTGTTCATTATGATGCTCGACGGACAAGCAAGACTTTTTGAAACTGCAAAGATCCACGGTCGAGAGTCGGTGAGAGTGAATTTGCTCGCTCTTACTCGGCCGGAGGATGCGGATGGAAAAGAAGACGAGGAGGGAAAAAGCAACGACGTCAGACAAGCGACTTCCCCGATGCGGCAACCACGTGTTTTCCTCGGCCCTTCTCCTGGTCTCGCAGTCGAGATTCTAGAATCGGCTGGATGCCGTGTCTTATCTACGGAGTACAGAGTACTATCTAGTATCTACTATTCACTGTCCGCCCTACGAAGACGGGGTGGTCTCATGACCTCATGCCTTGGTAGCGGACTAGAGACACTCAGCGATCGATCGATCGATGTCGCTTGTCGAGTCTACTCTCCCTTTCAGTCTCCGCACGACTACACTTACTTGTCGGGCTGTTTCATAGTTTCAATCTCATTTCCTCGCCAATGACATTGCCCCCCGGTATGCCGATCTGGAGGGTCCAATACGAGGGGGTGAAGATGACAGGTATACACTGAGTGGTGCAGACGTGGAGATGCGAAATTCAACTCGTCCACCTCGTTAGAGTTTGGGCACTGTCCCATCCTCAATCCTTCACGGACAACAAAGCAGAAAAAGCACAGGAAAGGGTGGAGCACACTGTCAAGGTCGGCGCATTCGATCCACCCGGATGGACAGCAGAAGGATGCATCGATAACTGGGGCTAATCCTCCTAGCATGGCGGTCTATAAATAATCTTCGACCTGTCGATTCATTGGGCTGCCGAACCAAAAATGAAAACGCATTATTCACTGATCGCTCTCACTCGACGTTTCCTCAAGCTAAAGAGAACGGGTCTTGCTCTCGCCCGCATTCTTAAGGTCAACTGCCGTGCCATGCAACGGTTCGCCCATGGGGCCGTGTCATGTCTCTGACATCCAGGAATGCCCGGTCATGCGAGTGATTACTTCTTCGGTCGTTTCACTTATTTCTCACCCAGCCGGGCAGATGTCATGTACCGAGAGAAGCGGGGGTTGTGAACTACTCGTGCTAAACTCAGTCAAAGGATCCTTCGTGAGATACTAATAATGGCACATATATCACTTTCAAAAGACAAGTCGGTTGATTAGTTGGGAAAGAAAAAGAAATCACAAATCGTCATGGCCTATCCGGAAACGTTCCCTCCCTTCCCATCGGCAGAAAAGACAAGAGGCAACAAATAAAAAAAAAGAACAGTTGGAAATCAATGCATCAAAAAGTGGCTTTCAAAAACAGGAATCAAATGATGATAATAGAAAAATGATGGGAAAAGAGAATGAGAAAAGAAGAAAAACGCTCCATTTCTTGGAGATGGGGGGAAATAAAATAGAAATAGAGAAGAGAAGAATTGACATGAAGGTAAAGGGGAGTGATGAGAAGGAAAAGGAAGATAACAAAGGAAAAGAAAGGAAAATGTATCTTGAGGCTCACAAGGGTGGAGCGTGAGATGCATCCAAATAACCACCCTGGCTCCATGGCTGGTGCTCAACTCTGCACCCATAACTACCTTGTCGCAGGACCACCACGCTCAGTCATCGAAGATTGTCGCTGTCTTGTCGTCTTGATCGCTGGATCCTTCTTTTAGGTTTTCTTTTTTCTTTTTCTTTTTCGGTAAACATTCAGACTCTGCACGTCCGCTCGGGGTTGTGCCGGAGTCTGACACAAGTGCCAATTACCCTGACTTCAGCTTCTGATTCATGACTCGGTTTCGAATCACTTCGCCTGCGTTTCCGAGATAGTACATATTATGGAAGATAAGGCGACCAACTGCTCCTCGGTAAATAAGATTATCGTACAATGGTGGACATTCGACGTATTGGTGTAAGGAAATGGAAGGAAACTCTCGATGAGGACATCGCAAAAGACAGGGACAGGGTATCTTTGCTTTTTTTTCTTTCGGATTTTCGGGTTTTTACCAGGCCCAGACCTTGAGCTGTATTGCGAATTATAGATTAGTGGGTCGCCGTGGATTGTTAGAGAGGGGCCGGTTATAAAACTGACCAGAGAATCCCAAGATCCAGTGCACAGACTGATGCCGTCATTGCTGACACCCAGGCAGCTTACACGGTTCTCGTGGCCACTGAGAGCACCGACCTTGTCGCCCCGGAGAACGTCCCACACCTTGATCAATGTCAGTCGTTGAAGCTGGACGATATGGAATCAAGCCAGATAGTGGAGAGGCTGAAGAGAGGGGGCGGGACGAGGCATACCTTGCACTCAAAGTCATCGTAACCCGCGAAGAGCAATCTACCGGAGACCGAGAAGGCAACAGACGTGATACCACACATTATTTGTTCGTTCTAGAAGAAGAAAAAAGCACCGTCAGTTTTCGCTTCCCTGTACACGCAAACGTGCATTAGCTTACCTGGTAGATGTTAAGTTCGCGGTCGGCGCGAATGTCGAACAGACGGCAGGAGGTGTCGTCGGAACCCGTGCCGAAAGCATTGCCGTCGGGGAAGAACTGGATGGCGTTGATATCTGATTCGTGGCCGGCGAAAGTCTGAACTGCCTTTCCGGTACGGATATCCCACAGTTTAGCGAACGCGTCGCAAGCGCCGGAGACGAAGATGTTCTGGTTGGTCGGGTTGATGCTGATGGACATGACGTCGCCCAGGTGATCCGCGAATTCAGTTACTTTCGAGCCCGATTCAATATCCCACAGCATACAGGTCATATCTCCCGACGAAGTGATGATGCGACGATCGTTGATAAAGCGACAGCAAGAAAGGTAACCCGAGTGGCCGGAAAGTTCGCGCGCGACCCGGGTAGGGCCCTCGTTGGCGGAGACGTTGTAAATCGAACAGATGTTATCCAAACCACCGCAAGCGACAAAGTTCCCGCTGGGAGAGTAAGCACAGGTCATGACCCATGACGACCGTAGCGGAATGGCATGTATTTTGTTGGTGGTGTAGGCGTCCCAGATGATGAGCTTTCCATCCTGCGAGGCAGAGACCAGGTGACGACGGTCGGTTGCCCAATGCATAGCGTAGATCTTGGCCAAGTGTCCCTTAAGCGTGCGTCGGGGCTTCATTGCGATTCGAGGCAGAGTTTCCGTTTGGCTCTGCGCGACCTGGCGAACTGTTGGATGGGAGTTAGCACATGCAGTTGGGCCAATGGAACGATCCGCGAGGACGCATTCGATGCCGCGTACAGGCCCCGAAGAGCCCCACGAAACACAAGGGAGGATTGCATACGAGTGGTGTCGGCCAATTCATCCTTTCTGCGCTTGATCTTGTCCTTCAGACCTTCGGCTTCGCGCCTGGCCGCGGTAATCTTGGCCTGCATCTGCTCGCCGCTCATATCGGCTGCCATCTTGACGAGTCGAGCCCCTGGAAGAGAATTGTTGACAAATTAAGAGAATACGGACGAGAGTCCGTATGAGAGGAAGGAGGGGGGGAGGGAGAGAAAAGAGAGAAAGGGAGAGGAGGTTGGGAAGAAAGTCGAGCCGGCGTCGTAATTATCCAGGGGACGAGGAAGACCGGGGGGGGGAGGGGAGGGGGGAGTAGGCGCGGGAAGCAGAAGGGCGGTGGGTGAGAACAGGAAGGAAGAAAGAAAGGAAAGAGAACGAGAGGAGAGAGGAAGAGAGAGAACGAGAAAGGGAAGGGGAGGGAAGGAGAAGGAGAGAGGAACGAGGAGGGGGGTTGATTGGGTGTGGAGCGAGCACGGCGGAAGCGACCGAGCGAGAGAGAGAAGAAAGTTTTGACTTTGACCCGGGGCAATCAATGGTGGTTCGGGCGTTTAAGCAGAGCTGGAACTGAGGGAGCAGCAGGAAGCAAATGCAGAAGCACTGGCAAGGCAGAGAGAGCAGTACCAGACAAAGCAGGGGCGGCGGATTTGGGTGGTGCTGCTGCAGAGAAGAGGAGAAAGAGAAAGCAGGAAAGACCGGAAGGAACGAGAAAGGGGCAGCTTCACCCGGAAAAAGATTAGGAGCCCCAAAAAACTAATCTAATTCTAATTCGCATCAAAGGACAGAGATTTTGCTGCTGACAACAATGACACTCCAGTTAATTCCGGTGAACAATTTCCTGTTTTTCCCTTTCTAATTCTTAATCTTAAGTCTTTTTTTCTGTCCCTCTTTGGTCATTTTGCACACAGACTGATAATTTGCATTTGCTTATTGTTGTTATTATTTTAATTATTGACCACCTACTCCCAACGGAGTACTCCGTACTAGTAACTAGCTAGGCACTCCCGACTTGCGCCCGGCAAGATCTGGAGTTCTACTCCGTACAGTCAACGAGGAGTGCATGGAGGAGTGATCATCCGTCAACACAGTTTGGAGGGTAAATACACCTACTCTTCAGTCAATTGAACGCTTTAAGGAGTGCTTTTAAGGGGAAAGAGGAGTTGCGGTGGGTTCGGCTGCCTCCGTCTGGTTGGTCCATCCGCCGTCCTGGCAGTGGGGGAAAACAGTGGGGGTTTTCCTTTAGTCCGCTCCTCTCTTCTCCAGCACTCCTTCCATCTACACAGTACAGTGTACACTGACGAAGAGAGAGGAAGAGTAGGTAATTTGTCAAGCTATACAGAGTATACAGATATCCCAGTCCGTGAGACTTCGAACGGGAGAGTATCCTCATCGGTCATCCCGTCTTCGTCCAGCCTCGGAGCTTCCGTACCCCGTCGGGACTCCCCCATCAGCACGGTCTCCCCTAAGAAAAGGCAAGAGGCGTCTCGGCAGCGATGCACGAGTCAAGCGCTGCATCGACCGTCATGACTTAAATGTAGCATTTGCAGTACGCATGCACCAATAAAAGCGCCGATAATTGTCCTGGTCGAACTCACGCATTTTCCTTGGGTTCTGCACAGTTGAGCCTGAACATGTCCTTTGCACTAGTTCCGTGTCCCGGCATCAACTAACTCGATAATTAAACAATATAAACTGATGAACTCGACGGACTTGCATCCCCCCTGTTACTAAACCTAATTCCTGGAATCCGATAAGCTTTCTTCTACCAAGCGTCTAGGGGTTGAATAACACCTTTAACTATCGACTCTGGAGGACTAGAAGGCCAGCCGAAGCGGAGCAAAGACTGCAGAAATTATGGAGAACCATTCTCCGGCTCGTCCGGTCTCATTTGCTCTCGGCTTGATTGTATGCTTTCGACAGTTTTCCAACATGAACGGTGCAACGTGCGGCCAGCCGAGGTCTACGCACTGTCTATGCAGGACATTCTACGGAGTACGCGCACGTACACCGTGTTATGTATGTTTTTCAGCTGCGGGCGCACACTTTCTTATTTCCATCTCACGGACTCCCAGTCCCAAGCCAATGGGAACTCCATCGATTTGTTGGTCAATAACGACTAGTCCGATTTCAGTGCGCGCCGCAGAATGAGGGGACGATTAGCGGTATATGACGCCATCTTATTACTGCATATCTACGTACGGGGTAGTATTAACTGGAAAACGGAGTACTATCTCCGTAGACGTTAATATTGCAGAACAAGGACACCACTCGACTGCATTCACCATCAAATTCATTATTACGTGGTGAGTACACTGTCCAGCGCCCATGCTGACCTCGTCCCCTCCCATTCGTGCAAGGCGCTCCCCCCCAAGTCGGCGATAGCTCCGTAAACTGCAAGATTGGGGCCAAATCGAGGCCGCCAACGTCAGTTCTACGGGCAGCGTCCACGGAGTCAGTCGTTGATATACAACCTGGGCATGCGGACGGAGGCAGCATTGGGCCGTGATTTGTGGATGGCCGTGGCCAGGAAGCGGGTCTCCGTCCGGCGGGAAATTGGCCATCCATCGACTAGTAAATACATGCAGCGGTAGTCGCTGGGTTTTTTCCCTTCTGGAGACATGGCGACTCCACTGCTAAGATGATCGCTTCAAACGGTGCCTGACTAGCTTGGTCGATGCTTTTCCCCTCTCTTGCAAGAGTTTTTGGTCTTTAGGCTTCTCCTGATGATTAATCTCTGTTAATTAGTTAGCCAACTACTTCGTACACCGTACATACAGTGTACGCAGTATATTTAGGGCTAGGGTCTTTGGTGATACTGATGCTATCTAGCCCAGAAGTACACTGTAATCGACACGATCCAAGTATATCTTAGTTCTTAATCCTTAAGATGCTTGGACGGCAACTCCTGGAGGATGTTCGGTAGATCCAACGCCCACCAGCGGCCAGCGGCCACCCCCAACCCCTGATCCCAAGTCCCAAACTGATTCCTGATTCAAAACGTGCTAACTTAACGGCTCGTGTCACCCAATTTTTTGGCAGTCAACGGGGGCCTTTGTCAACATGAAACCTGCGCCCGTGGAATAAGCGCGACGACTGACAACCCAATGTTCTAAACATAGATCCGAAACGTTCGAGAAAATTGGGATGCAGCTGTTCTCCGTACGGAGTAAACTGTACTTCAGCCTCAGTTTTAGCCGCCGGGCTGGGTTTGACTTTGCGGACTGTGATGGGTACTGTGTACTGTGTAAAGGTAGGTAGGTAGTTCTTTGTCCCTTGTTACAGTAGAAATCAATCAAGGCCCTTGCCCGCGCGCGTCCGACGGGGCTGGGCGGTTACTATTCTAAATATAGGTGGCTAAACCGAGAGAGTCTTGGGAGGTTGGAGGTTGGAATGCTGCAGACAGGGTACGGGGGAAGTTTAAACTACTCCGAGCCAGCGGAATCCGCCATGGGACATACATGCATGTAGGTAGGTAGTTACATATAGTAGGTACTAGATAGTATTGTACTCCGTATGTACCCCATACTCAACCATCCACGAAACAAAACGATTTCAAATCCATCCGGGAGGGAAAGACGCTTGGTTCGCGATGGGCGCCTAACGGGGTTGGCAGACTTGGCCTTGTCGGCTGCGCTCGCGCTTATGCTTTGCTTTATGTCCGGTGTCCGGGTTTCTTGTTTCTAATCATAGAACCAGTATTTATCCAGAAACTCCCAAGGTAATGTATGTCTGTGCGTCTGCAACTCGCCCTGCTTGATTTCTGCGCTGCCGTCATCGTCAGGGATCCCCTGCTGGTTGATTGATGGGTTGACGGCAGAAAAAGAAAAGACCGAGTCTGCTGATGAGGAGGAATATACCCGGGAACTAATGCTAATAATAATAATAAGTTACGGTGGTATGGCCGGTCAAGGTCCCTTTGTTGGTTTCCATTTTGGGCGATTCATCTCCGGCTGCGAGAAGGGATGGGTCATTATTAAGAATCAGAGATCGGAAAAGGAGATCTCTTAATCTCTCATACACTATACTCCATAGTGATGTCGGAAGTCTACCGAGTCCCGACGAAAACCCCAATATTCAATAATCAGTCAATAGGTCCGGATTGCAGCGACGATTGCGAGTAGTTCGCGAATGGTCAGATTAGCATCAACACTGGCCGACCGCAAAAGGCTTCATGTCCGAGAGGCTGTCCAGCAACTATTGCAATGATTTCATGGGCAGGGCCAACGGTGGGTTCTTGCCGTTGGTCTTTGCTTCTGGATCTACAGGCGACTCCGCCCGTCTAGGAAATCGAAGGACGCGTTTAATAAGAAGGGAAATCCACTATTTTGATTATCGTTATTGTGATAAACTCCGACAGAGTAGGAGGCAACCTTGGGGGTTGACTCGTTGAGTTTGGACGTCGAATTATGAGTGTACGAAAGAATTTAGATCGAGAAAAGGGGGTTAGTAATCCGAGGTCAGATCACGACGTCGGTGGCAATGGCTTCTCATGATTATTGATTATTTGACATCATCCGGGAGTTTGAAATGGAGTCAATTTTGAAAAGGGGATATGAGGGATTAGATTAGATCTCCCAACAGAATACAAATCGCCCGAATGAAGGCAGAAGGAAAGGCAACCGGTCATACCATCGAGGACCAACAGTCAGCAGAATCTTCTGACGGCGGCTCGGGTGGCGGGTAGGAATGAACCAGAAGGGCAGAAAGGGATTCTGCAAACGCGGTTAATGGAAATAGAAAATGGAAATGGAAATGGGAGGAAGAATGAGGGAAGAGACCGCTATCGACGAGACCTGTATAACAAATACTGTACGGGAGATTTCACGATGATGCTGGAAATCACAAGGAATTAATAATAAGAAGAAATTCTGCAGAGCCTGAGGCCGCCTGACGAGTAACTCCGCTTTCGCGCCTTTTCAGCCATTCCCGGCCCTCCTTCCCTCATTTCATCTCTCCGTTTCCTTCTTTCCCCTCCTTGTATATTCAACCGCTTGTTTTTTCTTTTTGGGAATTTTTGATTTGATCTTCTTTCTGTTCTGTTCTTACTGGGGACCTCCTGGGATCTGAAATTTGGATTCTGTTGATATTCTTGTACAGCACGCCCCCCGTCATCTTCAATCAGTCCCTCCCACCTCCCCCTCTTATCGACGCTGTCCTCTCATTCGTGAATCATCGTGGCCACCAGGCTCTGACCGACCGAGTGTCTTGGCCCGAACAAACCTCCCTTTCACGCCTCATCAGTTTGCATCCGTCTTCATCACTTCTCTCCCGCCAACTCGCGCTCGAGGATTCTTCCCCCCCTTGATCACTGCACCATCTCGGTCGGGTGCCCCATGATCTGCCGATAATTAACACGGACCCCTTTCAGGACGCTCTTCTCTCTCTTCCTCCTTTTCCTCTTTCTTTCCCGGTCACGTTGCCGACAGAATTCGATCTCGTTTTAGGGGCTGAGGTCAATCGGTCATCCTCGATCGAATCTTCATCTCCCTGATTCTTCTTTCCGACCGGCTTTTTTTTTCTTCCTTCTTTTTTCCCACATCGTAACGACTCGGAGTCTCATCCTCTCGCCCATCATGCGGGAGGTCAACTTCAGCATCCCTAATGTCAACAAGGCTTCTGTTAATATCACGACCACCCTCTATGACCGCCGTGCTCTCGATTGCACATCGACCCTGCCGCTGATAAATTCCCTCAACCACCTCGCCTACCTCACCACATCCTCCGCCCGCATTCGCGATATCCTCACCGTCGATGGCGGAATCGAGAGACTGGTCTGCATCCTCAAAGAAGGCCGCAGTCGAGATCTGATGGAGATGTGGAAGTGGAGCCTCGCTTTCCAGTGCGTTGTCAACATCGGAGTGCGGGGCTCGGAGAGTGTTCGAACGAGAGTCGTCGAGGCCGACATGGTCCCCGTCATTGCGACTATTCTTGACAATTATATCAAAGTGGTTGACAAGGCGCGCGCACGGGCGGACACCGAAACGCAGCGACACTCATCCAGGCATCATCCCAAAGCCGTGCCCGGCCCTAGCGATGCCGCCGGCCGGCCCTCTTTCCTTGACTCGTCGAACGTTGATCAACGTGCCTCTCGCCGCCAGGCCCCTCCGCCAAACATCGAAATCCCCCCGTTCTTCCAAGAGAATCAAGCGACCGACTCCAATGCCATGGACGTTACGTCCTCGCCTCGCATGCCGATGGCCTCTCCGCCGGAAAGGAATCGCCACACACAGGAAGTTCCCAGTCATAGGCCCAACGATGTCCGTCATCCGCACTCGGGTCACCGTCACCGGGCGATACAGCCCCTTGCCACCGCCTTGCCCGCCATGGATGCTGCCGACGGCTTCGGTCTGCGCCCGGTGCGTGACGCCGAAAGACTGCCCAGCATGCTCCCGAGCTTACACAACGGCCTCGCCTCGCAGCCCGATTCTCCAACTACCCCAAGCGGCCCGGCGCAGCCTCGCAGCGCTGCCCAGGTCAACGCTGCTAGACAACGGCCCGCCCTTAGACAGCAGGTATCGGCATCGGGCGAATCGGACGACGGAAATGGAGAAGGGTCTACCATGGAAGACGACACCGCTTCTGGGGAAGCGGCCGAGCCTATAATTGGTCTTCAGAATCAGATGGAAATCGATGAAGTTGGCGATCGGCAGGGCATGCTCGAAGGCGTTTCCAACGCCCATGACCTGACGGTAACTGATCCGTCCGAGGGACAAGAGGCCGAGACTTTCAATATCACCCATCGGTCTACCGTCGACGGCAGTATCATTAACAACGACACCACGCCGACGAATGGAGGATTAGGCTTGTCTCCGACGCAAGCCGTCAACAACGCCAACTCCCCTACTCTTGTTCCCAGCCCTTACTCTCTTTACTGGCGCGACCGATCGACCACTCAGAACGTCACCCAGAACGTCCTAACCACGATGCCCCGAGAGGAGGACGTCTTGATGTCCCTTCAACTCCTGGCATATGTGTCCAAGTATTGCAACCTCCGATCCTACTTCCAGCACTCCCACCTCGTTCCGAAACTGAAAGTCGACCGTGAACTCCACATTCTCGAGGAAGGTGCCTCGCCAATTGAGCCCGTCGAGGATGAGGACGAGTACCTTCTGCCCGACGACGTCAACATCTTTCCCCTCGTGGAGAAGTTCACGGTGCGGCATCACTCCAAGGACATGCAATACTGGGCCTGCGTGGTCATGCGCAACCTTTGCCGTAAGGACGAGTCCCGGGGTGGCATCCGGCAATGTGCATACTACAAGTGCGGCAAATGGGAGGAGTTCCAGCGTCAATTTGCAAAATGCCGCCGTTGCCGCCGCACCAAGTACTGCAGCAAAGATTGCCAAAAGGCTGCGTGGGTGTACCACCGTCACTGGTGCCACACCACGCCATGATATGAACGTACGAAACTGTTTAATTCTCCTAATGCATACTGGCTTGCATAGCGTCATATCTGCCATGTGTTTCTATTTCGCTTCTTCGATTCCTACGGTTTTACATCTACCAGTGCATGGCATTTCAGAACCTGGCGGCGTTCCTCTTCATCACAAAGATACCTTTTGTCGTCTCTTTTTCTTTTCTCGTTTTCTTCATCATATAGTGCAGTTCGTCCCTTTTTCATTCCTCCTTGACTTTTACCATTTAGCATCCGTTTACTTGCACATCTTCCGTTCTCATCATCTGATCATGGTTTTGTTTATCTTCTAATTTGTCCTATTAACGCGGGGCCCAGAGTCTGTCATCCTCCCTTTCTGGGTATACAGCCTTTGGCCATCATGAATATGCACACCTCATTGCAAATTACCATCTTATGTGATTTTCATTTCTTTTTCTGTTTGTTTCTTCTACCTGACATTGTACCCGCCTCCAGGATCCTATTGTCTTGACGTCGGATGATTCTCGTTTGTCAGTATCTGTTTGGCATACTCCTCCACACTCACAGTCCCTCTGGAGCGATTTCACTTGGTCTTTTGTCTCTTCTGTTTTTCGATATCCCATCATTGGCAATCCTTGGTCTTGGCCTTTTCTGTACGTGCCAGTGGATGGCATATCTTGTCTATTGATTCATCTGCAACCATATGCATAGTATCTGTTATTTATTTTTATATGTGACGAATTGAATACTCAGAGGGCCTGTTGGCCTTGTTATGTTTCAAGGCTTTCCTGCCGAAGTTCTTCCATCTAGATTATCATTCCCATCCAAGCATTCGAACGGACGTTCTGTTACGATTCTTCTTTCTTGAAGCCGTACGTTGCCTCCAATCGCGACTCCAGATGCTCAAAGGCTGTTAGCGCGCGTTTGCCTGGCTCCAATTTCCCGGCGCCACCCCCGAACCCGACTTTCTCGTCGTACACCCCCTGCTCTTCGCATTTCTTGCGATACGCAGTCACCACTTCGCTGGGAACGGGGACCAACTCCGTATTGTTCAGCGGATGGCAAAAGAACACGACACTATACCGATCACGGGGATTCGGACTCCGCTGCTCAGACAAGGGAAAAACGACTCGATGAACGGTCGACTTGAGCAGACCATCCGTCCAATAACTGAGTAGGTCACCGATATTGACTAGGATCGGCGGGAAGACGAACTCCTCCGTCGCCGAGCTCTCTGTGACGGCGGCGGTTTGTCCCGGCTGCACGGGCACAGGGGCCCAGGTCTTTTCGGGCGTCAGGATCTCGAGTCCCGGCTGTCCGGGACGCTGGAACAGGAGCGTGATACTGCTGTAGTCGGAATGGGCTCCTGCGCGCACGTCCTGGTCGTGCTTGTAGGAGGACGTCGCTGGGGAGAAGATCGATGGGTAGTAAAGATATCGCAGGATACTGCCCGTTGACCCTAGGCTGGGATCATGGCGGGTCGTGAAGAAATCGTCGGGGATCTAGAAACCGGCCTGGCAGTGAGCTCCTGTTACATACTTACATACTTGGGATCTTCCATCATCCGGAGCTGGGGATCGTTCTAGGCTACTTACCTGAAGACCAAGCGCCAGGAGCTTGAGGATCCGGTCGCAGGTTTTGTGGCATAGGTTTGCGAAATGGTCGATCTCGGACTCATGCGGTGCCAGCGATGGCGGCAGAGGTTGCTGGGCTTTGCCGTTCTTGAATTCGCCGAAGTTGAAGCCTCTGGATGAGGTGTTAGTTGGTCAGTGGGTCATTCGTTTCTTTTGGTAGAGATTCTCGCTTGGTCGTACTCTTTGAAATCTCCTGTCTGGATTGTAGATATGGTTAGTTATGTTAGGCTGAGAAGGTTAAAGGCTAAGAGGTCTCATCTATACTTACCCGCTGATGCTCCGGGTCCAAGGTTTCTACATGCATACCAGACCATCCCCGGTTCTAAACGCATACAGTCAGTCTACATCATCACCGTCGACAGAGTTAGCTTAGCTGAACACACATTCGGTTCGATCCGACAAGTCTCCTTTTCCTCTACCGGAGACATGAAGAACTCCTTTGACTATTGCATTCACCCGAGTTAGCGAAATACGTTCATTCCGTGGCAGATGCGCCCGATACGTCAACCAGGGAAGAGTAAGAATGAATGCCATACTAAACCAAAAGCCCTCTTCACATCTTCCGGGGCGAAATCCGTGCCCTTGCTGTTCACATAGAGGAATCCATACTTGGCCGCGGCGTCTAGCATCGCCTTTCCCACGGCGGGGTCGGAGGGGTTCGAAATGTCGATTATCGGTAGTTCGATGGGGGGTCCGGCCATGGTGGGTTCTTCCATTGTCGTTGTGAGTCAGAGACGATAACTACTCGATCAAGGGATGAGGGTGTTTATTGGATTATGTATCCAGAGATCTTGGAAAGCGAGTGGAAGAGAGGAGAGGAGGAAAGAGAGGAGATCGACATCCAGTCACATCTTGTCCATTAAATATCGGCAACCGTTAGGCCAGGTAGGTTCCTTATCGACCTCGCGTGGAGAAGTTCGGACCATGGGACCCTCCGTGGGATTCATGTCATTCTACTTTTTACCAAATGGATTCTCGTTATCGTCGGGGTCTTCTCCACCACACCGGTTCTGAAGAGTACTCCGTATAAAGGTAGATAGGACGGTGGGAATGGTGGTAGGATCGGGGGGTGCGTATACTTTCTGTGTAGGTGACTTGACGATGTTACCTGTTTTGGAAAGGACTGGATTATCTAGAGTAATGGGGACTGTTGCAATAATAATTGATCATGTCAGGTGCAATGAATCTAATTTATTTCTTCGTGTCCTTATTTGTTTACGTTGTCTGGTGTGTTCAGTATATGTTTAACTATAGCTACTAGGTACACATAACAACTTATACCTATGTATGCTATTTCTGGAGATAGTTGTAGGTAAACAACAATTGGCATGCATTGCGCAAAACAGTCTCCCGATCAAACCCTCGAGTCCGACCCATCTCTAGACAGTAAATGCGCAGAGGCGACGTTCGAAGGTGAAGTGGGACAAGAACAAACGGCCGCTCTTCCGCCGAATTGAATTTGACCCCCGTCACTCTTCCGCTTCGTCTCCTTCCAGCTTCACCTCATCCCACTTTGCATCTTTCTTTCCTTCCTTTCCTCTCCCTGTACTTACCCCCCTCCTCCGCCTCGCGCCTCCCCTTCTCTCCCTCGACCTCCACCCCCACTCTCGTACTTGAGCTACTTTCTATTCCTATCTCTCCCCCGTTATCGGGGCTCTCGATACCTGAAAAGTTGACCTCACTTTCCTAGCTCGAAGAATGCCGAGTAAGCTTCCTTTTGCTCCCTGAGCAAACCCCATCGGAATGCCATTAACTAACCCGCGTCCTTTTATCTCCAGTCCGTCTTTTGGATGAATGGGCCGCCCCCCGCACCCAATCCCTCCCTCTCTCTGTCCTCAAAGGGGCCGTCGTCGGTATCGATGCGTCGCACTACATTTCCCAGCACCTCCTCCAGCCCTCCACCCGCGAGCCTCTTCTGGTCGCGTTGGGTGGTTTCCCGTTCGCCCTGAAGACCAATATCGAAAGAGAGCTACAGACGCTGAAAGAACTGGGCGTTAGCTGTTTCTTCGTGTTCAATGGCCTGGACTTCGGCACGAAAGACCAGCGGCCTATCGTGCAGCCGGAATCGGCGCGGTCATTCGAGCAAGCTTGGGATCTCTACGACCAACAGCAGGCGGATCAGGTGGTCGATGCATTCAGTGGTGCTGGTAGGTTGCCGCGCGCCCTCTACCGCTGCGGGTGTGCTCCGCATGCGCTGACTGGCTTCGTCTTCACCCCCTCCTAGGCACTCCTCGACCGGAATCCCTCTACCGCTTTTTGCAACGCATCCTTCTCGCACATGGTATAAATTATATGGTGGCTCCCTATAATGCCGCGGCCCAGGTGAGATGACGATCTTTTTCATGGTTCCTACAATTGGGGAATGTGTTTCTGACGGCTCGCGTCCCTGCTCTAGCTCTCCCATCTGACCAAAGGCTCGAACCCACTGGTCGACGCAGTCTGGGGGCCGTCGGAAGTGTTACTTTTCGACATCGACAAATTGATTACCCGGGTTGATGCCGATCCGGCGCAGTTTTCCTTTCTCTCCAAACAAACGTGCCAGGACGACCTGGGCCGACTGAGCACCGAGCAGTTTATCGACTTTGGTCTCCTCCTAGGGTCTTCGTTCCTGTCAACATGCCCACTCTTCGAGAATTCGGCCTTTCCCGGTAAGGGCGCTACTCTTCGCGACGCCCTACAGCTGTTCAACACGACGGGACGAAGTGCGCTCGCTCTCTGCGCCCACTACGAGGAGGATCGCCGCATACAGGAGACTCGCTACACGGAGCGTTATAAGCGTGCATACATGTCCATCAAACACCATGTGATCATGGACGAGGAAGGCCGCGTCGGCCCGATGGATGCAGAGCACGCCCCCTCCGACGTGCATGAGCTGACCAGCCTACGGCTGCCGGAAGAGCTCTATTTCTACCTCTCTAGAGGCCTGCTGAGTGCCGACGTGCCGAACCATCTCACGTCTGGCGAGGTGCTGGTCTCGCAGCCGTTGGGCGTGGAAGACACTGAGATATATCGTCAGGTTGCGGGTACCACTCTCACTCCCATCCGGACGCAATCGATTGGATTGCTTTCAAACTCGCTCCATAGATTCTACCAGACCAAGGTCATCAACGTGCGGCCCTGGTACGACGATAAGGCCGACACAACGATCAACCTCAAGAGTCTTCCCTCAGTCAAGGATACAATCCAATCATGGAAAGTCCGCACCGATCAACTTCCGGAGGGTGTCAAGAAACTCCAAGTGAGTACAGTCCCACTCTTGATCAACCGTCATGACTAACCGAATACCTAGGCAACCTCTGGACCTTTCAAATTTGCTGTGCAAAGCTTGAAGGACTCGGAATTCGTTTCCAAATCTCTCTCGTCCAAAGACGTCCCTGTACGTTCTCTACCCAGCCTTGTTTTGTTTTTACTGGGCAACAAACAGGAGTACTGACGATCACCAGGCACTTTCGTCGCAGGATGAAATTTTCAGCAACGTTTTCTGGCGTTTCCTGCAACTTCGCGGTTATATCGACCAGAGTTCACATAAGCTAACTCCGTGGGGAGTTTGCCTGGAGCAGGCGCTCTCTGTTCTTGATCCCAACGATGCCCTGGAAGAGCCCACCTTCCTTGCCATTGAAATGCTTCGGCTTGGATTGATCAACTCGAAACATTGGTTCTCTCACGTGTCGGGAGGTCCCATGAGGGGAACCGGTAAGCGCAGCCCATTCCTTCTCCCCAGTCCACGGCGAATAACTTGAGCTCACTTGTAAACTCTAGATGAGGACAAGAATTTCAACATGCTGGTGTCCCGGATTGCGTGCATTGCCAAGTTGCAACACAAGAGCATCGGCTATTCCGGGCCACTAAGCAGGCAACTGCTGTGCTACCGCTCTCTGATCTCGGAGGTCCGCGCCGCGCTCAGGAGCCTGATCGAGGTCGTCTTGACCAGTCTGTTCCTTAGCGGACATGCCGACCGGGACCGGAATGACTGGAGTGAACTGAGTCTGAAGTAAGTGGAGTACAGCACGGACGATTACCGTGGCTCTTGCTAACCCGATGCAGGCTTCCATTCATCAATGACAATGACTGTGGCCTGGGCATTGCCGTCCGCACCTACCTGGATGACCTGCCTTTGCAGAACAACCCGACGTCGCCGGAGGCACGGGCTGAGGTCAAATCGAAGGGCAAGGATTGGTTCCAACACTGCGACAGTTTCGTCGGCAATCTGGACCGCGCCTTTAAACTATGGGATGCGGTAAGTAGTCGCTGGCCGACACCCTGCGGAGCCCACATTTACTGACATCAGAACTTCCCCACAGGTCTACAAGGGGACACAGAATGCCGGCAAAGACTTCAAGGACGGGCAGATGTTTGTGACTGCCAACCAGTGGCTGAGCGAGAGACGGTAAAGGAGGAACTGGGCATTGTACGGAGTAGAGTGGGCAAGTAATATGCAAATGCCAATAGGGCCTAGAACAAGCTCTGCCTCATTTATGCTAACATGTCTACTCGGAAATACCCTGCTGCCAATTCACTCATATAATATCATACAACATAGATTCCACGTCATGATAAGTTGTAGTAGTAGTAATAGTACGCTGATATATCATCTCGTTTCTAGATACCATCCAGACCAAAATCAAACAAAACCAAGGACAGAAACAACACAAATATCTACAGTTCGTCCTTGGTGGCCTCCTCGTCCTCCTTCTTTTCACCCAAGAAGCGACGCAGCACATTGCTACGCGAGATGAGATCATCGATCTTCTCGGGCGCCGAGCCGCCCTTGGCCAGGATCTTGCTCAACCGAGCAAACTCCTTGGTGGCGTACTCGTGGTTCTGGCTCAGCTTCTCGGCAACCTTGACATAGTACTGAGCGTACTTGTCCTGGAGGCCCTTGGCGACCTTCTTGACCTCCTTGACGAGCTCCTCGAAGCTCTCCGAGGACGTGTACTTGGCGACCAGGGAGTCCAGGGTGGGGATGGTGCCGGCCTTGTCGTCGAGTCCGCCGCCGACCGCACGGTGGGTGCCAGCCTTGGCGTTCAGGAACTCGAGGAAGGCCACCTCGGAGCGAGCCCCGGAGTAGGTCTCGCCTTCCGTGGAGCCCTTGGGGAAGAACTTGATCGTCGGGTAGCCGGTGACGCCCTGCTCCCTGGCGGTGGCGCGGCCGTTCTCGGCATCAGCGTCGACCTTGGCGATCACGACGTTGGACTCGAGGGCGAAGTCGTTGGCGAGGGTTTCCCAGGTAGGGGCGAGGTTCTTGCAGTCTATATTCCCAGGAAACCGTCAGTATCAAACAGAACAACGAGGGCATGTGTACAAAAACGCCCCCCACCAAAACCCATAGATGAACAAACAAAACAACAGGAATCTACTCACGTCCGCACCAAGGCGCCGTAAACGCAACCAGAACATCCTTCTCGCCACCGACAGTCGTCTTGAAGTTGGAGTCCGTCAGCATCTCAACCCTGCTGGGCTCCTTCTTCGGACCGCGAGGCTTAACACCCGTCTTCTCGGTGATGAAAGCCGACAGACTCTCGAGGTCCCGACCGCCGTTGTACTCGACGGGCTTGTCGCTCTTGCCGTCGAACCATTTCAGCGTCGGGAAGCCCTGGATACCGAAGCGCTTGCCGAGATCACGGTTCTCGTCCGCGTCCACCTTGCCCACGGTCACTTTGTCCTCGGCGTGGGCGAACGCCTGGGCCAGCTCCTCGTACACGGGGGCCAGGTTCTTGCAGTGGCCGCACCAGGGGGCGAAGAATTCAACCAGAGCGGGCTTGCCGGACTTGAGCACGACGTTGTCGAAGTTCTTGGGGATCAGATCTACCACCGCGGAGCTGGCCGTGACGATGCCGACCAGGAAGGCGAGGCAGCTGACGAGCAGGACGCTCAATCGAGCCATGGTGAGTAGGGCAGGGGGTATTGTTATTGAGGGTACGGTTCGGTTCAATGAAAGGGGATATATCGAGAAGCAGCTCTAGCCGGGGAGGGAGAGACGGAGGGTCAGGAGTACGCAGTACTTGCAGTGATTATTTATTCGACTGATTAATGCGCATGGAAGCTCCGGCGGAGGAAGGCGGCAAAATGTGGGGCGGAAGAGGACACTTGGTAACTCCCGGCTGAGTCATCCGATCTACAGATTCAGGTGTAACGGAGAGAAGTGTTAACACCTAAATAGTTTGCATATTCATTTCTCACCTTTTTATTTCTTTCTAGACTTATAATTTAGTCAACACATTCGTCGTTCTAATGTACCATTAGGTGCTGGGTGTGTAGTTTGTTGAGTCATTTGCTAAGATCTTTTCATGTATGCAACACGAGGACCTCTTCTATATCCTGTGGATGCCTGAGGCACAATGCACTAATTAGTGGGAACTCAATTTCCTTCTAACCAAAACCGGCCTAGACCAGAGGGTCACTTCCAGCGGAAGTATGAGATGTCGACTGTACTTCATCCTTATCATTCACTCCAGATAGAGTAAATAACCCCAAGAATCACGCCACCTTGGTGTAGCGGGAACAACTCTCACAGATGATAAAAAGTTTGATGAGCTTCTTGCCTCGGCTCGGACGAAGATGGACGCCTCTCAACTTCACCAACCCCAATTTCATTCGCCTACCCACAACTTAGGCAATCGAGGAAGAGACGATCCCGGGCTATGTGGCTGGTCGATACTATCCGACTCGAATCGGGGAGATTCTCCAGGACCGGTACCAAGTACTGGGGAAATTGGGGTTTGGAGCGAGCTCCACCGTCTGGCTTGCGCGTGATATGGAGTGAGTAGGAAGTAGACAGTTCCCTGGGAAGGGTTCCACGTCTGGGTTGAGTGCTCTAAGCTAATTAGAGACATAGCTATCGCCGTTATGTTACTCTTAAGATCTTCATCAGGTCGTCGTCAATGGGCCAGCAGCTGGACGACGAGCTTAATGTCTACAGACGTATCCAAGGGGCTTCGCGAAATCATCCTGGGCGTAGGTATGTTCGATCACTGCTGGACAGTTTTGATATCAGCGGACCTGAAGATGAACATCGATGTCTTGTGCATCCGCCGCTCTGGGAGAGTGTGTTGGATTTTCTACATCGTAACCCAGTGCGAAGACTGCCTCCGCCCATCGTAGCAGTTACTCTTCACCGTCTATTTCTTGCGTTAGATTATTTGCATAGCGAGTGCAAGATCATCCATACTGGTACCATATTCTAGGGTTTCTCAGCTGTCTATTGTTTCTTTGCTTACCCACATACTAGATATCAAAGCTGATAACCTCATGTTCGGCATCGACGATGATTCCGTTTTCCATGATTTCGAAGAGAACGAACTCCGGCACCCCTGTCCACGAAAGGAACTTGATGGAAGGACAATCTATACCTCCCGCGAACTCAAGATGCCTAAAGACATAGGCGCGCCTGTTCTCTGCGATTTTGGCTCGGCCGTGTTCGGAGATGAAGAGCACTCAGAAGATATTCAACCTAATATCTATCGAGCACCCGAAGTGATTTTACAAGTTCCGTGGACCTATAGCGTTGATATCTGGAATGCCGGATGTGTGGTAAGTAATTCGATATCCCTGATGTAAAGGCCTGGGGTTTATATGATCGTCAGATTTGGAATCTTTTCGAAGGAGGAGGTTTGTTTAGCGGCCAGGACCCTGAGTTCAAGGCTTATAGGAGTCGGGCTCATCTTGCCGAAATGATACGTCTTCTTGGTCCGCCGCCGAAAGGGTTACTTAGGCGCGGGAATCTGACGTCAAAGTTCTTTTCGGAGGAAGGTAATACATCTCTGTCCCTCTAATGATACGATCTAGATCGAGAGGCAAACACTAACCGTCGCTGACACTAGGTGATTTCTGTGCTGGAATTCCAGTGGGAGAACATACCCCGCTTGAACAAAGGGAAACCAGCCTCGAGGGAGAGGATAAGGAGAAGTTTCTCTGCCTTGTTCGAAAAATGCTGCAATGGGTGCCAGAGAAACGAAGTTCTGCTAAAGAGCTCGAACAGGACGAGTGGATTCAAGGGGAATTGCATAAATAGCTGTCTCCCCTTCAGGATGCATCACTGGTGACTCCGTGGTTGTGTTTTAACAGGAGGCCTGGACTCCAGATGCAAGCCCGCCATGTAGTTTGGAGAGATCTCCTAATCGATTTCTTCGTGATCCTGGAATGGCCAGAACAGGTCTACTGACTTGAAATCGTCCTCATCTTCTGCTTCAGCTAGCCACTCCGCCTTGAGCTCCTTGTTCGTCTCCATGACTGCTTCGTATGCTTCATGCCTGACCCATCCATCTTCTCCTAGGTCGTCCAAAAGAGACCGCCAATGCTCGAGTAATATCGTCGCCTTAAACCAGTCCTCTTCAACACGATATAATTCCTCACTTTCCTCTTTATCGAAAATAACCGGGCACGCGTTCTTCTCCGGATTGCTCTTCAACTGCTCCCAGCGCTCAGTAAGTCTAATGAGTGCTCCTTTCAGCGTAATTATATTGCCACTCCATTGGCGGCCAGCTCTGTCCACTGCATGTTGCCGAAGTGGCAGAAGGGGGTATCGAAGTGCCTCAAGATGGACTTTGTTATCCCGGCCGTTGAATATCACGTACAGATAGAACAGCATTCGCCGGCGATGAAGCTCTTTGGCTTTGGATTGCTCTTCGGGACCTAGGGAACTGTAATCGTCGGGCAGGGACGGCTTTTCCAAACTGGTGGGCGGCTCGGAGTCTGGATTCTCAAAGAGTGGCGGATTGCCCGCCGTGAGTAGCAACGGGAGAATGGAGCTATGTTGCCAGTCGACGATGCATGATACTTCACAAGAGTCCGACACAAATACGTTGGATGGGTTTAGATCTGGGCCGGTTAGAATCAGAGGGCCATGGATGTTAGCACTGGAGCTTACCTGTATGTCGCATGGTAGGCATGTTCATTGGGCTCTCCCGATCTTCAGGAAGAATGTACGGCGCCAGTGAGATAAACTTCTGTAGAAGATCGAGGTAGATCCCTGGGGAAATCGCCCCCTTGACGATATTGTTATGAGGGAAATCATTTCGCTGCGGCTTGCCACATCGACGGGTCCATTCGAACTCCCGACAGCCTACGCTTCGAACATATTCCCGATGGTCTCTCCCTACACACGGTCAAAAATTCCAGTTCGTCAGGTGTGACTGGGAGTAAAAGACTGACAAGGCCCGCGTTCCAAATCAAGGGAGGCGCGCTTTCCCCGCCAAAACGTATAATCCGCGGAAGGTCCTATACAAAACCGGGCTTGACTATCATCCTTATGTGGCGTTCGATAAATATCATGTTGGAGATGTGGATGTATAGAGTGTGTATAGTAGAGGCTGCCGTAAGATCCAAACGGGATTGAGAACAGCTTCCGTTCGATATCGACGTAGCTGGTCACTAACTGAACCCTTTCTTTCGGGGTAAGATCAAACCAGCGACGATCCAATGGCTGTCCAGGAGCCTTCTCCATGATGATATACTCGGTTCCCACGGCGTTGTTGCTTTGCGAGGAATAGGCGTAAACTTGCGGCACGGGTATACCTCTCGTCCGTAGAAAGTCAAGCGTCGCGACTTCGCTTTCGGTCGCCAGCTTCGTGGGGACGGTGACCGGGTAGGGAGTCTTGGCTATGACCTCGAAGCCATCGCTCATGGTGAGAACAAAGACCCTGTTGAAACCACCCTCTGCAAGTTTTTTGATTTGGAGGACGGCGTCCCTACCGACGCTGCTTGCGGCCACCGTTTTGAGCGCTTCAACGTCAAATTCAGCATATCGCTCTTCAAGGCGACGTTTTTCGTTGAATATGTAGCGCCCAGCCGTATAGGCGAAAAGGTCTTGATCTGGTCCCGTGGAGATGACGCACGGAACGGCCATTGTGGATAATGACTGCTTTGATGAACCGAAGGGATGAGTGCTGAGGTGTCTTCGATGCAACACAACAGCGCTCAGCCTCGATATCAACCTAGACGATATTGCAGGCCACAGCATGACAGTCCCTTTACAAGGAAGTTCCATAGAGTACTAATGGTCTCTGTGCCGGCGGTCTCTTGAGGATGATCGAGCCACGTGATTGGGATTAAGCATTGAATGCGACCTCATCATCTCTCACTCTCAAGAGACAGACATCTGTGTTTCGATGATGCAACTATAGATACTAATCATCATTAGCGTGGCCCGTATAATAGGAAAGAGAGGTGGATCTGGATGATTAGTTATTCTGAAACTGACTTTGCCCTACGAGGTGGAGCCAAACGAGGGAATAGATTGGGGACAGGCTGACAAATGGCTTTAGCTGTAGTTATGGTACCATCCCTTGTCACTGTCTTATTGGTCTATACAACGCTAAATTCTTCCTATTCTCATGATTAGAAATCCCGTATTATAAGACTGGTCTGTTTCATTTCCTCAATAGCGTGGAGCATGATGATGACACAATAAATGTCCTGATGGAATGAATGAGAAGGAAGTCATTTGTAATGTTTGCAGAGATAGATGATGACGGAAGTTATGTCGAAATGACTATATAAACAAGCCAATGTCTTAGACATCCACATAACCACAAGGAATACATTCAATCTCTTGTCCTTTGATTCAACAGACAGATTCGCTTGCAATATATCCTACTCCTTTCCGCCGCTGACATTTCATCACCATGCCTTCTTATCTCATCACCGGTGCATCTCGCGGAATCGGAGTAGGCATCTTCTTCCATGCCAATTGGAACCTTTACTAAGTAACCTCATCTGATAGTTCGAATTCCTGCGCCAACTTGCCGCCGACCCCAGCAATGTGGTCATCGGTCTCGTGCGCAACAAAGCGGCGACAGAAGAAAAAGTGTCCAAGGAGATCCCGGGGGGAAACGTTCATCTTGTGGAAGCGGATTTGACCGATTACGATGCACTCAAGGTTAGTCTTGTCTCTTGTTGAGAGCGATCAGTGATTAGCCCTGCTCACAATGGAAGTAGAGCGCCGTTGCGGAGGTCGAGAAAGTGACCAGCAGTCTAGACCATCTGGTTGCAAATGCCGCATGGGTATCTACCTGGTCGGCCTATGAAGGGATCGGTGATCTGTATGCTCTTCCTGATCTGCTCCCGAGAACTTCCTGCTGACGAGCTTGTGTACAGCGCCGCCAAATCGCCCAAACAGCTAGACGAGGATCTTCTAAATTCGATCCGCGTGAACGTCCTGGGCAACATCCACCTGTTCTCGCTGTTTCTGCCATTGATTAAGAAAGGTGACGCCAAGAAGGTGATCACCATCACGTCCGGAATGGCAGATATCGAATTCATCTCAGCCTTTGATATTGTCGCGGGAGCGCCGTATTCGATCAGCAAGGCGGCCATGAACGCAACCTATGCCAAGTTCAGTGCCCAATATAAAGAGGACGGGATCCTCTTCCTGGGCGTCAGCCCGGGACTGGTCGATACTGGTAGCTATGATAATCGTAAGTCTGCTCCCTCGCTCACTCCACTCGGCTTTACGATCCATGGAGACGAGACTGATTGACTGTATCGATAGAAACCCCGGAACAAGCGGCCGGTGCGGCCAAGATGGTTGGGAAGTTCGCGACCTATGCGCCTGGCTTCAAGGGTCCGATTACTCCTGGAGAGTCGGTTCGTGCGGTCCTCGAGACCATCCATAGGGCGGAGATCAGTAAGGGTTATGCCGGCGGGTTTGTTTCTCACTATGGAAACAAGCAGTGGCTCTAGATGGAAAGACGGTAGACGTACCTGGTCTGTTTATTGTATGGAGCAAGAATCGCACAGGAAGCCCAGGAGGCTGGTTATAATAATGTCGAGAAGACTCCAGGTAGTAATGAGGAAACACCAATGACGAGAACGTTCCACTGGCTCTAAAATTCCAAGCAGTATAAGTAATCAAATCTAAAAGATCAGCAATGAACCGACGAGAAATATCCAATAAATAATCTTAGGGTATCTTAAAAATGCCACATCTAAGGCCTCCAAATGCAAGAGTACCAAAAACGTCTTCTTTCCTCTGTACACGCATCACCTCCAACCAACCAAAAGCCTTCACATATATGTATCGCTAAAAAACATGACCAAGAAGTCTACACTTCCCGTGAGTTCGAGCTCGGTATTATTTACTTGGCAGGACTGGTCGGCCCGGCATCCGAGGCGCTGTGCATTGAGGCTTCAAGTTCGTCTAGTCGGCGGACCATTTCATCTACTGTAATCCACATTAGCACCTGATATACTGACTGTGCTAGTTTTATGTTATAAGAAAGACCGCATGGAGGAGTTGTGGGGGTTGCGCACGTTTTCCGAACATTTCCTGCGACACGTTGTCGAATTTATGCTGGAGTTGGTCTAGGAGGTCGTCGACCGCGGCGGTCAATTGGGTTTGCGCATCAGCATTCTAGCCATAAGAAAATATTAGCCATTCAGTTCCGTCTGTTTAGCACATTCGGAGCCGCGAAATGTTGCGAAGCATAGGGTGGCATGAATGCATGCATGCGGGGAGTTGCGAACCTGATCACTAGCAGGAGATGCGAGGGCTTCCGACGTGGAGGCGCGTTTAGATTCTTCGGCCATAATGAAGGAATGTGATCAAGTGAGCCAAATAAGAGGAAAGGTTAGCCGTATACTGCACGCTGCCAAGCCCACTGCGTCAGAAGGTGAAGACCAACAGCGACAATTCGACATGGAGGTAATAACTACTCGGTATCAACAGCGCAACAAGTCCGATAAGATCTCGGATCATCTGTTCTTCCCGTTTCCCGGGTCACTCTAACCGTATCTAGGCTAGTATCCTCTTATCATCTAATCTAACCAGATATAGACTAGCCGCATCCCAAAAAAATTCCCGTGCTTGTCGGAAGTCCGTAGCTGCTTCGAGCTTTCTCTCACTTTTTTTTTTCTCCGGTCATTTTCTCTTTCTGAAATCTCTAATTAATCACAGTCAAGGACTGATCTGATTTAGTCCATCCTTCAAAATGCCCAAGCGGAGTAAATTGCTTCAGGCGCTGGACGACCATCGCGGTCGCGACTACGACGCTGAGAAACAGAAGAAGCAAGTGAAGGCGGCGAACAAGAAGAAGGCTGCGAAGGGCGAGAAGGTCGAGGTATGATTTACTTTTTTCTGATCCTCTTTCTATGAGGCCGTGGGCGGTTTTGTGGCGACCCTTAAGACTAATTCATGCTGAAGGCCCAGCCCTCGAAATCGAAGTCTAAGAAACACGACGCCGAGAAGGCCGACCCCGAGGAGGAGAAGGAGGAGGATGAGTCCGAGAACGAGGAAGAGGAAGTGGAAGTGAAGGCCCCTGCTGAGGAAGACGACAAGAAGACCGGCGACAACGAAGACGACGAGGAGGAGGAAGAGGACGAAGAGGAAGACGAAGATATCCCGCTCTCCGACCTCTCCGACGACGAAAGAGAAGATGTGGTGCCGCATCAACGTCTCACAATCAACAACTCGGCTGCCATCAACACCTCCATCAAACGCATCTCCTTCATCACCCCTCAGACCCAGTTCTCCGAGCACAATTCCCTTGTCTCGCAAGAGCCCATCGAAGTCCCCGACCCCAACGACGACTTGAACCGCGAACTGGCCTTCTACAAGGTCTGCCAGGCGGCTGCCACGTCGGCGCGTGGTCTGCTGAAGAAGGAAGGTGTGCCGTTCACCCGTCCGGGCGATTACTTCGCGGAGATGATCAAGACGGACGAGCACATGGGCAAGATCAAGAAGAAGCTGTTCGACGAGGCGGCTGCGAAGAAGGCGGCGGCCGATGCGCGCAAACAGCGTGATCTGAAGAAGTTCGGAAAACAGGTGCAGGTGGCTAAGTTGCAGCAGAGACAGAAGGAGAAGCGTGAGACGTTGGATAAGATCACCGCTTTGAAGAAGAGTGAGTTACCCTTAACAGAATTTGCGGGACCATTAGGACTCCGATGCTAACGATATCTCTTTTCCCTACTCAGAGCGTAAGGATGATACCTCCGGCCCTACAGATGATACCAACAACCTGTTTGACGTTGCCATCGACGATTCGAACCAGCCCGGTAGCCGGAAGCGCGGCCGTGACGAGAACAGCGGTCCCTCGATGAAGCGTCAGAAGAAGAACGAGAAGTTTGGCTTCGGCGGCAAGAAGCGCTTTGCTAAGAGCGGCGATGCCGCTTCCAGTGGAGACATGCGCGACTTCTCGGTGAAGAAGATGAAGGGAGGCGCTAAGAGACCGGGCAAGAGCAAGAGAGCGGCCGCGAAGGGACGGGGTTGAGTGATTCCAATCGATTGACGTTTTGACTTTGACTTGTACTTATTCTCCTTACGTTATCTCTGCTTGTTCGGGTTTGGGAAATACAAAAAAGCTGGTTGTCTGGGCTCAAAAGAGAAGAAAGACAGCCTTGTTCTCATTTATTCAACTTTCCAGACCTTAGACCGCACGAATGATTGACACCTGGGGCTTCCGCGCGTGGATGTTCGGTGAAGAAGATGAAGGACGGTGCTAAGAGACTGGATAAGAGCAAGAGAGAGTATCACAATACGTCCCTACCTAGGGACGGACGCCCCTACTGCTGAACCGTGAGCACTCATGTTCGACACCATACTTCCTGGTAAGCCATATGATCGTTGCGCGAACATGCTCGTCGTCGCCGATATCGCATCGGAAATACCATCCTTTAGTGGCATGGCGAAATGCGGTTTCTGTGGCCGTTTCTGATGGTACGGGGCTGGATGTCAGCATTGAGTACATAACTGAGGCTAACGGACGGATATATGAATACTCCAAGGCTCTGCGAGAGGCTCATCCCGTCGATTGAGGGAAATCACGTCTCCGCCGCTTTCGATGATCGTGCGCGCTGCTTCCAATCCCCTTACGCCACCGCCACTAGTGACCTAGATAGATTGCATCAGCTTATTGTTGTATCGACAAACAAGAAAAAGGCGAAGGATATTTACTGAGAACCGTACGCTCCGGAAAAGATCCTTGATGGAACGATAGGCTTGAATGACTGGGGAGTCTAGCGGGTTTAGTAAGAAATGTTGAGAAACAATCAATGCTGATCTCTCATTATCATATCGTCTTGCAGTGATTGAATTGTAACAGGTATTTGCTCATACTTTTAGGGCCACTTCTTCGAGTGAGTGGGTATATCTATTATACAGAACTGGAATATTCCGATGAACCGACCTCAGTTATGACCCTCCTCGGCCGCCCGCTTCTTCTCCCACTGATCGAGGAAGCCCTTCACTTTAGGCCCCCACACTTCCTCGCCGGCCTCGAGGTCCCGGTACTCCAGGACCTTCTCGGGATCAAGCTCAAAGTCTCCCTGACGGGTTCGGATGAGAGAGCTCATAAGACCGCAGCTCCCGACGGCCCTTCCCAGGTCGTGGGCAAAAGTGCGGACGTAGAAGCCAGAGGTGACGGTCATGACGATCTTCACGGCGGCAGGCTGCGGTTGAGAGGCTTTCTCCTTCGTTTGCGCCGAACTGGCAGACTCTTCGGCGGCTTCCGGAGCGTCCGTCGATGTTTGCTCAGACGTGGTTACAGTCTCTTCTCCCTCGGCAGATACCTTCTGCTTCTTCGCAGGAGCAGCTTCTGCAGCCGGGCTAGCTGCACCATCGGCCGCGTCTTCTTTGGGGCTTTCGGCCGGAGGCGGGGACTTGCGCTTCGCCGACGAGGCATCCTGCTGCTCGGTCTGTCCGGTTGGTTCTACACCCTCGACGGGCGCGACGGCCGACATGGTGTCGTCCTGCGCCAGCAGTTTCTCCGCGACCTCTTTCTCCTCGGCAGCGGCCTCCACCTCCGGCCACTTATACTCATGCGTTCCAGGCTCGTACCATTCAACGATGCGCATCTCGTTCACCTCGACCGGCCGTTCCTTAATTTCAATGGGAATTTCCTTGCCCTCCCGCGCATATTGGTACATGGGCTTGCCCTGCACCTTTAGCGCCGAGAAGATAGGCGGCCGCTGCATGATCTTGCCGCGGAACTGATCCAGCGCCTTCTCCACCGCCTCCCGCGTGATATGCTCGTAGGGACCTCGCCGCACGATCTTTCCCAGCCGGTCGTAGGTGTCGGTCTCGGCTCCGAAAAGAATCACCGTCTCGTAGGACTTGGTGCACCCCAGGAAGTTGTTGAGGAACTTCGTACCCTTGCCTACGCCCGCTACCAGCACACCCGTCGCCATGGGGTCAAGGGTTCCTCCATGGCCGATCTTGACTTCCACCTTCTGCTGTCGACGACGCCTGCGTTGGAATTGACTCTCGCGCTCGCGTCGTTCTCGCTCGGTCGTGATCCAGGGCTCGAACAGTTTCGACGGGTTGAAATGGCGTTGAAGGTCACGGATGACACCGGCGGAGCTGACGTCTTGGGGCTTGTGAACCGCTGTTGCGAAGTTAGTCGGGATCCTTGTAGTTGTAGTGAAGCCGAGATGGCGAGCACCGCATACCAAAGACGCCCTCGTAGATCTTTTCTCCGGACATGGTGGTGCGAAAGAGTTTCAAGCCGCGCCGGAGTCCCATCTATCGCGATAGCAAGAGGAGGAGAAATATGGAGGGAGGAGACGAGCAGGACGAAATCAGGAAGAAGTCGAAGAAATGGAATCGCTGCAGGAAAAGACGAAGAAAAGTAGAACAACCAGACGTAATATTTATACAAGCGGGAACGTACCGGAGGATGTAATTTACCCGCCGGTAGTAGATAATGGAGCGATACGGCGTACGGCAGCGGTAATCGAGGCGATTCCTCTCGACCTTCTGCCTCGTCCCTCTTCCTCTTTCTCTTCTTCCAACGTCTCTTCTGATTCTCTCTGGATTCGTCTCCAAGATTTCATCTGATCCCCCCTCCCTCTCGTGTGTCGGTCACGGCACCATGCTGCCCCCGGCGACATGACATCGCGAGAAGATAGTGTTCTGGCCGCCAGAAACCCGTCTCTAACGGACGAGAACGATTGGGAAGAGTTCAGTCTCGCCGAGGTCAGAGTCCTGGTCCCCGGCAAATCGCGTTATGCCAACCTACTCGCGGCTTCCGAAGACAATCCGGTCCAGGTAACCGGAACCCTGGAGGAGGTGGAGGAAGAACAGGAGAAGCTAGGTACGTGCACTGCGATAGACCATATCTACCGGCCTAGCCTCCCCTCTTCTGGTCTTGACTAACTTGAGAAATGGTGGTCTAGTTCTCGATCCCGACTACTTAACGAAACGCATTGTTCTCGAGAATGTGACGCATTACGCCTACGGACAACATAATGACGGCGAGGTGGGATTCTGGGTCGCCGGGCGAGCCGGTTGGTTCTCCATCTCTCCTGCGAGGGGTTACCGGCCCATGTTCAATGATGTCGTCGAGGCCATCGATCTATTCTACTTCCTAGCCGATCGGCATCAATCCAAGCGTCGCAAGGGAAAGAACTGGAACCCCAGCGTCGAATATCTTTGCGAGGAGGTGAGTTTGTTCTACAATGGATGAGAAGCTTGCACATATGGCTGATGCGCGGAGTGGGGAGAGTTCAGTACGTGAATCATACTCATGGGATCTGCGAGGATGCCGACGATTCAGCCGAAGTTTTCTACAAACACCACACCTTTCTCCTATCCCGGATGCTGAAGGGCGAAGAAGGGGTTCAATGGACCAGCACCAGTATATTTGAGCATCTTTGCGAAAAGTTCCCGGTACGTTTCGTTCCCCTCCTCCTTCTGTATGCTCTGTCGATCCTAATTATTGAGCCCAGGAATCGTATGAACAGATCAAAACCCAGCAGGAACCACAACAAGAAGAAGACTCGGCCGGCGACGGCGCAAATGGAGAAGAAGTTAAAAAGGACAAGAAGAAGTCAGGAAAGAAGACCCACTCTCTGGATCCCACGGTGGTCCCCAAAGCCCAAGCAGATACGGTTTATCAGGTCATTTTGGATTTAAAGGAGGCAGGTCATTTGGCCAAGCGTCAGCTCAATCTCGATCTCGTGGCCTCAACTCTGGTAGAGCAGTATGAGGTTGACAGCGTAGAATATGCGCAAGACCTCATCGCGTCCAGAGCGGACATCGTCCTCGAGTTGATGGATGAAGCCAAGACGTCTAATTTCGACTGGTCCCGCAAGGCAATCTACCGGGAGCTGAAGTCTGCCTCCGAGAAGAATGGCCTAGAGCACGTGGCTCTGACTCCGTTGCGGCCTCGTTCTACGAAAGATGAGTCTCCCGAGGAAGATAGCGATGATGAAAAAGAGAATGAGAATGAGAACGAGAACGAGGAAGATCAGCCCAAGCAGCGGAAACGTCGAGTCCGGAAATCTGTTTTGCGACCCAAGAGCTCCGTCGCTACCAAGCAAACCGGCAAGCGAACGAGGAACGTTGCCACCGATCAAGAAGATGTATCCGACAACAACATGGATATCGTGGAGGATTTCGAAACCCCGAGCAAAGTCCGTGGTCACGATCTAGTCCGCGATCCTTTGTCCACTCGTGCAAAACGCCGAACCCGCTCCATCCTCTCCGACTCCGAATCGACCCTATTCCATAAAACGCCCTTACAAGAAACTCTCCAGAGCCGAAACACTTCCGTCTCCCTGGCCGACCAAGACGTATCTGACGCGGAAATACCCAACGGGGACGATGTATCGTCCGACACGTGGACGTGCCAAGTCCGAGGTTGCGATAAAGTCATCTACAAAAGCAGCACCAAACGAGGCAAAGAATTGATTCAGGATCACTCATTGGCGCATGCTGATGACACAAAGGCTAAAGTCGACCTGGTTTTCTCCGAGCAGCGCCTGAACATCGGCCTTAGCGTCGATCATCTTCTCAGTCATATTCAGGGCATGGGGACGCTGAGCGAGCTTCCAAATCTGAGCGGCCGAGCGGACGGAACGATCGAGACGAATGGGAATCATGACACCAACGGAATCGGGGCATAAATTGGCCGTGGCTATCGGGCCACGAAAGCAACTCAACATTCATTCCCTCCCTTCTTCCACTCACCCTGGGATGAGAAGTGGGTTGCAGTTTCCAAATTCTAGAAACGGAGTGCTACGAATAATGCTTAATTGGCACGGGTTAGAAAGACGGCGATTGCGCAGTCACGATAGTAGAGGTCAGGCGTCAGGATTGAGAGATGGCGTTGCGGTGACTATGGGAACTCATAATGGTGGCGATGTTATGGATTTGCTTTGCGACTTTTCGAATGATACCTATCTAGATGAATTCAAGAGAATTGACCAGTCAGTCCATGGGAAAGGATATATATGGGTAGTTATATCCATCAATTAGCTCGAACTATACAGAACATCCAGGCTCGGAAGTCCCAGATGTTATCCATTCGTTCGGTCTAGAGGTCAGGGAAGTCGAATAAATGAGAACGAGGCTGTCTTTCTCTTTTGAGCCCAGACAACCAGCTTTTTGTATTTTCCAAACCCGAACAAGCAGAGATAACGTAAGGAGAATGAGTATAAGTCAAAGTCAAAACGTCAATTGATTGAAATCACTTAATCCCGTCCCTTCGCGGCCGCTGAAAAGAGCTCTGCAGAGGGATATGATAGAACGGACGGTGGCATGACGTTAGAAGGTTTCACCTGCAATGGTCCGGAGCGGACTGTAAATACTTAATCTTGTTCTTTTTGTTTCTTACTTGACTATGAATACTGTTTTCGTTATATTTCATTCTATGATATGGGTCGCTTGTTGGAGCTAGTTGGCTGAGGTGATGCAAACACTTTGTGCTCTACATCTACACTGTTTATCAAAACTTTCCGAGTGACTCTGATAGGTATTGCGGATGGAGTAATGGCTGTGTCATTGCTAAGGTTTCATCAGTCATATAACCTCCTAACCTCCCAACCTCCTCAATCTTCCAACTAGGCCTCACAGTATTCATCCACAGAGATCAGAGATACAGGTCCCGTTTTAAGTTATCATTAATAACTTAACAGAATGCCTTGTATCCCGCCCAACGCTGGCCTTGAGTTCAGGGACAGTGACGATGATACTTCACTTCCTCCCTACCTCATACTTTTCCTTTTAATTTTTGCGCTTCTTGCCGGAGCTGACGGGAACCGCTCCCGGTAAAGTTACTCTCCTCGCTGTGAATCGATGCCAAAATTCGGGATATAATTTAGATTTTATATCTCTACTTGTGTCAAATAGAAACTAATATATGAGCTATAGGGAAGGCACTGATCAGACTAGCCACACAGCTAGTGATACTGACCAGGAGCTCGTATTATTAAATGATGATGTTATGAGCTCGGAGCTTCTCTACGAGGCGGAGCTTGAACAGGGGAATGAATATATGGAAGCTGGCAGAGATCCCCAACATATGGACTCTAGTGCTGAGTCTATCCAGAATTCTGCTATTCCCTAGACTGGTATTCCGGCTTTGATACTAGGTCTCTTATGTTCTGCTTGACATTTGATATGGCGTGAATTCCTGTTTCTTGAATGTCCCTTCCAGTTGTCTAGCCATTTTTATTCGCTGAGCGTTGAAACTTGCTATTATTGAAGTCCTTGATAGACAGTAACTGTAGGAAGCCTTATCTTCCTGGATATAGAATCTTCAACCAGCCACGTAAATATACATTCTCTTCACCTATATACTAGAGCTTATCCAACACGCTTTTCTAGCAAGGGGTAGAGGGCTTAGGGCTAGGGTTGTTACTATTCTTATTATTTCTATCATTATTTATTTTTTACTTACTGTTTCCACCTATCCTGTCAATCCAGTCACGTGAGCACGGGGCAGTATGCTATATCCACCCCCCTGTCTCTTTACATGTGCCGAGTAACAATCCTTCTGCTCTCCACGTCAATATGCCGCACACGCGACGCCTCCTCCGACAGGAAATCACCTTTTCAGCCGCCAAGGAGAATGAGTCGAACGTTCTACATCAGCTGGGATACTACGATCAACAAACCAATTTCTTCTCTCATCTAGATGCTAATCGTTCTTGGATCGAAAATGTTGTTGCGCACCATCTCGGGCTAAGCTCTACAATGTGCCACCTGGCAGGCCAGGAAGACTGGCTACACGGAAGCTTTAATGTCTGCATTCCTGTCGTCGTGCACGGCTGGAATAAAAAACGTGTTCTTCTTCGATTCCCCCTTCCGTACCGCGTTGGTGAAGCTTTTAGGCCTGGGAACTCTGACGAAAAGATCAAGTGCGAGGCGGGAACTTATGCATGGCTGCAAGGAAATTGCCCCGACGTACCAATTCCGCAGCTGTACGGCTTTGCCCTCTCCACTGGTGAGACTGTACGGAACGAAGCCTACCACTACCGCCGCCACTGTCCCAGCTAATGAAGTTAGTTCACTTTACTTGAAAACTTACCGCTCTTTACTCGATGGGTTCAAGTCCTTCGTCATCAGCTTTTGTCATGGCTTGGAGACACAGAGCTTTCGAAATATGTCCGCCACCAGCCTGCGGCAACCCCGGACAACGCCATTGGCACTGGCTATTTACTGGTTGAGTATATCGAAGAAAGACAAGGTACCATGCTTTCAAATACATGGGTACATGATAGACACAATGGCAAGCTTAGGGCCAATCTATTCCGCGATCTTTCTCGGATTTTTCTGAATATGAGTCGGATCCCTCTGCCCCGGATTGGTTCCTTCATTATTGATCTAGACGGATGCTTGAGATTAACGAACCGACCACTCTCAATTAAACTGCAACAGATGGAGAACGAAAAGATTCCTACGGATATAGACCGTGATTATACGTATTCAACAGTGGACTCTTATCTGGTGGACTTACTTGCACTTCACGATAATCGGTTTAGATATCAACCCAATGCTGTCAACAACCTCGGTGACTGTGTCCACCAACTGTCTACGCTGACTGCAATGCGATCCGTCTTTCAATCATTATTCAATCGAGCTTTTCGCCGAGGTCCGTTTGTTTACTGCCTGACTGATCTTCATCAAAGCAATATATTTGTGGACTCAGACTGGCATATCACCTGCCTAGTAGATCTGGAATGGGCCTGTTCGCGTCCAATTGAGATGATCCGTACCCCTCACTGGCTTACCGACAAAGGAGTGGATGAGTTAGTTTCAACAGAGTATGATGCGCCTCGAAGAGAATTCATGGCCATTCTGACGACCGAGGAGAAGACCATCAGTTCAACTACATTGACCCACAATACTCTGCCGTCTCTCTCGGCTGTCATGGATCAGACTTGGGCGACCGGAGCTTTCTGGTATACATTGGCACTATCAAGCCCTTCCGGCTTATTTAGCATTTTCAAAGAACATATCCGGCCCTTGTTCTGCACGGACTACATTGAGGAATTCAACTTGATCATGCCTTTCTTTTGGGAAAAGAATGTGGGCTATATCGCAGGCTCTAAACTCTCCGACAAAGAACAGTATGACGAGAATCTTCGGCAGGCTTTCGGGAACAATTCTGAGGACAGTTCTGGCTAGAACGTCATATATTTCGGGTGCTATTTCTTGATGGACCTTTCCTGGTCCTTCCTGTTCCCGCTGAATGCAGCCTGAATCGCGCCTCCTATAGCGCCCATTCCCCTCTCGGCCTGGTTTTCCTCTCTTTTCTTCCGGGCTGCCTGGCCCGAAGAGCTGAGTTGCTGGAGGGTTCTGACGTCGGCTCGGACTCCAACAAACTGCTTCCTCTCCTTTGTCTTGGTCGGATGACGTTTTGTCAGCCATCAGCGATAGTGGTGCTCAAAGGGGACTTGCGGAATACTAGGAATGAAGATCCAAATGGTAGATGCTGATAGTCCTGTTTTCTCTACGGGGCTCTTGACCGTGCATGCAAGATCACTAAACCACTTGGAAGTCAGGCTGTGTGACTATGCAGCAGGACCTATGGCTGGTGATGCAAGAGGGCGTAAGGATCGAAAGCCGCCACCTTCGAATTACAGAGATTTGTTGTTGTTTCCAAAGCGTGTGGGAAAATCGACGCGAGGCTACTAAGTACTGACTAATGGTCACTCAAGGAAAAATAGGTATTGATATAGTCGAGCGCCAACCCTCCTAGACGAGAGAATAAGCAGCGAAGTAGACTGCATGCCGTGTCACTTCCTTCTACACGGGACCTCGGCAGTATTATCCGGCATGGTCGGACTCTAAAGTGCAAAGCAGGCTCTCGATTTTGTATCAACCGTCTGAAATTATTGAAGTTAGGGCATGAGGACTTCACGTGAATCAGGTGACTCCGCATTTTTCTAGAATTAACGAAGGCCTCGTGGTTGTTTCCAGTTTGGTTTCATCTTTCTTCCATCTTCAACCTCAGATTTGACCACCAACCCGACTTCGTGCCAGTCTAACGCAGTAGGAAGCCTGACACAAGTGTCGTTGGTCGATATACTGTTTCAAATTGGTCTCATCTCAGCAGCTTGATACTAGAAAATATAGATTCTCCTGATGACTTCGCTCTCCATTGATTTACCAACCGCTAACCATGTCAGCGCCTGTGTGGTTAATCAGTCTGAGTCTACAATGCAAAAAGTATTTCCTTTTCGTGGTAAGCAAGATAGAGTCTTACTGTGATGTCTTCAACAGGATCGGGGGATACGTACTCTTCAGGACTTTGGTTCGTGGCCATCACTGTGAAGCCCAACATGGGATTCAATCAAAATGACGGCCCCCTGCTAAGAAAGATACCTGCCCAGAATCAATGAATAGGCTAATTTCACTTCCTTCGAACCAACAATTCGTTGTACACATTTGTTGTCTCATGATGAATGGTTGTGCGATATGGTCGGGAGGTAGATTAGGGGTCAATATGCTGTATCAAGGTATTAATTCAGCATTGGCAATCTAGGCTCGACAATGACGCATAAGCCATATGAATGCATATTCGGTTAACTAGTGGCCATGTCCATGGGGACCTTGGAACTTCTCCACTATATGTTTTCCGTTTCTGGACAGATCGCGAGGGTCTCCCCACCCTGATTAGCGTCCTCATTTGACGTGTTTGCCCCACTCGATGTTGATACCCCTTGAGTCCACTAGAAAGGTAAACGCTACGTAGTCATTGTTCACAGTCTTTTTTTTTCTTCCTCTTACGCCTGCTTGCAAATTCCGTGCCTTGAAAGCACAATACGTCATCTAACTTATTGTACTTGTCTAGTAAAAAGGACTAATGCTTATTGCATGTTTTCTCGAAGAGAACGGAGGGCACGATCCCCAGGTCTGAACTCGAATCAGGAGTCTTCTCTCCAACTCCAATACAGTGATGCGAAGTACTCACACATGGAGAACGAGTGCACATCAATAAGTAAAGGTCCCGAAAATGCATCAAAGTGTCTTAAAGCAGGCGAACATGCGACAGCCGATACCCCTACGCACTGACTTTCAAGGTGGAGCGGACCGGCATAGCTTCTCACAATTTTCTATTGGCAAGAATCTGCAGTAGGCTTCATACTACAAGCCCTCGTCGACCACACATGCCCTCCGGAGCTCAAATGGATCCTAGCGCACCAAGGGATCAGTGGAAACGAGATGGTGGACGAACATGCAAAGGAAGGTGCACGAGGACCTGAAGACTCGATGAACGCCTCGGAGCGTTCACCTGCATCAGAGACTGCAAACGGACGCCGCAATTTGATAGAAAGAAAAAAAAAAAAAAACTACGGTGGCACTACCAGAGAACAGCACCCAGCTCAGGGGTTCAGGGAGAAAGATATGTATGAGCGCTATTGCAGAATTGATTGCCCTTGAACCAACAATGATTTTCGACGAAAGAAAACCTAGATGCAAAATTCATGCAGTCCCAGGGACTTGGCTTGTTTGTTAAGTACGTAGCCCCAATGGTGTCCCCCAGAACCCATCTGGGGTCGTGCGGAAGACTACATGTCTCAGAGCGTCCTTTTTATGTACTCCAACACATGATCGGGTATGACTCTGTAACTTTCCAATCTTCCTCCTTAGACAAGATCCTCCAAACTTGCTTTCCTGTAGTCCTTAACTTCCCATAAGTCATCGGGAAGCATCTTCATCATTTCTCCCGTCCCCCAAATCTTGCGGCAATAGGCCGGCACAGCGAGATTACTCCCCTTGCTGATACAATCCTCAATCGTTCGATTGACTTCTTCCAAGCTTCGTGTCGCAATAGAGGGGCCTCTGCCGTGCTTCTCTTTCATGATCGCAGCAATTTCCATGCCTGTTGGTGCAAGTTCTGACAAGGTGATGGTCCTGTTCTGTATAGTGCGTATAGGTCTGGTAGTGAATATGTCGACGTACGCAGCTGCCACGTAGTCCTTGGTGCTACAAGGAATTAGTTTAATCAGACCAAAGGGATTATGTAGACGAGAAAGGGTCTCTGGGTAAAATGTTACGCACCACATAGTGACTTTTTCGCCAGCAGAGTTTCCGGTGTAGACCAATGTGTTATTCTGCAAATCAATACCCACTGCCCTATAATTTGTGGAAAGTCAGTTACGGATAAACATCCCGAGTAGTTGGTTGATGACTGACGGTGTACTTAAGGTGAATTCAGCGAAATTTCCTACATGGATAACGGAAGTTGGAATCCCAGCATCCTTAGAAGCCTTTTCGACTTTCGCTTTTGCAATCATACAGGGCATGCGCATTCCCTGCTCACAATATCGCAGGCAGAAATCCGAAGGGCAGAAAAGTTGGACATTAGTCCGAGGGATGGCTTTCACAAAGCCATACTGTCTGTCGGTTCCCTCGTCTCCAACAAGAGAGCTGAGAAATCAATTAGCATAGATTCGAAAAAGGTACGGATGCGCAGTAGGTCTGACTAACATCACAATGTCTATATCTTTCAAGGTATCAACCAAAGCGTCTTCAACAAGAACGTCGACTTCAATCTTTCTCACATGTTGGGGGAGATTGGAAGTATCCGAGCTAGGACGATGCAAAACAGTGATTGGAGCTCCCGAGGCAATTAGAGCAGCAACAACTCGTGAGCCAACAAATCCACGGTGACCATAGACAGCGATACGGTTAAAGGCCATGATTTTGAAAGACAAGAGACGTCTGGAAAGAATGTTCAATCGGTGTAGAAAGCTATTGGGATAGGACCGGCTTGAAAACTTATATCAAGATAAAGAAGTTCGAGCTCTGTAAATATGATCCTTTATAACTCACGACAAAAGAAACTGTGGATTTTAAGGAAATGAGCGTGAGTCACCTTCCCTGCCTTGTATAAGAGAAGTAAGCCGCCAACTTTGTCTGGGTTCGCAATTTGGCTCAAAGAGGAAGATAGCTTACCCCTAAGGGGAATACATTGGCCTTATCCCCCTAAAAGGCTAATTTTGTAGTGGAGTCATTTATCTAATGATCGTCGCTTCACAAGGGCACAG